AAAAATAGGAAAAAATAGGAAAAAATAGGAAACTAGTGCCAACCTAGGAAATTTTGGATTTTCCTACTATTTTCCTATTATTTTTCTATATTTTTCCTATTTTTCCTAGGGAAAATAGGAAAAATATAGGAAAATAATAGGAAAATAACAGGAAACTACTGCAAACATAGGAAACTCTCTATTTTCGTATTATTTTCTTATATTTTTCCTATTTTTCCTAGGAAAAATAGGAAAAATATAGGAAATGCTAGTGTGGCCGCAGATAGGAAAAAAAAAGAAACAAAGTTGCTGCATGCGTCCGGGAAATAGGAAAAATGTAGCACACGACTTGGCGGGAAAATAGGAAAAAAATAGCTCCGAAAATAGACAAGCAAATCTGGGCTTTTGGGAGAATAGGAGAAATATACGTCCTAGACTTGGAGATTACCATGCTTCTGAAAATAGTAGCTGTGACCGATTCCAGGACAGGCTCTCCAGAACACAGACAGGTCATACCGTTTCCAAAGTGGATGTTCATCGCTAGCCGCCTTTGAAGCTTTAAAGTTGTGGAAGCCAGGGTATGTCGTACTGCTCATTGACTAGAGTGTCAAGTTGTTGCTTGGAGCAGTACTTGGCGACATGTATCCATCACACTGCAATCGGCCCTAGTAAGACTTACTTTGTGCTACTGCTGGATTGCGGTTGGTGCACCACTACTTGTTCTGTAGCTTTCACTGCACTCATCAAGGGACCATGGCATTGGCTGCAGCATTCTAATAATAATAGGCCATAGGCCATAGGCACTCGGTCCTGTTATCATTGGATGTTGTTTGTCTTTGTGGTTCTGGTGGCAAACATGTATTGAAGGATTTTGTTTGCTGAGTCTGTAGCTTGGCAGGCGAGCCGAAGATCCAACAGGTCAGAGGAAGGTGTGGTGCAGCAGTGGCAGGTTGCATCAGACAAAATTCGTACTGCGCTGGGGCTCAGCCGTTCCTGGAGTGCATGGACCAGCCAGCCCCGCTTTGCTGCTCATGGCCTTCATCTCAATGCTCGTACGAAGGATTTGCTGAATGTTTGCTTCGGAGCACACCTCAGGAAAACAGGGCTGGCCTTGTGGCTGTCCCACGAAGCCAAAGAGAGTGTCCAGGAGCTTTTCGTTGATATCTCGCAGGGTGTGCAGCGTGAGCCATGGAATCGAGCAGGGGGTGAGGCACCATGCCTCACAACGAGCACCAACCTGTATGCTTTTGGCAAGGATAGGGCTGTCTGTCCACACGAGTTGGCACGTATGATGGGCTGGCCTGATCAGTTTGAGGTTCCTGCCATGGTAGGTCTCCAGAAGCTTCGACAGATGATCGGAAACGGTATTGCGTTGCCGTGTTTGGGGACTATTTTGCTGACATGGCACACGCTTCGTATGTCGAACGAGCAGACACGATCTTTGTGATGATTGAAGCAAGTTTCGCTCAGCAGAGTCGCATGTACAGGGAATGTGTTTTTGGCCCGGACGCTCATAGTCCAGATCTGCACCGCCACACCTAACCTAACAACCATGGAAGCCTTCTTCTAATCAGTCCTCAGCAAGAACTATGTAACGATGTAAACTATGTTTATGTCTATGTGCCAGGATGACCGATGTTTAAGATTTGAAGACTCCTGTGGTGGCAGTTCTGCATGGAGCTGCAGGCCTTAGTTGTCTGTTGCATTCTGCAAATAGGTCCCTAGGTTTGTGTGCCTTGAAACCGGGTCCAGAGCAGTCACAAAGAATGGCAAGCACAGCGCCGTTCAGGAGCTAGGCCTTCGATTCTAGTGGCCTAGTTGCTTAGCTACTGTGACAGGCTGGAACTGACCCTGAGACATGCCGCATCCAAATCAGTCATTGGAGTTCTGCATCGCTTCGCATTGCAGCTTCATGCATCAGATTGCCTTGTCAATTATCTTTATGCCTTATGCATTGTCCGACAGTATGACAGCCGAGCATTCGTAGCCGCACAGATCTGTCTACTTCATCAAGGGCAGGACGCACCGCTTGAATCATGCCCCCGAAAGTGAAGGAGGACCGCATGATTCTAAGTGGGTGGGCAGAAGTGTGTATGTCACCTTGTAGTTTTGTTGCACAGATGCCAGTCATTCAGTACTTGCACTGCTTCGGACTGGCAGGAATCATCCGGGCCATCCATGCGAGCATGGGCGGATGCCGGGGTTGTGGAGTTGGAGTTGGAGGATTCCTTAGCTCCCATCCAGCCTCCACCTTCGGCACCTGTGCCCAAAGCAGCCCCAACTCGGCGAGCCACAACGAAAGGTGCTAACACAGTCTTGCATTGCATGAGATGCAAGCGCTCCTCCAAGGACTGTTTTCCAAATAGCTCACTAGTCACTAGATTGGTTGTGTTTGTGCAAGCTGCATCATGTTTGTGTGGGGTGCTTGCAGGAAGCCACATGGGGTGCCTACACCCAGAATGGCTTGCCTTCGGAAGAAGCTTGTGCCCGTTGCCGCAAGATATGCCGGGTTATTCTTTGCCTGGAGTGGCAAATTGCAATGGCCCGCCTCCAGGATCCGAAGGACCCATTGTCACAGTTGTGGGGTGACATAGACGCAAACCTCGATGCGTTCGAGGCAGGTGAGGACTTTCCCAACCCAGTGCCAGTTCCCAGTGCTGTGCGGAACAGCACATCGTATGTGGAGGAGTTTTCACAGGAATGTGCATTCATCACCGAGGCTGAGTGTGTGAAGTTTGTGGGTGCCACACCCACATCTTTGGGATACCAGCTTGAACACCGTTTCGGTGTGGACGGCCAGACAGTCTTGAAGGGCTTGCATGTGCAGCTTCGCGACCTTCCAGCAACCATGAGTGTTGGAGACATTCTATCGCTCCATAAAGTGAAGCTTTCACATGTGAGAAACTTGTCGCAGGATGAGTTTCTTTTGCGCCCCGAGAACCAGGTACACCAAACCCAAGCCAAGGCGGTTCGCACCAGTGCATGCAGTGCTTTGGTGAGTCAGCGGGCATGGCACCACAAGGGAGTGCTGGCTCTGCCGACGCTGCGAGCACTCAAAGAGAAGGCCGATGGTTTGGAGGATAGCTTGGCAAGTGCCGCTGCAGGCTGTGGCAGTGGTGACACGGTCGACAGAAAGAGAACCATCGACTTTTCATTGGGCTCCTTGCAAGACGAGAATCCAGCTGGACCAGCAGGTTCGAGAAAGGCACAGAGGAAGGCCAAAGCCAAGGCTTCGGCCCCTGGGGACACTCCAAGGCGATCCTCCCGTGGATCTGACAAGAGCAACTTTGGTGGCTCCGACAAGGCGGCGACAGGAGCTTATTCTCCTGAGGAGGCTCAGGAGAAGTTGCCAGGAGATGTCGTCCTCCAGAAGGTTTGCGAAGCATTGCGCAAAGTTCCACAATGCTTCCAAGGCTTGGATCCTGAGCGTCATTTGCGAGGAGAACAGCTGGGCCGATCCATGCGTGCAGCCGGGGCCTTTGAAAATGCGTGTTGAAGATCTTTTAGCTTCGAGGCCCTGTGTTCGTATGGCCCGAGCTGTTGGGCCCGCGACATTCTAGACTCTAGACTCTAGACTCTAGACTTAGATTATCCATGTTTCATTTCTATGTCTATGTCACTGAGGAGGATAAGCCTACCAGCAGGCCACAGCCACAACCGCAAGAACAACAGCAGCAATGGCAAAGGTAATGGTGGCAGCAAAGGCACGGGCAACTGCAACCGGTACCGGTAACAGCAAAGGCAAGGGCATGGGCAAGGGCAATGGCAAGAGCACCAAAACAACCACCAGCAAATATCAACAACAACAACAGTATCACCAATACCAACAGTATCGTTACTGAGTTACTGCTGTTGTCACTGTTATTGTTGTTGCTGTGACTGTGGCTGTAGCTCTTTGTGCTTGTCCTTGTGGTTGTTGTTGCTGGCACTGGAGAACGGTGGTAATGATGGTGCTGCTGACTGCTGCTGGTGACCGGTGGTGGTGGCAATGATGGCAATGCTGGTAGTGCTGGTGGTGGTGGTCGTGGTGGTCGTTGCGGTTGGAGAGGTTGCCGGAGGTGCTGGTGGTTATGGTGACATGGGCTTGGGGGGGGGGGGGGGGGGGGGGGGGGGGGGGGGGGGGGGTGGGGGGGGGGGGGGGGGGGGGGGGGGGGGGTTGGCTGTGTTCTAGGGACTCTAGGACTAGACTCTAGGACTCTAGCACCTAGGATTCTAGCAATGCCACCTGCCTGCTGTGTTTGATGGCCTGGGTTGCTGTAAACTCCAGTGTTGATGGTCTGGATTTCTTGGTTGTTTGATGCCCTGTGGGTGATGCTTGTGTGCTTCATGCCGTTAACACCAACACCAAGAAAGCATAGACTTAGATTGGACAACAACGACAGCACTGACATAGTGCATCGTCACTTGCAAGGAAGCATAGATTTGCATAGATCACAGTTTCCCATACCTCGAGATCGAAGTGTGGAGGTGGAGGCTTTTGTCAGTGGTGGCACATGAGAATGCGGGGTTGGCACTGGTGGTATAGAAGCCGCAAGTAGGCTTCATTAGAAGTAGAGCAAACAACACGTCGATGAAGCATGTTCTTGGAACAATAACGCATGGCATCCATGAAGTTGGTCCTTGTGATGCGTGCCTGAGGCCTGCCGCCTGGTAACCTGGTAGTGCGGTGGTGTGGTAGTGACAGTGCGGTGGTAGTGGTAGTGGTAGTGACTACTGTTGTTGTTCTTGTTGTTGTTGCTGTTGTTGTTGTTGCTGTTGCTGTTGCTGTTGTTGTTGTTGTTGTCAATGTTGTTAAGACTGATGTTGTGTCATGGGGTTCAGATACATGTCGACTCTTCTGTATGAGTTGGTCAAAGGTCTCCAAACTGTTGCGATGGTACTGGCCCCTTTGATTGCTTTTGTGACTTGTGTTTGAGATTGTCACAGACTTTTTTATTGTCCGTTGCTCAGGAGCTTCTTCTTCTTGTGTCCTGACTCTGGTAGTCTCAAACCCTGAACTCTGCGAACTTTTCCGAAAGCTCAAATCTTGGGCATTAAAGGTGAAGCTTCCTGTTTTCCAATTGTATGAACAAGTTTCCTTCATGGCTTTAGCATCTATGGCAGCTATGGGGCCGGGAAGAACTGTGCACTCGGCCAACTGTCTAACCGCTGTGAGTTTATTTGGCATTCATCGATTGACAAGCTTCTGTTGCTGTCAGAGTTCACTACTGGCAGTGCCGTCGGCAATCGAGGTTCTTTGAAGCATGTATTCATGGCCCAAGTAAAGCTCAAAGTTAGGTGGCAGAAGCATGCTGGAGCACGGGCAGCAACAATTTGAATAGATCGCTTGTGTCACTGTTGTATGCCTAAGACGCACATTGATGACGGTTGGTGATGGAGTGATTGTCTCTATAGACTCTATAGTTACTATAGTTGTTTGTGGCAACTTGTGACAATTTGTGGCTTGTCGATTGTAGATTGTAGATCTTAAGTCTTCGTCTCAGGTCCAGGTTTTAGGTTGATTCTGGTTTCCAGATAAGGCCCGGGAGCAACTGGATGTGCTGAACGCCCAGAAATCCGGTCAAGCGTATCTGCTTCAGAAGCGCCTTGCAGTGTGTGAAAGTTGCAGTTTGCTAGCTGCGAATCAACATTCACTGCACAACGTGCCATCGGAAAAGCTCGACGAGTGTGTGCGCTTGATCACAGCAGAGAATGTGCCCCTGCCGTTCGCGATTGAGATTGCCTTGACAAAGAGGGCATGCGAGACAGCTATGGAGAAGGTAGGAAAGGAGTGGACACTGGCCGGTGAGAAGACCATGTTGGACTTCGTCCTCAATTGGCTTCCCGACGGTGAGAAAAAGGCCGAGTTCAACCCCAAGGATCCGAGGTTCCATGCATTGATCTTGCAGGCCAGCCATGTGTGGATTTTTCCCAAGAATGAATGTCGAAGAGTGTTTGTCACAGTGTGTTGCAGTAAATTCAGCACTCGAGTCTCAGCTCACAAAAGTTCGGTATGCATCTTCACATGGTCATGTGAAGGTGGCCCGCCAGTGCCTTGAGGAAGCACAGATGGAAGCGGCTGAGTTGGAAGAGGATCCGAAGACCAAGGAGGAGAAGTCCTTCAAGGCAGACAGAGTGAAAAGAAGGCATTGTATTATATTGGAATTTGTAATTTGTGACTATGTGTTTGTACTTTGTGGCGTGAGTGGAGTCTGGAGTCTGGAGTCGGCAGTCTAGAGTCTAGAGTCTAGAGCCTATATGCCTACATCCTGCATGGAATTTCCGAAGGCGATCGCCGACGGCATGATCGAAGCGGTTGCCAACAATTTCCTTGCGGCTTTGCTGGAGCTCGCCCCCAAGAACGTGCATGCAAGAAAAGTGCTTATGGAGATCGCCCAGATCCTCGTCCAGGCCGTTACAACAATGCCAGAGGCCGACCCGGAACTTCCAGAAGCGATCAGCGAAACCCTCACATCGGTGTTGACTTTCGGACGTGCGCTTTTGGCTTTGTTGGTGCCCATGCCCGAGTACCTCGGTTCGTCTGCGAAGGATGTCATCAAGGCGAGATTTCTTATTTCATTGTGCTGCGATTGCTGATTGATTTAGTAAGTACTTACAACTGACATACTGAAGAGCTACTGAGCACCTGCTGACAGTGGTTTGTAATTGCAGGGTTGTCGCTAGAACCTAGGACCTAGAATTCGCTGAACAGTTTGAGCTGAAGCTTCGAATTAGCTTGCTGAGTATTTAGGTTTCGCCATTCGGTCTTGGCCCTTGGCTTAAAGTCTTGGCTGCTCACTGATTGGCTTGTGCCATCTAGTGCCAGAAGGTTTTATGCCACAGGCCATATGCATATCACAGGATCCGCTGCATCTAATCAATCTAATCTCCACCCATCAATCTAATCTCCACCCTGGGACCCAGATGAAAAGCCGCTGCTGGGGTGGGTGGGTGTGTGGGTGGATGGGTGGCAGGGTGGGGTGGGGCCGGATGGTGGGCTGCGGGTTGGGGGATTGCTCGGATGGGTTTGCTTGGAACCAGTAAAGTAAAACTCACCTGGCAATCTGGTGCCTACCCGGCTACACAGCTACCTTGTCAGCTGTCAGGCGACGACGGCAAGCAAATCCAAGGACCAGTGTGTCAACCCGGCCTACACTCTTCTGAAGTCTGCGTTGGAGGACCCTTGGTGGCGAGCTCTGGCGACAGAGGTCAATGTGAAAGCAGGCATCAACAAAGAATTGGCACCGGTGTTGAAAAAATGCACGGAGGACATCAAGTTCACCAAGGGCGAGGACGAGCTCAACCCATTGTTGACAGGAGCCCTCGACACGCTCAATGCATTGCCGAAGTTGGATGGTAACCTTCGGGCTGGAGCTACGCAACACTTGCGCGGGCACCTCAAAGTGGTCGTCGACAAAATCACAAAGGCGATTCTGGCAGCCCCATCTGTCGAGAGTTTGCCGATTTCTCAGGTTTCGGACTTCGTCGGCAAGCTGGCTTGTGTGAGCGATGATCCTGCGATGTGCCAGCAGCATTTGCAGCTGCAAGCTTGGCAGGAGAAATCCAAGAGTCAGTTGGACATTGCTGACACTGTTGCCTTTTTGGCGGCGGCCAAGGAGGGCAACTTGGATGGGTCCGAGTTGGATTGGGAGCGGCTGCAGTACCACCTCAGCAAGTTCAGCAAAGGCTTTCCCGAGCAGTGCCTGCCTGACTTGCAGGAGCTGAAAGGTCCCATTGTGCGTCGGCTGGACAACCGTGCAGCCCGGCTGAGTTTGGAGTTCGGTGTATCTGTGTAACTGTTAATACTGTTATTAGTCATGGTTATGGCAAGCCCATGGCTATGGGGAGGCCACTCTATAGTACTGTAGATTCTATCTTCGAGACTCAAAGTCTAGATTCTAGATTCTAGACTCTGGACTAGACTCACTTTAGACTAGAGTAAGGTTTCTGAGTCTAGTATGTGTAGGAAGTGAGGAATGAGGTAAGCTCATGGTCCAGGTTCTGGATTCTGGATGCTGCAAATGGGTTATATTTTTCAGCCAAAGGTTGGTAGGAACACTATACGCAGGTCAGTGGAGGCAGGCGGGCCAGTGAAGCTTCAGTAGCTGCAAGAGTCAGTAGTGAAGCTGATGGTTAGGACGGTTAGGACTGGCAGTTTGATATGATTTGGACCAGGGCCACCAGGGCCTCGGGTCAGAGACTTTGAGCAAGCAAATATTTCTGAGGGATTTAGTGGCTGTAGTGGCTAGATTCCATTCGATTTTAGCTCCAATCCAAGCTTAAAAGAAGCCAATTTTCGTGTCCATGAACCTCTTCTGTACATGTTTTGCAGTAATGACACAAGTTCCGGATGGTAGCATGCAAACTGTGGTGGACACCACAAGCTGTAAAGCCTTAACACACAACACTTTGATGCTAGCATCTAGAATCTAGAATCGTTCTCGGCTTCAGTTGAAACCTCCATTGCTGATTCTGCCGAGTTCAGCCACATGGACAGCATGCCGGTTGCTGACTTGGCTGTGATGGCCAAGTGCTTTCAGATGTACCTGGCTGTGCTGCCGAACGGAGAGGACACGAAGTTCTTAAAGGTGGCCAAGGACTTCTTCATGAGCACCAAGGATTTTCTCCAAGCCATTGAGAGATTCTCCGGGCTTGGGTCCGATGCCTCCGAGATTGTGAAGCGCGACAGCAACAAAGTCAGTTTCGACTTGTGCTCTCGCTGTGCTGTGACTCTCGAGACACAGGCCAATGCCTTGGAGAAGGCTCACGAGACAGAAACTACTTTTCTGCTCACACTCGCGAAAAGTGTGGCTGCAGCAACGGGCTATGTGAGCTCCTGTGCCATATTGAAGAAGGCCGCCGACATCCACATTGTGAACATCTTGAGCGAGGTTCGTGAGGTGGTTGTGAAGCTTGAGACGGTTGGGGAGACCTATGAGGAGTGCCATAAGGATACCTGCTGGAAGAAGGATGTCATGAACTCAGGTGACATGAAAGCTATCTTGGCGAAGGCCAATGAGACTTTGACGACATTGGATCCGAAACTGATGTCCAAAGCGCTTGCCGATGCCGACAAGGCTGGCGGCTGGCCAGAAGATTCCATCCTTGTTGCCTTGCTGCTAAATTTCTAAATTTCATTCTAAATGCTAAACTTTAGCCTAAGTGCCTTAGGCCCTAGGCCCCAGGCCCAATCTAGTCATTCTACTCTCTATTTATATACTCTGGTACCACTGTGACCGAGTCCTTGATCCCAGCTGGTTCCTGGTAGTATCGACCAATTTATCAAATAGTTTGAGTCCCAGCCCTGGTCTTACTTAATCCTATGTCGAGTATTTGTTCTTTTGTCGTTCTAGCGCGAGTCCAGTCTAGAGTCTAGTCAAGTCCGTCTAATCACACATAGTTGTGACTGTTACCTGTCATCTTGGCCACAATAAAGGATCTGCGTGCAGTTTTTCGATTGCAAGTACATTGTCGGTGTTTGGCTGACTTATGTCGAGGTTTCTGTTTGAGGACAGGTTGATGTGGAGGCCCTGGCATTTCCTGGATCACATCTGCTAGGTTAATTGTTGGTTTTGTGACTTACAGACATCATTTGCATTTCAACACAGTGCTGCCATTCAGGCCCATGACACCATGCATCTCTTCGAGAAGAAAAACAAGAAGGCCTTCGATGTCCTGCAGCCGTCAGAGATGAAGGCATTCGAGGAGTTGAATAAGCGATTGAAGGAGGGCCTCCGCTTTACGGGTGCACTCTACCTTGAAGGGCTTCTTGTGCTCGCTGCCTCAGAATCCACCGAGCCCCAGCTTGCAGTCAGCACAGCGGAAGAGCAGATCCGCAAACTGGCCGCAGAGTCCGTTGATCGTTCCCTTGTGCATCCTGCCTTGATAAAGAAGGCAGAATCCCTGGTCCGCTAAATGAGCTGCACATGGCATCAGCTACAGGGTTGCTGAGTTTGGAGCATAGCTGCTGGTAGCGTAGAGCTGGGCAGGCAATGACGAGGTTCGGTTTAACCCAAGACCCAAGACTGAGGCTCAAATAGCTGTCTAGGATGAGATTTTCCTCCGTGTCCCTGCTGCTGACAGTCACCAGAATCATCGGAGGCATTCTTCGACCAAGCTGTGTAACTCTAGCTGTCTACTTCTTGTGTGCCAGCATCTCAACACCTGGTGGCATCACACATCGTGTGTTGGAGCTGGTGCCACGAAGCGAGCCTGGGTGTAGGCAATGTAGGCCTTAATGTAGGCCCATGTAGGCAATGTAGGCTCAAGTAGCCAATGTAGGAGTGTGGGCCAGTGCAGGCGGTGTAAGCTATCTATCGGCTATCATGCAGAATGCAGAGACTTGTCAGCTGTTTCAGAAATGGGGAACAAAAACCAAATTGTACAATACAAGTTTGGAAGTTTTGTATTCTCGTACCCCTACCCGCTAGATACTGGATCCTTACTAGAGGACTCTTGTGATGTCGTTCCCGGTTGCGTCTATGACAGCGCCATTGTCATGAAGGCTAGTAACTAGTAGGAGAACTAGGATTTGGAGGTTGAAGCGTGCTTCGGTTTGGAATCTGGGCCTATGTGCAGTGTGGGTTCATAGCTTATGGATTCGAGGATTGGAATTTATTCTGATGGGCTGGTGCAGAAACTGTCTATTGTGCATTTCGGAAGCACCGAGTGTACCGGTACAGAGCTTTCTAGAGTCTAGGATTAGGGATTCTAGGGATTCTACCCGAGCAGCCTTAGTATGGCCTCATTCCGATGATTCTTGTTATTTGTGTTGGATGGGGGCCTGTGTTCTGCAGTGGATGCAGAATGCAACGTGCATCGAGGCGTGTGTTCTTTGAGATCAAACTTACTTATCTTGTATCAGTACCAGGACAGAGTGGCTCGTACGTCGCACGTCGTAGGTGCCTCATCCATACATCTTTTTAACCTTTTCCATCCGAAGTCCAGCACAGGGCCTTACATTTCAGGACACTTTTCCCAGCAGTTGCAGTTAGTGAAGTGGCTAGCTGCCAGTTGCAGCAGTGTGGGCTTGCTGACCGTCATTATAATCTTAGATCTTAGATTGTACATCCAAAAGCCTGGCAGTCATACGGTCATACAGACTAGGTTCTGCGATTTTGTGCTAGCTGCTAGCTAGCTGCTAGCTGTTCGACTTAGAGTTTGGTCTCAGTTGGGGATCCTCTGTCGATGGCACCCAGATACTCTGCTTCTGGAACTTTTCGCGAGGGTTGCTGTAAGGGCTCCAAGCCCGAAGCAGGCTTCACTCCTGAGAAACCGCTTGAGCAAGGTCACAAGAAAGGCTTTGACTTTGTGGGTGTGTGTGTGTGTGTGTGTGTTTCTGTTGTGTTTTACCATTTGGGCTGCTTTAGCATTCCGGGGGCCAAAGCTTATTCAGGGTTGGGGGCTTAGGTTCCGGAGTTCAGGCATGGGAAGGTTTTGGCTTGAGGATTCTAGGGTGGTTCAGGCCACAGGGCTTTCGGAGACTGTGTCTGTGTGTGCTCCATGTGTGCCAAGACTGCTGATGCTGCTGATAGGTACCAGGGAAATTCCAGATCGAAACCAGTGCCTTCCTGCTGTAGCTGCTAGTAAAGTAGTTACTGTTACTGCTTCTAGTTAGCTAGTTATGTAGCCAGACTCTGGCTTGTAAGCATGTGCCTGTGCGTTGTGACCAGTGATGTGGGGGTCCAGGCATGTTGCGCAGGAGTTGAGGCCGTTAGCGGCAACCTTGTCAGACCAAGGACCAAGGAATCATGGGTTTCATTGTTGTAGCAGCTTTTGATCCATCAGATATATATATATATATAAATCTATCCTTTGTTTAGTTTGGTCGTCAAATGGAAGCAGCATGTGGCGACTGTCAACAGTTTGGGCTGATGCTCATACAGGTAGTTGCAAGTGAACAGCCAGAGGAGCAGACACAGAAAAGACAGTGTAGCCTGGGTCACCGAGTAGATTCGACAAAACCCGGGCCGTGCAACGCTGCAGAGGCAAGGGTTGAACTTTCTTGTGATGTTGATTTCGCTAATGTGAAGGACTACCAGGTGACCACCACAAAAGTAAATAAAGCCTGCCTCCCAATGAAGGCAATCTTACCTGGCTGGTTGCAGATTCCTGGGACCTGTGACCCGGGCCTGGGACTTGGAGCAGATTCTGGATTCTGGAGTTCCGATCCTGGGGGTGCCGGCAGCTCATGCCATCCCATGTCTGAAGTCTGAGAAGGTATGAGAAAGCAAGTAGCAGCAGCAATATTCGATTGTTTTGGCACGAGTGTCTTAGCTGTCTTACTTGATCATGATTTGGCTAGGTCACTATGTCACTAGGTCTAGGGAGTCTAGGTGATAAGGCCCAAGAAAGGCGAGAGTCATGTTCGGATGACAATTTTAATGCATTATTAAGATAAGAATGTACAGAATATGTTGGATTTTGAAGCTATGCTCAGGGCACCGAAGGCCTGAACCTAAGACTTGAGAACCTAAGGACCTAATCACCCAATCCTTGGTTACCTTGGTTTAGTCCTCAGCTCCGCAGTGGGTCGCTACAGGCGCGGGCGCTCTTATATTGCTTCTCCTCAGAGCATGAAGTCGGAGCCTGAGACTCACATCCTGTGCGGAGCCCCACAATTAGTTGCCATAGCCGCCATAGCCGCCAGAGGCATAGTTACAGTCACAGTGATTCTGTTGACATGAAACACATGATGCTGCGGCTTTTCTGCCTGATTCAGAGCCATGGCCACACAAGCAGTCACAAGCACATAAAGACATAAAGCAATCCAGAAAGCATGTCAGTACGGCAGTCAGTCGGATTTGTGTTATGAGCCTGTAAGCTCATAGTGCTCATAATTTGTTGCTGTATCGGATGTACCTGCTATTGACTATTGGGACACTAGGCTAGGTGCTAGGTTCGAGGCCATGCCTTCTCTGAAGCGGCTCGACTCCGATGTTCTGCTTTCGCTGCCGGATGCTAAGCGGGCCACCAAGGTGCCGAACACATGGTCCCAGTAATTTAAAGCCTTAGCTAATAATGAAATAGGTTCCGGTGAGGTTAAACTAGCAGAACTAAAATTAACACCTTGATGTACCCATTTTTTTGAGGGAAGGGCCCGCGTGCAGCATTTTTTAGTAGCTTAGTATTTTATTTAGTTTCTGGTCATTGAGCACTGTGTAGGAGTCAGACCGGCCTGTGTCCGCTTTGTCCTCGTTTGTGGCTGCACTACCAACTTCGAGTTCGACCGTGGCTTCGCCCCGGCATGAATCACAAGAAGATGCAAAGGAGGAGAGTGGATCACAGCATGGGCCCGACTCTCAAGAAACTTTGATCTTGGGGGAGCACCTGAATGATTCGCAAGATGATGAGCCCGAGTTCTCAAATCAAAGAGCAGAGGAAAAGCAGATGTGACATGTGATTTTGGAAGTGGCAAGGCCTACTTTCAGCTTCTTTGTCGTGTTGGCTCCGAATGCCAATTGAAGCACGATAGTTTTGCAGTTTTGGATCCTGGCTAAATCGATGCCGAGAAGTTGGAAAACAGAGCACTTGCCACCCCATGTCATTATGTCTCCAAGCATATGTGCGCTCTCAAAACATTGAATTAAATCGAAACTGTTACAAGCCTGCATCCAGGTCATCGGCCACTTCATCCGAGAAGCTTCGCTTCGGGCCCAGTGTTCATTCTAAAGATTCTAGGGTCACATGGCATGTGGCATCTGGCATCTGGATGAAGGAGATTGACAATTGGGACCAAGCAGTTCAGTGATTAAGGCTGGTTAGGGATTAGGTCCAATGGGCATTGGCATTGTAGGGTCTTAACAAATTAAGTTGCCAATTCAGAGACATACTTTTTTCACAGGCAAAAACCCAAGTCGTTGAGCCGGGTGCTGAGGCGAGTTTGACTTGGCGAAGTGAGCACCGTATGCTCGAGTGCAGCTTCTCGGTTCTATGTGTTTTCCATATGAGGTCGCAACATCCAAAAAAAGTAGACTCCTGGATCTTCAGGCCCCAGGTCTTAAACCCAATAACCAAGAACGAACGAATCTTGAATTATCATCTTGGTGCTTACAATGATCTCATGATCAGCTTTGGATGCTTCGGATAATCTTTGGATCTTGCTTGCCAGTTCCGGGCTATATGCTCTGTGGCTGCCATGACCTCAACTGGCTGCAAAGTCTTTTCAGTGATGTTAGTGATTTGTTCGGGTTAAGGTTACAGACAGCATGTTTTGTAGGGGCATTCGGGGGCCTCAAATGTTTAGATGGATTCTGGGATTCTAGGTCCTAGGTTCTAGATATTGAAGGTTCTCGGTCCCGAGGTTTACCCGATGTACTGCATACTGCCATGTCATTCGTCAGGTCCCTTTCAAATATCTGTACAGTCAGACAGTACCTGAGTCATATAGTTAGGCGGGCATCCTGTTGTGCCCATTGCGGGGCCAAGGCCCGACAAACCAATAGAGTCATCGGAGATAGATTCTGGCAGTTGGAAGTTTTGACATCAGCCTGGTTGTGTGTCTATGATGACATAGCAAAGTCAAGCAAAGTCTTCTCTGAAGCCTCGCCGATTGAACCAAGAAGGAAAAAGTCGGCTCTCGGATCGTGACATCTTTGAATGTGTCCATTCTGTTCCCTACACCATGGATCCTATAGTCCTGTAGGTCCATTCAGGTTTTTATGTATTCTGAGGCCATCTCATGTGCTTTCCTTGTTCTGATATGCTCGCCTTCGTTTCCTGACACTCTACATTGTCAAGCTTTCACCAGGCCCTCGTTGCACCAGTGTTTGACTAAACTACTGTCTGTATTCGTTGTGGGCATCACTAATCGCTTGCGCCGGATAGAAGCTTTCTGTGGCTTTCTTGTGCATGCCCTATGGGACTCACTTGTTTCGATATCGTTCCTACATCAGGGATTAGTGTCCTAAGTTGTTCCTTGTTAAATGTTTTGTTGAGTCTGGGTTGTTGCAACTTGCATATGCTTGGTGTTTTGTTTTTTGTTGTATTATGTTCCTGACATTTTCTATTTTCCCCAGTGTTTCTGCTGTTGCAGTGCATGGACTTGCTGGGTTTCGGTATTATGTTCCCATCTTCCAGTATTCCCCAATGTCTTTGCTGTTGCAAGTGGCTGCAAGTGCTGGGAAATGTGCGTGTTTGCATTGGTGTCGGCGCTTTCGTTTTGATGTAAATCATATGCTTTCCCTAGTTGCCCTTGTGTTTTTGTGTATTTTTTTACTATGTTTTTTGTTACTTTCTGGTGTTTTTTTTAAATTACAATGGTTTTCCCTAGGGTTTTCATATTTTTTCCAATTTTTTGCTTATTTTCCCTAGTGTTTGTGCTATTTTCCGGTTGCTTCATTTGTTTTCTTATTTTGCACTCCTATTTTTTTCTATTTTTTTACTTTTTTTTTCCTATTTTTGGAGCCTATTTTTTTACTAATTATTTACTATTTCTTTACTAATTCTTGACAACCGATTCCTATTTCTGAAAACATAGTGATTCCTATTTTATTCCTATTTTGAACGTAAATAATTAATCTGGCATCTCTGAACATTTCCATATGCATCCTCCTCTTAATAGTAGTAGTAGTAGTAGCAGCAGCAGCAGTAGTGGTACCAGCAGCAGTAGTCATCGTCGTAGCCCAAGAAGCAGCAACAGCGGCGGCTGCGGCAGCAGCAGCAGCAGCAGCAGCAGTTCAGGCATTCTGTTTTCCACTTAGATTTCTGTGGAGGTATGGCCTTTCGAAACATTCGCTCGGGGTCTGCGTGATCGGGAGTCCAAGAAGGCATCAGCGCGAACTGCAAAAGAGTTGATTGCGTCGAGCTGCCTCAAATGCTTCGGCATCCCGACTTTGCGGCGTGTAGTGTCACAAGAAAGCAATCGGCCGCGGAACTTGAAATCGTTCCCATAATGACATGCTGGCGACTACCCCGAGTAGGTCGCTTGGCCGGAGCATTGAAGCACCACATCTTTCGCGTGTTCTCGGAGCTTAGGTGGCGCAAGTCGCCTTCAGGGATGTGTGGTAGCGAAGCCTTCGAACTGATTTGCCGACTCCCAGGTTTAGCTTCAAAGCACATGTGTCAGCGGCCGACGAGATCGAGCTGCTGAAAGCTATTAACACTCTTCCGCAGCAGCTTTGCTGCGATCTCCAGGAGTGGGGGGAATTTACGCAAGAGTTTTGGTGTAAGCTGCCCAGGCAGTGACAAGTGCCGTGCCGGACCCTGACATGCCAAGCGGACGGGTTGTATATACCGGTGCAGGTAGCATTCCCCAAGCGCCTTGCTTACCCTCAAGCAGAGGATGTTTATGCAGGAAGTCACCACATGCTCTGACCACTGTCCCTGACTGGGGGTTCTGACTTCCGACCGTGGGCTCTAACGTTTGTTGTTGCCTTCCGCAAGCCCCGGGAGCTCCAAGTTTTCGGCTTAACCGTTACTTGACCTGCAGCACAGAGTGTTTCGTGTTCCATGATGGAGAGTAGCCGCACGTCAAAATCCTGCCAAGGAAAATCCCCGAGATTTTGCAGAGCACCGTGGGCTCCGATCTGCGACTGCCTGGCGGACAGAGCCACCCAGCAGGAAAGAACCGAAGTATGGTGCCTTGGCCTCTCAGGGACCAGCAACCCCAGCAAGAATCACAGAACATTTTTGCCAGCTTCCAAGTCAGGTCGTGCTTCTGCCATTGTCCGACCTTCACTGCATTTTATCTTTGTCTTGAATCTCTGTCTTTCTCTGTCTGTCAGTCGCTCTCTAGTTCTCTCTCTCTCTCTCCGAGGAGCGTTTCTCATTATCTCTTTTACTTGCACTCTCAGGTTCACAGGCTTGAACTGGTGTAAAACTTAAGGACCTGTGACTTTTCATTGTTGCAAGAAGTTGAGGGCTCTTTGCGTTGAAAGCCCGGATCCCCGACAGGTCTGGCTCGCGGACTTCCAGACGCGCGCCCACTTCGAGGCCTGTGCATTAAGCAGCTTGACGTTTTGACGGTCAGGGGCAATGCTTCTTTCGGATTGAGGCTTCAAGCCGTAGAGTGTAGAGCATAAAGGCTTGAAGCAGCTGCCCGAAGGAAACTCCAATCGAAACACAGACAACTCGTGGTGAGGGCGGAAGCACATGGAAGCACCACATGTTGTTGTAGTGCTGATATCCGTGACAGGCAAATCCTGTCATCGTCGGTTTTGAACAATCCCGCGTTTTTCACAGCCCCGAGGACAAAGAAACGAGGGTCGCAATAGTACAAGTTGTCGCGGCCCTCGTCGTATCTCGTCGTCCCAGCAAGACTCATTTCTGCTTTCCTCTCGGTGCAGGAGCAGCAGAATCCGAGGCGTAAAGGACTTGCCCGACGAGTCGGCATTGACAAGAGTAAGCGTTGCCACCCGAAGGCCTTCGAGAGCCACTCCGCTCACTTAGACCTGATGGCGAAGTTCGAAGCCGCCATCGATCCTGATAGCTTTGCGGCGATCCAGCGACCTTGGCTTCTGATGATGTTTCACGCAAAGGGTTTAGCGTTTGAAAACAGGTTGATTGGGGTTTTGTGCTCAGCATCCTAAGTGAGGAATCAAGTTAGAGCACTGTGTGATTGGAAGGTTCAGCGATGAGGATCTTCCACGGGCAGGGTCCTCATGTTTGCTTTTACCACAATCTTGTAACTCCGGCGCCACCATCCTTACGGGTGCTGGGTTGGGGAGCTCATGGATGCCCCCAAACTCTTGAGCCTCGAAATGAAAGCAATCCGCAAGAGCAAAGGTACGCCCAACCGGCAACTGTCCTTCCGGGATGCTGGGCGGCAAACAGACCACTGTCGGCTTGGTTGTTTGCGTGGTTGGCAGGGGTTGCGGTGTTTCAGGCGGTAGCAGGTTGAGGTTCCAGCTCCATGTACCCTACCAGCTTCAGCTTCACCTTGGGCGGTCTTCTAGTGATTGTGATATCAAGAGATCCTGATTCAGGAGTCCACCATATCGTGATGTTGGATCTCAAGGAGGGTACGAAGCATGAGGACATCCTGAAACTACAGACATCCATGCTGCTGGGCGGCATGAGAGAAGAAGGTGATCGTGACCTACATTCCGAAGAAGGCCTCAACTGGCGAAACCGTCCTATCAGGGGTATTTTCCGTAGCGAGAACATGCCAACCGTAACAAAAAACAGTAACAAGAACAGGCCCCCGGATCGCATCACAAATCCTGTTGTTCCGGTAAAAGCGCCACCTGCAGCCCCTTGTAACCGAACTCTGGGCCTTTGGCTTCGAAGTGTTGGGGATTAGGGTTATACAGGGTTTAGGGTTGTGGTTTGGGGTTTAGAGGTTTAGGGTTTAGGGGTTTTGGGACTTCAGCTTGGTGACAAGCACATACGCACAGCTGAAAGTGGCTGCACTCATTTCTTAATTTTTCATGCATCACTTTGAAGCTATATGAGACGACAACAAACACACACACACACAGACACACACACACACACACACACACTGTTACGACTGTCAGCTTGCCTGCCTGCCTGTTTGCTTGCTTGTGCCTGCATATGGGAAACACGCATAAGATTGGTTGTGCGTACCCGCTGATTATCCATTTACCAGCACACGCATGTGTGTGTGTGTTTGCGTGTCTCAATGCATCGATACCTTCATCTATTCCTATCTACTTCAGCCGTTTCCATTCCAGCGTGTGAGATGGGTTTCCGTTTCCGTCACTCCGCAAAGCAGTTCCCGTTTCCTATTTATCTGCCCCAATCTCTTCTGGGACTGTTTGGCTTTAAGGCCTCTCCTCTGTGTGATGCCTTTGCGGAAAATGCCACAGCTTAACGCAGGGCGCAGGTAAAAGCCGTCCCTCCTCCCTCCACGTGCGTGAAGGCAGCAAGCATGAGCACAGACAGCCTTCGAACGAGGATTTCATTGTCGTTACAATAGACGGGGTGCTTGGAAATACTTCGGCTGCAGATCCGGAGAGCTGTTCCCACCTGAGGCTCGGCCTCGGACAGCCTGGTTCTCAGAGCACATTCAGAGGTTCAGGGGGATATGTAGCTTCTTGGCTTCGCAGTCTGCATGTCGATGCCGCACCGGTAGGGCTGTGGGCTTTGGGTCTGAAAGGAGGATGCGACGCCAACAGGCTAGGCCCTCTTGTTTGCCAAATCTGTCAGCTTGTCTGCATGTATGGTATATGCTCCTCGAGACTCCTTTCAAGGACATCGCACATTCGACTGCTTGCGGTTCATGTTCTTGATCGTCATGCATTACGACCATTGTATACTATTGCTGGGCAAGAAGCATTTTTTGTGTTGCTGTTGTCGTCCCTTGCAGTGCTCGTGTTTGCCTTGGGGTGCGCCTGCTTGCGAGTCCTGAGGTCCCGGTAATGAGGTAATTACCTACCACCGACATCGATAGCTATAGCAGATTTGATACTAAGTACCCTCTTGCTCTGAGGAAGATCAAGGAGGTGTCTCGCATGGCGGTCGCCTTGGCCGACGAGATGCCTGCAAAGCATCCGGCTGTCAATCGTTGTGGGCGTCAAAACAAGTCAGAGCTTGACTAGAAGTCGACGTGTCTTTCGGTGGATACTTACGGAGCATTCAGTGGACACAGCGTCTGTTCTGAATCGGGCTCGCTGGTGTTGAAAATTGACGATCATCCGCAGCAATGCGGCAAGTGTTTCGTGCACTTCTGACTTTCTCAATGAACATGGTTTTTATGTGCTGTCTACTGTACGGTAGGATCTTAGTGTCAGCATCTCCGTGTGCTTTCCAGACCTGTGCCGTGAGATATACTGTAGTGAGTCGCGATGATTGCAAGAAAGAATGACGATAGCACCCACAAGCATAGTTTTGCCATGCACATATCGACCCGTCTAGGCAGGCAGGCCCTTCTGGCGGAGATCGCAGCAACCGAAGTCTGGTTGCCCTGGTCGTTGCTCGCCCCATTGCCGGATCTGTTATATAAGTCAAGTACACGTGTGATCTTGGGGCAGGTGTTTGTTGCTATGGTTCTGCAGTATCCGTGACTTCACACTGATGTCAGTCAGTTTTGTACATGAAATGTGGGTCCAGCTCCAAGATCTTGAGGACTTTACTTCCATTGAAGCCTACGAGGCCGGATTGCATCTTTAGAATAACACAGGAGAGACTGTTTTGGGTCGAAGGGTTTCCGGGTTGAACAAAAGCTGTGGATTATTTGTGTTTGTGTCTATGGTCAAGAGCATACGGAAAGCTCGCGGACATGTGAAGCTGCAGATTAACGAGTGTCAGTCTTGCTGCTAAACTGACATCATGGTTTAGTAGCAATGTTGCTTGGATTGTTTTCCATCCCAACCCCCTGAAAGGTGTACGAGAAGCACCCGGAGCATCTTGCATGTATCGAGCAGAAGATCAAGCCGCTACTGCTGCCTGGGTCGCGTGCGGCTATCCAGCCCCTGAACTTGCATTTTAGAACCAGACTTGTATGATGTTGCGAAGCCAGCCAGCACAAGCCGTTGGCAGAGGTGCATGTTTAGCACTCGAGAGCATCAAAGAGCTTCTGCTCTGGTGAGCTCAACACTAAGCCAACAAATACAAGTGTCAGCGGATTTCGCAGCAGTGTCTACGTAGTCTAGGGCCTAGGGTTGACAAAATTGACATTACAAGGCCGCAAGGTTTAGAAATAGTTAGATGTCAAAGCTGTAAATTTCCTGCAAGGGTATTCTCTTCCACCTTGTTTAGGGGTGCTAAATTCCCCCCCTTCCAAACATCACTACTGCTACCGCTGCTGCTACTGCTGCTGCTGCTACTGCTACTGCTGCTATCGTTGCTACGACCACGACGACGACCACTACTAGTGCTGCTGCTGCTGGTGCTACTAGCAACTGCAAGTTCTAAAATACAATAGCTGTAGCACAAAGAAGATAATGCCGCCGCGCATTGCATAGAGTCTCCACATCTCTTAGGCTTCCGGAGAAAATCGCGTGGGGGGTTTGGTGTGTATGTGTGTGTAGATTCACATATCACTACACGACACTGCCTTGTTATCCTCATGTTCGGTGCCTACGTTGGCACAACTTTCAACCGACGCTTCAGGTATGTGAGCTGAAGCCTGGCATGAGTAGAAGGGATCTTCTCGCAAAGGGCTGCCATTATCACAAGGACTGAAGTACAAAAGGTACCTCAGAAGCCCAGTGGAGGGCACCCCACACATATTGTCGCTGGAGCTCGGGTTTTGAGGTGCTTAGGCACCCACAGACCAAAGATCATCCGTGTCACCGCGACGGCATCGATTTAGCTCGATTCGAGACAAAAGCTGACTGAAGTGTGGTTGGTGTCGTTGAGGATCTCTTAACGTTCAATCTGTTTACCTTCCTTCGGCTGTCTTAGGACCTGGTCCTGTAGCCAGCAAACCTCGAGGCCTCGCACTATTACCCAGTCGCTAGCAAGTCAAGGCGCTCTGCTTGATGGTGTCCACATACCCAGCTGTTCCACGATTGTGCTGTTGCCGGAGCTCATGCTCTGACTTGATATAATTACCTGCAACTTCTCACTGGCCTTGGCATGTCAGGGTGCTCACTCCCTCTTTGCGGGCGTTTTCATCCAGAAGATGCCCACAGACCTGTGGTGTTACCAGCAGGCTGCTGATATGTTGGGGTCCGCAGTCAGGGTCCTCAGTCAGGTCGTGCGACCGGTGGCTTGCGGGGCTTCAGTCTTCAAGTCTCAGGATAGGTACCACTGCGGTGGCTGGTTAGTGTTGTCCTGGGTCTGGCACAAGCCTGCGATGTTAAGAGCCCGGGTCCCGAATCCAACATCCGCAGTGTTGACCTAGAACATGGAGGTCATCCATGACCTTCGGCCCATGTACATCATCGACCTTGGCAGCTCCCAAGGAGGCGATGGCATACGGGTGCATGCAGCAACACTGGTACTACTGGTACATGCCTGGAAAGAGAAGATGTAGTGACGGCGTGAAGCGCAAACTGCCCCTGCGGAAGGCAGCGCCGTATGGTTTGCATCCATGCTGAAGCTCTTCGAAATTCCGGGCAAGGCCATGCCTGGGGGCTTGTAACGAGTGTGCGCAGGGATACTCTGTAGGATGTTTCTTGGTACTGCTTGTTTTTCAGATTTCAATATTAAGCTTGGGATCAAGATGTCTGAGCCTGCAGCAAGAACAGTGCGAGGTAGAAGACATCTTATCCATTTGCCGGTTGTGAGAGATGCTGATCGCAACTGGCGACCACCGAGTAGTCCAAGCTGTCATGTTCACGGTCTTCAAGCATCCATAGCCCGAAACCGACGAATGAACCCAGTCTTGTTTCAGCCAGAATGGTCTTCATTTATAGCGCGTACTTACATGTCAGTTAGCATAATAAGGTGACCATGACATGTCACTACCTCTGCACTTGCTCCCAATTGCTGGTCGTTGCTCCCATTCGTTGGACTGGTGCTGTTAGATCCTCGTTTCGCTTGCAGTCCCGTTGTGACGGTGGCCACATTACACATGTTTTACGGTTCTTCTACTCGTATGAGGTCATTTCCGTCGACTTGGCCCTGGAGCAGGCCTATTGGTCCGGCCCCCATACATAATCTTTCGCCTGGAGCTCTTCCCCGTGGTCGTCTGCTTATCATAGCAGGTGCAGCGTTGTAGTTACTTGATCCAACTGACACCTTCGAACTTGCCTGGCCTTGGAAGGGAGCAAGGTTAAGTAACACCGACTGAAACAGAAGTCCTCAATCCACATTTTCCAGGACACTTGCATGAACTTTTGTCTGCTTGGATGTCGGATCCCATGCTTGCAGCATATTGACGGGTGTCATTGCCCGTCTTGCGTGAGAGCACCTTTCAATTCATCAGTCGGGCCGCAATCTCGGCCAAAGGCTCACGAAGCAGCGAGCGGAGTCTGCTGTGCAGCGGCTTAAGCTCGAGGCTTTCGTGGATTGGCCTGCTTCCCAGTGCCAATTTGCTCGCAGGAGAATTCGGATTATGGGCTTCCCATTGGCACGCTCTGTCTGCTGGAAATTATCCCAGCATGCCCCTCGTGGGTTTAATTGCCTTAATGGTTCTTGAGCGGTCACTGATCGATACACAGCCAAGAAACAAATGTCGTCGTTGTAGTAGCAGTTAGAGCCATAGCTGGAGTAGAAGTAGAGAAGAAGTGGCAGTACTAGTAGTCGTAGTAGTCGTAGTCGTCGTAGTAGTAGTAGCAGCAGCAGCAGCCAGCAGCCGCAGTGGCAGTGGCAGTAGCAGCAGCAGCAGGAGTAGTAGTAGTAGTAGTAGTAGTAGTAGTAGTAGTAGTAGTAGTAGTAGTAGTAGTAGTAGTAGTAGTGGTGGTAGGAGTCGGAGTAACGAGTAGGAGTAGGAGCAGGAGGAGGAGCAGCAGCAGCACTCTACTGGCAGTGGCAGCGGCAGCGGCAGTAGCAGTAGCAGTAGGAGGACCATCGTCCTATTCTTGTAGCAAACCTGCCCCGGTGCGCTTGTACTAGCCTCTCCCCACTCGTTGCAGTTCACGTCAAGACAGCTGGCGCTTGAACGTGCTTCCTCTCGGGCCGGAAGGAACTACGTGACCGGTGGCTCCAAGAACAAGGAGGTGAGGGCAAAAGCCGGACACTTGGCGAGCTTTCCTTCCCTCCTGGCCGAGGAGGACTTGTAACCGGAAATGGCCTTCTATGATTGATCCTCCTTCGCAAACTACCGAAGGACAGGCACAAAAGTTTTCATATCGATGTCTTGAATGCAGGAATCGGAAGCCCCTGATCTTCAAGCATTACTTTTTGATTCCTGTACGCAGTCTGGAAGCCCACAGCTCTTTGAGATCGAGGTCGTGCTGAGCCAAACTACCTCATTCCAAGCCTGTGCTTGCTCCGTTTATAGTTGTTTCACATCTGCCTTTATAGTTGTTGCTGTCTGTCCCGTCCCGTCCCGTCTGTCTGTCTGCATGTGTATGGATGTATGCATGGACGTATGTGCGTATGTACGTATGTAGGTGTATGTATGTATGTAGGTATAGGTATGTGTGTATGTATGTATGTAAGTATGTACGGAGACGCGTATGTACGTCTGTAGGTATGTATGTAGATAGGTATGTCAATGTATGTATGGATGGATGCATGTATGTACATTGATGTTCGGTGTATCTGTTACTTTCGGCATGTTAAAATGTGTATTTGTTAGTTCTCGTATTATCGGCTAGGTAGGTCTGGAATAGGAGGGTCACACTACGGCATGAGATCAGCATGCTCTTTTGACTTTTGATCACCACGTTGATCCGTGGCCATTTTGGGTCGAGACGATCGTCTCGATCCGCGAAGGATCTTTTTGTCGATCAGGTGAGGTCTAGGGCCTGGGTAGCTTTCGCTCGAGCTATGGCTGGTTGGGGTCAAGACGCCTGGGGTCAGCAGCAGGCTGATCAGCCTCAGCCCTATGCTGGTTACCCTAATCAACCTAGGGGCCAGTGGGGAGGTCAGAACCAGCACGATCGCAGAGAGAGGCGCCAACGCCGCGATCGTGGTGGCGATCGCTTCCCAAATGCTGCTCACAACCCCTACGAGGTTCGTCTCCCCCCGCACATTGAGTCGATCGCTACCTGTGAGGATGACGATCGCAAGACCTCGATCATCATGGTCGACAACAGAGACGACAGGATCGTCTCGCCTTTTCAGGCATGGCTGGTCCGGGAGATCATGACGAACGCCTCCTCCTCGACGAACGTCTTGACGGAGAGAGATCAAGTCATGACTCCCAGTTCTGGGTACCACATGTCGCTCTTTGCCAACTACACTCTGGATGGCATAAAAGCGACACTGGCGATCTCAGTGGACTCTACGACAGGAGTTCCCTGTGGAGACTGGTCTGCTCAGACCGCCAAGGCACTCGCCCACGAGGCTTTTCAGCCTTTCTCGTGGCCGGTGCTCAGGGACACGTCGCCATCGTACACCGACATCAAGGTGTACAATGGCAATGAGATCCTCTTTCACTGGATCCTGAGGGGATACCGTGCCGACTCGGATCTGTCGGTTCAGCAGCAGTTCGCTGATGAGCTGCTGATCCGCGACGTCTGTCGTGGTCGGGTGCGGCTCTCAGTCGTGGTGGCCGCTTTCACCGGTTGGAAGTGCTCCGTCTTCTCTTTCGAGTGTGGCGGTCGCACATACTCTGTGGGCCCTCAGGGCGTGGTCGTGGCTGGAGATCATGCCCGCTCGAGGTTTGAGCTCCGAGTGTGCAGCCGCTCTTCAGAGGATGCGGTCGGAAATGACGCCGATCGGCTGGAGTTCCGCTATCGGGATGCCAACAATCGCATGGACTTGAAGTGCGCTCGCACTTCGGCCCCGGCTACGTGGTTGACGGTCTCCCACATCAGCGGGCCTACGCTCATTCAGGCCATCACCCGGTGCCGTGATCAGCGGGCACGGGTGGAAGGGCCTGAACAGACTGAGCAGTTCGCTCAGCTGGCGGCCGCTCACCAAAACTGGTGGCACAACGCTCTCACCACGGACTATGCCCATATCGGCGTGCTGGTCTCGTTCGTGGGCGGCCTTGATCATGGCAACTTCCACGTTCAGTGCGAGAGCAAGCTCTACGTGATGCAGGGCGCCGTGGTCTCTAGGGCGGCGCTCGCCGAGATGACCCACACTCAGGAGTCGGCCTCTCCGCTGCCGTTCGGCCCGCCCGCTCTTTCTCAAGGGGCTTGGCGGCAGGCAGCGGTCAGCTCTGACACGGCCGTGCCGGAGACTTCGCAGATTGCCGTTCGCAATCGCAATCGGGCGGAGATGGAATCCCGGGCGCTCGCCCCCGAAGATCGACCACCTGCTCAGCCGGTGGACTACGATCAGAACATGTTCACAGTGCTCGGCATTCATGTCGTTCGTCGTTCGTCGTGCCGTTCGGTTGGCCGGGAAGGTTGGTCGGGGCACTTCAACGGCGATGCTCATGATGCCTTCCTCGAGTTTCTTCTTTCGCTAGTTTTGGCTCGGCAGGATGTTGCGGGAAGCAGCGCCAGCCGATCGCTGGACAGCGAAGATCCTTGCTTACCCATGTTTCGACCCTGGGTTTCGCCAGGCGATCGTGGCGACCCGGCTGGCAGAGATCCCTTTTGTCCTTTCAATGGACGCCGGGACGCCTGAGCAGTTCGCCGCGGTGTCTCTCGACTGGACGGCCAGCTCGGCCAAGACGGAGCACGACCTCCTGGCTCCGAGGACCCAAATGCTCGAACAGTACTGGGTCTTCGTGAAGGCCGCGGAATCGCTCTTTGTTGAGTCTCTCGGCTACCAGATGGGCTTTGCTCGCTGCTCGAAGGTGCCCCGAGAACGTTCTGCAAAGTCGATCGCACACTTTCAACGGAGATGGCCATCCGAGTCTAGCTGCACCAGTTCTGGCTCCTTCGGCTAAATCGAGGCTGCCGGCAAGCTCTTCTTCTCCCTCGGCGACTCCATTGCTCGACTTGGAGGTTAACGCCGAGAAACAGAAATGGGCTAAGCGCTTGAAGGCGATCGCTGATCGGGCCGGCGAACACGCTCGGCCCGAAGGGGGCCACGATGCTGAGGGGATCCTCTCGGAAGAGGAACGCGCTCGCCTTCGGCTGTTGGTTTTCACCTCGGGGGCGCCTTCTGCAGTGGCAAACCACATTCGTAGGTTCGAGAAGTTCGAATTGTGGGCTCGGCATGTGCCGCTCCCCCTCTACCCCATCTCGGACGATAAGATCCTGAAGTATGCCATGGAGCTCGACTCAAGGGAGTGCGGCCCGACTGTTCTTCCTTCGCTCCGCATGGCTCTTAAATGGGTGGCTTTTCGGATTAACCTCAAGCTCCCTTCGATCGAGACAGCGGAGCTAAAGGCGCTCGAGAAGGAGATCTTCACACAGCGAGGGCGGCCGCTGAAGGAAGCGATCGCTTTCCCGCTCGAGCTGGTCCAGGCTATGGAGCGCTTTGTCGCTAACGAAGCTCACCCTGTACCGGCTCGGGTGTTCCTCTGGTGGGTCCTCTGCATGATCTTCGCGTCGCTCCGCTTTGACGACGCGATCCATGTGAAGCCCCACGAGCTAGAGGTCAAGCCTGACGGTCTGTTCGGGATCTCCTGGCAGACCAAGACTGAGCGGAAGCGGCGCGGCACCAAGTTCATGGTCCCCGACGTTGCTTTTTCTAAAGTGGCTTGGTTCAAGATCGGGAAGGACTTGTTCGAGTCGCAGTTCCCGCTCGTGGAACGCGACTTCTGGATCCCCGAGCTCGACACCAAGGAGCGCTGGCGCCAGACTCCCCCTGATTACGCTCGCTCTCTCCAGTGGCTCCACCACCTGGTTTGGCTCGCGGGGCAGGAGAGTGCGGTCGCGAGGGAGTTCCTGGACAAGGTCACCGATCTTACGTGGCACTCAGCTCGAGTAACTATGCTTGATCTGGCTGGCCGTTGTGAACGATCGGAACAAGAGATCGGGGTTCAGGCGAACTGGAAGAACCCCGGCCCGCTCGTCCTCAAGTACACTCGCTGGAGGTCTTCTCTTCCAGCGAAAATGATCAAAGAGTTGGTGCAGGAGGTCTCGCGCGAGTTCGTGCCCCTCTGTGCTCAAGAGGATGACACAATCGAGGACGCAGAGGACAGGGATCTTTCATTGACTGAGTTCTTTGTCAAAGTCCCGGTCAAGGGCTCTAAGACTCTAGTTATGACTATCGTTTTCATGTGTGTGCAGCAGACTCTGTGGAAGAGATCGCATGCAAACGCGCGATCACGCCCGAATTTACACACATCGGGTCTGTTCTGCCCGACCCTAAGCTCTTTTGCAAACTGTGCGCTAAGGCTCGGCCAGACGTGGCTCTCGCCTTTAAGGTCTAAAATTCTGTGCACTCTGCGCCTGCTTGCGCCTTGTCGCATTTGAGAAAACTTCGTTGAGCTTGCTCAAGCTTTGATTGAGGCTCTTTTGCGTTGTTCCGCCATGGTCGACCGCACGGTCTACCCGGACAAGGACAAGACGCCCGAGCTCGCCTTACGCCAGATCTTCGGACGGCAGAAGCTCCCCGAAAACTTATGCCTTCTCATGGCGAATAAAGGCATGCTCTCCGTCGAGCGCATGTCCATGCTCGGGGACTCCATCGCGTCGGTCAAGGCGACGCTCCGGGCTATCGTTGGAGACGACACGCAGTTCGGGGCCGATGGGCCGGCACAGGAGCTCTCGCTCACTCTCCTGACCGCGATCTGGAAGTCAGCCTCAGTTCTGCAAGAACACGTTGCCTCTCGGCGGGCCAAGATGGAGGAGGATCCGTCCAAAATACCAGAGATTCCTGGGGAAGATCATGCTGAGTTTCGTGAGCTCTTTGTCGCTCAGCACCCCGACATCATTCTCACCTACATGCGCGAGCCGCACCGGAAGTTCGTCGAGCGGATCCACCGGGACTATATGGTCCATGGGGCGGTCGCGTTCTACGAGGTCGCTGAAATGCGCTCCCGCTCGGACCGCATGGTGCAAACACCTGGCTTCTCGAAAACTTCCGAGGATCTCCTCAAGGTGGTCCAGCTCGACAACAAGGTGGCGGTCGCCTCAGAGACGGAGGTCATGGATCGCCTCCACTCGTTCTTTGTGGCGCTCGAGTACCTCAACATCTGCGAGTTCACCTTCGACTCCGGTCCCCTCAAGTACCTCTCGGAGCTCGAGGAGTGGCGCCACGAGAATCGTGGTCTCGCAGTTCTTCTCGCCGCTGATTCCTTAATCAGGAAGAAGGTCTACAAGCTCAACAACGACAAGCGCAAGGACTTTCCTACGTTCTCTGAGGCTCTCTGCGAGGTCCTCAAGAACTACAAGCAGCTCTGGAACGACGCTCGTTCAACAGCTGAACTTGAAAAGTTCCGCCAGGTCGAGCACGAGTTCGCTACTCCTCCGAAGCGGCCTCGCTCGAGGTCCCCTCCGCCGACACCTCCGAAGAACGAGGCCAAGACTCGCAAGAATCGAGCTCGTCGGCAGAAGGAAAAGGAGTTGTTCAAGCAAGCTCGCGCAGAGCGCGATCGCGCTCGTGACCACTCTAAGCCGAACAAGCCTTCAGTGCCTAAGCTCACAGAGAAGGACAAGGTCGATCGCGACACCCGGGTTCCGGAGAAGGAGTGGAAGAAGATCATGTCTTTCTCTTATACTGGGGCTCGCCGCTGCCCATGGTTCAACTGCTCGCTCGGCTGTCGGTTTGGGGATCAATGCAAGAACAAGCATATCTGCGTGCAGTGCGGGGGTGATCACCCCTACCATGGCAATCACTGAGCTCTCGTGCCACCGCCGGGGGAGTTTGGTCGTCTCCCTCCGGCACCGGTGCTCGACAGACCACCGGGGGAGTTCTCTCCCCCCCCACTGCAGCAGCCGCCGGCTCTGGCTGCTAATGAGGTTTCTTCTCAGAGACTGACAGCTGCCCCTGCAGGTCGGCCGCCACCGTGGCTTCGTTGGGCTGAGGTGCCCCGGGATCCCGACACAATTCGTGAGCTCGGTCCCTGGTGCCTCGAGATCTTTGCCGGATCTGCTGGCCTCACCGCTGCCTGGAAACGTCACGGTCTTAAGACTTTGCCGCCGATCGACAAGTGCACCTCCGAGTTCCTTCTGGAGTCGATCGACTTGCTGGACGCACAGGTCTTTGATTGGCTGCTCTTGCTGTGCCGCATGGGGGCGATCGTCTTTCTGCACTTGGGCATTCCCTGCGCCACGTTCAGCGTGGCTAGGGATCGGCCTGGAGGACCCCCCCCCTGCGATCGCAGGCGCTCCCCCTTGGCCTCTACGTTCTCAAGAAGCACCATCAAGCACAGCTCTTCGAGGCCAATGAGCTCTTGTTCCGATCCCTTCTTCTTTTCGACGCAGTGGTTCAAGCTGGCGGAGATGCCTCGATCGAGAACCCGAAGGACAGTCTGATCTGGCAGGTCCCTCAGGTCCAGCAGCTCAAGGTTCGTCTTCACCTCTACAATTCTACAACGTCGATCTTGATCAGTGCGAGTATGGATCACCTCATCGCAAGCCTACTCGGCTTCTTGTCAGTCACGCTGCTCTTCTCGCTCTTGCACGTCCTTGTTCAGGTGGACATGTTCATCAGCCTCTTCGTGGCGTGACAAGGTCGGAGACTGGCAAGAAGATCTTCAAGACTAAAGCAGCTCAGGTCTACCCCTCGGCGCTTTGCACCGCGTGGGCGATCGCCGTGGCCGCGATCGTGCAGAATTCGGCCCAGCAGTTCGCCGCTTCGTTTGCTCTCACGGCTCCGTCGGCAGAGCGCAAGCGATCTGTGGGATCCCAGATTGCTTGGAAAGGCCATCGCCAATCCGCTGCCGCTCGGCTGGCGGCGGCTAGCGGCTATCAGCTCAAACGAGGTGCCGCCAAGCCGCTGCTCGACGTCGAGTGCGAGCCAGGTCAGGCAATCCAGTGGTCTCTTCAGGTTCGGCACCCATTCACCGTGCAGCCGGCGCTCCCCGACAAGATCGTCGACAACATCAAGTTCATTGTCTCCTCCCCGCAGGCGCTCGTGGCTCGCCGTTCTGAGCACCTTCAGTTCTGGCAACAGCGTGCGCTCACGCTGCTTCCAGAGACAGATCGGATTTTGCGGTCAATCGCCGACGCTCCTCTTCGTCGGCTTCTTCGCGGTGCTCCGGACTATGCTGATCTGCAGCTGGGCTCTTGCACTCACGTGGCGCTCTACGACGAGCTCTTCGCAGCGATCGGCTGCACGGATCATCAAATTCTCCAAGGCATTCGCGGTGGCTTCCCGATCGTTGGCGAAATCCAGCGCTCGGGGCGCTGGCCGCCGTTCACAAAGCCACAGCGGTCAGTGCCTGTTCAGGAAGCTCTGGATCGGGCCTGGGAGTTGCGAGCCAAGGTCTTTTGCAGATGCAGGTCGGTTCCCGTTTCTGACAATCTAAGGTCTCTTTGGAATGCCACGCTCGAGGACGTCAAGGAAGGCTCCACCTTGGGTCCTTTCGGATCCGAAGATGAAGTCTCCAAGTTCTTGGAGTGTTCCGACTGGATCCCGACCCAACGTTTCGAAGTGGTTCAGAAAAACAAGGTCAGAGGTTGCGATAGTGCTACATCCAACTTGATCAACCAGACCGCGGTGATCACCGAGAAGTTGGAGCTCACCTCTACGGACTTGAACGTGGCGGTTCTGCGCGAGCTCCGCACCAGAGGAGGCGATCGCCCGCTACGAGGATGGGTCCTTGACGAGCGGAAGGCCTATCGGCAGCTTCCGATCTTGCCGGAGCACAGGAAGTTCAGTGTGATCTGCCTGAAGGATCCTGGTGATGGCATTCCCAAGTTCTTTGTGATGATCGGACACTCCTTTGGTCTCGTGGCGGCGGTCTACAACTATAATCGCCGCTCGGCCCTGATCAACGATATTCTCGTCCGGCTGTTCAGCATGGTCGCCTTCAACTTTTACGACGACAAGTACGGGTTCGAGACCGATCTCACGGCGCCTTCGGCTAAGGTCGTGGCCGAATGCATCCACTTCTGGCTCGGCGCTCTCTTCGACGAGAAGAAGCTCCAGCTCTCGGCGGCGCCTGTGATCTTGGGCGTGACTTTTAACCTTGAGCTCTTAGTTCTTGAGATCAAGGAGCAGAGGAAGCAAGAGCTCCTGGACTCGATCGACGCGATCTTGGAGGCGGGCACCTTGGATCCTGGGACCGCAGGCAAGCTCAAGGGCAAGCTCATGTTCGGAGCGAGCCAGCTCTGGGGGAAGGTTGGACGTGCGTTCTTCCGGCCCCTCTCGGAGCGCCAGTACTCGAAGGACAGGTCCAGCGATCGTATGGAGCTCAACCTGGCTCTAGAACGATCGCTCCGTTACTGGCGGAACCTCATCGTTCACGGCCCTCCGGCGTGAGATCTCACTCCGCTCGGAGAAGAATGCCGATGTTGTGATCTTCACAGACGGCTTCACTCCAGACTTTCGGAAGTCGGAAGAAGGAGCCGATCGGATCGGAGCTGTGATGTTCGATCGGAGGGCCGATGCTCCCAAGCAGTTCACTGAGGTGATCCCACTCGAAGTATCGGACCGATGGCTCGCGAGGAAGACCCAGATCGTCCCGATCGAGATGATCGCGCCGATTCTGGCGCTCGAGACTTTCCGGGATCACGTGAAGAATAAGGACGTTCTCCTTCTGATTGACTCTGAGGCGGTCGAGGCTGCTGTAGTGAAAGGATACTCTTCAAAGGAAGATCTCTGTGAGCTCGTTGAAGTTTTCTGGGAATTGGCTCTTGAATATAGGGTCAACTTCTTTATCGATCGAGTTTCTACAGATGCCAACCCCGCAGACTGGCCATCGAGGGATCGCCTCGAGATTGGCCAAGCTGCTGGGCGGTCGACAGTTTTGTGCTCATGGCCAGCGAAGCTCCGCTAAAAGATCGATGCAGGGCCTGGGAGGTTGCTCGTATTTCGAACGAAGGGAATTTGTTCGAGATGCTCTCGCGTCTGGTGTCCCGGGACGGGTTCGCCGGTTGCGGGTTCGAGCGACTGCGACGACGACGACTCCGTTCGTGGGTTGTCGTTGTCCTGGGGTGGGGGCCGGTCGTTTCTGATGCTCTTCGGTAGTTCTTCTTGTGACCGCTCAACCCCATGCTAGAGCGGATTAAACATTGCTCGTCCGCTTGGTGTGTGGCATGCTGTTCAGTGAGCTTGCGAGCGTTCGTGCGTGTAGTGTGGTTCTCCTATTATCGGCTAGGTAGGTCTGGAATAGGAGGGTCACACTACAGCATGAGATCAGCATGCTCTTTTGACTTTTGATCACCACGTTGATCCGTGGCCATTTTGGGTCGAGACGATCGTCTCGATCCGCGAAGGATCTTTTTGTCCCACCCAACCCGCCGTATTATGAGGTGGGAGGTTGCTCGTATTTCGAACGAAGGGAATTTGTTCGAGATGCTCTCGCGTTTGGTGTCCCGGGAAGGGTTCGCCGGTTGCGGGTTCGAGCGACTGCGACGACGACGACTCCGTTCGTGGGTTGTCGTTGTCCTGGGGTGGGGGCCGGTCGTTTCTGATGCTCTTCGGTAGTTCTTCTTGTGACCGCTCAACCCCATGCTAGAGCGGATTAAACATTGCTCGTCCGCTCGGTGTGTGGCATGCTGTTCAGTGAGCTTGCGAGCGTTCGTGCGTGTAGTGTGGTCGTCTGGCCCAGTAGCCGCTGATGATCAAGACATGTCATGCCAAGGGAACAGCTCCAATACACCGTGCCTAGGTCAAACGGCTTTGCAAACAAGGTCCTTGCATGGTGGTGTCAGTCTGGCACTCAGCTTTTGGCTCTGCGACTGGATTCGCAGACTTATTGTTTTTGTGCCACCCAGCCGGCCAGTATCCCTGTTGCTCGGTGTTGATCAGCAAGTCTTGCCTAGCCTCTGGCAGACTGAGTTCAACAGGATGATACAAGTTCAAGTTTTTGTAAGTACTGGGGACAACTGCAGGACTCCGATCACGACTACGAGCACACGTACCACGAAATGGTGCCGTCCCCAGAAGCAGAGCCAGCCGGGCAGCCGTGGAAACAAGCTTTGCCTCAGAGCTGATTGGGCCTAGTCACAACAGACCGGCCTGCATGTTCTTGAACGCTCAGGAGTGGTACGCAAAGCACGTGAGCGTTGGTGCCGGTCCCAGTCCACCACAGAGCCAGGGAGGTACATTCGAAACTTGGCCGCGGACACCGACGTGGTGCCTGCCCTGTCGTCATTCCAACCTCCTGCACTGACATCTCCAGCATCTGAAAATTTCTGTGTGCCGTCTCAGGTCAGTACCTGATCGTCGAGGCAGGAAACTGTCTCGAGGTGATCGCAGGTAGTCTCGTGTGGTAGTAGGTGCTGTAGCCCTCATGAAACCAGCCCACATGAAGCTGCGGAGAGTCCCCGCAACTTACAGCGCGCTTTATCCGGAGTAACTGGCATTGGCGTCGGAGCCGGAAGTTCGCGCTCGAATCGCAATATTCCGCCCTTCAATTACAGGACACCAATATCTACGGCTGGACTGGCTGGGTCAACATCAATGATCCCAACGAGGTCCGCAGATGGTCTCTATCTTGTGGATACAGATTTTGCAGGGCGTGAGGCATCATCCCTTTGTAAGGCCAGTCAGTCCTTCGTGCTCGGCAGTGTCTGAGAGAAGGTTCGACGAGCGTGTCCAGATGCCAGGCAGAGCTCCGGAAAGGACCCATGGAAGCCGCCAACGACTTCGAGCTAGCGCAAAGGCCGACGAACAATGAAAGGACACTGCCTAATATTTGCTGTCTTCCGCAGTCAGGGCAGACTTCGTCCGGACGGATTGGTGCGCCAAGCATTACGGCGGACTTTCTCAAACGCAGAACGGTTGGCCTGAGCCCTGGTCTTGCAGAAACTTTGAGGTCACTTCTGTTTGCAGCCAAAGGGCTGAGCTTCTGCCGCTCAGAAGAAAACATCTCCGTATGCATGCTCAAGCACACGCTGCCCCCAGCCTGAAGCCCCTCCTTTGTCTAACCGTGCCATCTTTCCTGTCTCAGGCTCTGTCCACAATGTTCATATTTTCCTCTTGAGTCCATGGTTTCTGTGTTCATCGCTGATTCATCACCACTGTCTACTTGATGTCTTCCTCCCAGGTTCTTCCGCAAAGCGAAACGCTCACGCGGACTGAACCCATAGCCGCTCGGCCAACCAAAGACGGAGGCGGGGTGCTGGACAAAAGAGCGTGCCATATGCTTCAGATTCTGTGGTTCTGGAATCTATACATCTAGAGGGCCGAGTCTAGTTTTCAAGGTTCGAAGTACAGGGTTGTGCGAAAGCCTTCGCATGTGTGTGAGTGAGAAGTTCATGTCGTCAAGTGTCGACTTCGTCCTTTGGGGCCTTGGTCGCCGGCTCCCAGACAGGGCTCTGTCAACAACAGTAACGAATTTCGGTGGAAGTAGCCATCAGTAAGCGACTGAGGGTGGGGAATGGTGAAATTCCAGTATTCGTGGTTGAGCAACTGCCAGAGATTGATCTGCTAATCAAACCCTGCACCCCCAGACCACGATTTCTTAACACTCCACGACCATCGGCATCGGTTTGCTCTGCTTGGGCATGCAGATTCCTGATCAGTAGCTCTTGGTACGGAGTTCGCAGGATCGCATATGTCGACTTATGTTCACGGTCTGTGAGGAGAGGCTAGCTTCTGGCTTGTCTGGCTCTTGAGTATCGGGGCTGAGGGTTGCGGATTTTTGGCTTCATCGCGGTGCCTGGATGGCTGGACTTTCAGGCCGGTGGCAAGGATGCCTATCGGGCGTATCTTCGGAAGCAGACTGCCGCAGCCATCGTAGCCATCAACCTCAAGCCCGGCGCTGCCAGCCGCAAGCCCCCTGTTTTGCCATGCCCGGAATCTGCTTTGGCCTGGTTTTCACCTGGCTGTCCTGGGCCTTCCAGAGCCTCGGATACAGACCTCCCAGTTGTTACCATCATGAGCTGCACCATCACCATCATCGACGACATGTCGTCTACGGCTTTTGCTACAGCAACTTTACTGTTACTGGCACCAGCACTAGTACCAACTTCTAGCACCTAAACCTACTGCTATACTACTATTCTACTACTACCACTACTACTACTACTCCTACTACTACTACTACTACTACTACTACTACTACTACTACTGCTACTACTGCTACTACTGCTACTACTGCTACTACTACTACTACTACTGCTACTGCTACTACTACTACTACTACTACTACTACTACTACTACTACTACTACTACTACGACCACCTCTTCCGCACGCATATAAGCCTAGGCATAGGCGTAGATGTAGACGTAGATGTTGAAGACGTAGACGACGTAGACACAGACGTAGACTTAGTGGGAACAGTGGGAACAGCAGAGAATCCAATTTTACTCAAATATGGAGAAGTAATCCCATCCTGTCGATCTACCTTGAGCATGTCTGGGATGCAAAACACAAATCTATCAGGTTCGAAGCACATGTTCCTTAGTCCTTACTCAACTCGATTCGTGCGTAGCCTAATTCAATGACTGCATTGTCGTCCGTGCCAGCGGATGTTTCCTGGAGGACAATGCGTGATCGTTGACTTGCCAGACCAACTGAGGAAGCCCTCCGTCGCAGGGAGTAAAGAGGCCCTTCTCCTGGGAGACAGCTGGGCGGCCTATGCCGGGACAAGCCTGAAGGACCACTGTGCACCGCGACGGCTTCAGATCTATGCAAGAGCGATTCAAGGGCGATTCATGTATTATTCTATTCCGCCAACACTCACCACATGCTCGCATTCCGCCTGACCCGATAATGCCGTACATGTGGATATTTGGCATTATGTAGGTACTAGGTATTTGCAGACCTGATTCCATGCAGCATCGTTGCTCCGAAAGCACAGCTTGCCTCGCCTTCAACCCTGATCCCGAAACCCAAATCCCAAAAGCAAACTCCCCCTCGCTAATACTACAAGTACTGTGTACCACCACTCACATACAACTGGTTCGGACTCCTCTCGTGACAATCGTGGTTGCAGAAACCGAGCAAAGATCGCGGCTAACACCAATTTGTTCGTCTGAGTTTCAATTAGCGAGTCCGGAACTGCTGAGTGGCAGATGTGTCATGCTGATATCTATGGACACTGTGAGCTGGCAGGGCAGTCTACCTAAGCTATGGGGCATGTGGTGTGGTGGTGGAATCCCCCAGAGTCTATCTCCAAAGCAAGCCGAGTGGCCAAAGCCTCTGTCTGAGAGACATTCCGAAAAACACATTGTGGCACAAATGAAAAGGGGCGAGTAAAAGAATCCCCGATGGGCTGATTTGTTGAGGCCGGATTGGCTGCCGTGGTGAACCGTGGTCTCGCAGGGACCACAGCTGCGGATTGGGCTGCCAATCTGGACTGTGCCACTGCCCCACAATCCTTTTGCTGCCAGCACGCCGGCGAGGTCGCTCGCCGATGATTCAACAATTAGGGAGCTTCAATTCAGTAGAAGTGGAAGACGTTGTCAGCTGTGCACCGTTTCCATCCCCGGCCGACTAACTTCTCTAAAGGTTTGAGTCCGGGGGTCGGCGGCAAGTTGGCGCGGTGGGGTGGGGGGGTTCTGGACACCCTGGTTCTGAGAACACCGTTTTGAGTGGGAGCTGTGGTGCATGCACTGCCAACTTCTGTGTGTTATTATGCGATTCGAAGAAATGTTGTTGCTGATGCTATTGTCAGGGCTGTTTTCTTTGATGGTTTTGATATGGCTTAGTTTTTTTGCTTCCTGCGGAGTTCAATCGAGGCAAGCTGCAGCGTGTCTCAGGCAGTCGGGCTTCTCCCATCTGATGGATCCAGAGTGGTGTGGGTTAGCCTCGGTGGCAACGACTACATCCTATCGCATTGCAGCACAGACACTGCGTCCTTGGATAAGCTGCAGCAGGACATTGAAAAGGCTGGAAGTCGACGCCTAGAAATACCATGATACCATGGCCCACACTGGTGTCGTTTATACTCTCTTGCATGTGCCGTTGATGCGTACTCCTAGTATGCTTTGCCCTCTTTTCTTGAGGCGCCGCTTCCAAGGTGCACGCGCAACGTTGGAAACTTGCGCAGGGCCGCGTGTTTTTGTACCTGCACGATGGCCGGAAACGCCTTGACCCACCCCCCCTCGGAACTCGGCACGCATGCATGCATGCATGCATGCACCACCACCATTCTCACTAAACCCTGCTTGAACCCTAAACCCCTCCACCGAAAACCCTGAAAAACCCTAAGCCCTGAACACGCCACCAGAGGACAAAGTTCAGGTTCCACCAGCCGTCATGCATTTTTACATGACGCCAAAAGCGACACACCCCCCCAAACCCCCCGTTGAACCGGAATCGCCAAATGAGGGAAAGTGTTTCAGATCCATGTTGAACCGAAATCGCCAAATGAGGAGGTGTGTGCAAGATATATGTTGAACCGGAATCGCCATATGTTGAACCGAAATCTCCAAATGAGGGGGTATGCTCAAGAATGTTGAACCAGAAGCGCCGGTTGCCAATGAGTGGCCGTGTTTTATGTCTCGAACCGAAATCGCCAAATGATGGGTCGTGTTTAAGATATATGTTGAACCGGAATCGCCAAAGGAGGGGGCGTGTGTAAGATATATCTTGAACCGGAATCGCCAAATGAGGGGCCGTGTTTGAGATTCATGTTGAACCGGTATCGCCAAACCAGGGGGGGGTGTTTGAGATATATGTTGAACCGGAACCGCCGGTCGCCAGTGAGGGAGCGTGTTTTATGTGTTGAGCCGAAATCGCCAAATGAGGGGTTGTGTTTAAGATTTATGATGAGCCGGAATCGTTTGCTCTTGCTCGCAGCCAGGCCTCCCCAATTAGCCAACATGTGTAGCGGCAAACTGGAGAGGCCTGAGTTCGCAACCCTAGTGCTTATGCAGAGGTCTAGGTTCTGGAGCTTCTAGCTGGCTTTTGGGAACCCCGAGACCCTGAACCAGAGTCGTGAACGCCCAAACCCGGAACCCTGAGCGCCAGAGCCCCAAACCCTGTAAAACCCCAAGCCCTAAAACCTAAAAACCTTAAGCCCTCAACCCCAAAACTCTGAACCCTAACCTAAAACATCCAAGGCCCTAAACCCCTAAAGTCTGAACCCTGAAAACCCTGAGCCCTAAGCCCCGAAAAGCCCGAAACCCCTGACCCCTAAAAAACCTGACCGAAACTCTAAACCCGAAGTCCGAAAACCCTGAACCCTAAACCCTGAACCCTGTGTGCGCCTTGGACGGTCTGTGTGCGCCTTGCACGGTCAGACCCCGACCGGGCCTTGGACGGGTGGGCCCCCGCCACAAGCATAGTATACCTGCCCATAACAGCTTGTCTCCATGCCCTTCTTGCGAGTCCAGTGTTGCAGCGACTGCCACGGACCTATTGTGCCTCCCTGCGCTGTCATTAGCGGTCACGACTGCTACCTCCGACTACTGCCGCAACTACTGTACTATGACTTGCGCTGCTGCTACTGCTCCCTGCTACAGCCATGACGACGACGCTGACGACAGCGATGCGAAAGGCGGGACGACGACGGCGACCGCCATTGTCGCCACAACATCCGTGGTTTGCACACACCTCAGCTCAATAATACCAGTTGTGGTGTCGGGGCTGTGGGTTGCATCCTGGTGTTGTGATTTCGTGGAGTTGAGCAAATGAGGTCGAGCATCTCTGTTACAGGCTAATTGGACAAACAGTTATTGATGTTCTGTGTTCTGGAAAGGTCATCCGTGATCTTCAATGGCTGGCCCCGGACACTCGACTATCTAGCCACATTGTCTTTCGTGTCGGATTAGGTGAATACACCCAGCAGGCTTTAGTCGTCACAAGTATTGGAGCTCTTACATGTCGAACTTCATCCGAGAAGCTACACGTCGTCGTCACCGGCTATGCCGCACCCAGCGGCCCTCTGTATTGGACCACTGGGTGCGATTCGCCAGAGGCGCTCCATCCCTTGAATGAGGTCGTGCGCCTTGAACGCCTTATCCACGGAAGGGTTTAGATCCGGAATGCAACGGGCAATGACATGTAGATGTTAGTAGTGAGCACACCTCTGCGGGGTGCCCTGGACGTGCAAGATGCATTTTCCCTCGTGCAGGGCCCACACTAAGCCATCATTAAAGAAGACTACGACCGCACTGCCATGTGTGATGGAGCTTGAAGGCCAGCCTCCGTCAAGTGCATTCGTCTAGGATCAGGACGTTGGGTGATTAGAGTCCTTCTCGAAAGAGGTGTGCATTGCTCTGGCTTGAGGCGCAGAGCAGCAATCGCTCAGAACGTGACCTTCGTCAATGTCTCGAGGATCGCTGGTGGCAGCTCGACAGTCCACAGCCAGCCGGAGTTTTACAAGGACTGCAGGTTTGGAATTCGCACCGTCGGCTTCGGACACGGATCGCGGATTTGGACTGCTCACTGCTACGGCAGCACCTGGAAAGGCCTCTATAATCAAAAGCCGAAACAGCTGTTCATATCACTTGTCGGCTCAGCAGCGCTGTCCCAAATCCTTCATGCAATACTTGCTCTCTGTCCACTGTCAGTGGAGTCAGATGCCGCTGGGAAATCCACCTGAATGCCACCACCACTACTACGACGTACTACTACTACGACCACTACTACCACCACCCCCGCCTCCATATTGATGCTACTGCCACTGCTGCTGCTACCGCTCGGCCACGGCCACGGCTACGGCTGCTGCTGCTGATACTGCTACTCCTACTACTCCCACTACTGCTACTGCTACTGCTACTGCTACTGCTACTACTACTACTACTACTACTACTACCACCACTACCACCACTACTACTACTACTACTACTACTACTACTACTACTACTACTACTACTACTACTACTACTACTACTACTAGTACTAGTACTAGTACTAGTACTACTCCTGCTGCTGCTGCTGCTGCTGCCTGTTGACTGACTAACTAGTAGCTAGTACTCGTAAGTTTACAGCGACCACCAGTACTCCCACTATCGCTGCCATCTCTCTACCAGGACCCAATCCATCTCAACAGTCGAGGCCGGCTGTCCGATAAAGCCCATACACCTTTCAAGCTTCGTCAAGTTTCACGATTGTGTGCTTGCAACAAGTCCGCAGTGCAGGTTACTGCAAACTGTGGACGGATCCAGTGCTGCAAGAAGCCATGGGCTGCAGTGCCTCGGCATTGCGTGGGGCTTCTTGCTAGCTCCATGCCTACAGCGGAAGAGGAGGAGAAGGGATCCAAAGTTCTTATCATATATGCCTGGATGCAACGATTTTCCTGCACCTAATCCTGCTCCTGGATTACTAGCTGATCCTGCTCATGGCGGCTTTCTCATGCGCAGAAATGCTTGCCAGACTATGTGCCCAGCACCATCTACTCTGTCAAGCAGAGAGATTGCTAATTCGTGCTCGCCTGCGGCGCCCTTCCACAGAGAAAGGAAGATCGATTAAGCGGCCCTTCGAACTCTTCGGATTCATTCGAGACTGTCTCCTTTCTCTACTACCAACTGTGGCAGCCGTTTTGTGCATCTCCCACATGCGGAGAGCTGACACTTTAGCCGTCCTTGAGGGCGTCAGCGAATCGCCTTTTGCACATCAGTTGCGCATGATCGACTCGCAAGCTCACTTGAGTGACACGGACAAAGTCAGCTTTAGCGCTTTTTTTTTGCTGTTCTTCCTGCGTCTGCCTGAAACCGAGTAGCAGCACTGCGCGATCTGCCGCTATTGGATCTGAAGACTTCCCAGTAGGTGGAGGCGGCGCCACACACAACTTCGACCCATGCAGCCGTCCTTAGAAATTGTCAAAGCGGCCAGATTGCGTGGCGCTTCAAGAGAAGCACCAAGTCAGTAGCCAGGCCTGCACAAAAGGCACAGAGGTCTGTCTTCAACAAGCATGACGCCCTTCGCCCTCATAGCCTCATTCGGCCTGCTCCAGCCCCAGCTTCTGCAGCAAAGGCGTAGCTTATATGTTCCGAAGGTGTCAAAAACCGCCTACACCGAACAACTTAGCGAATGTGATGCTTGATCCTGGCAACAGTCTTGTTTGAGACTGACTTCAGACTGGCTGTTTTAATAATAATAAATGAAGAATTAGGGTGATCAGGGATGTTGGTTGCGACGGTTGAAATTCCGGTTTCCTGTGCGTGTGCGAGTAATGCGGCGTTAGCATGGGAGCCATCTAAGGCGCATTGTCTGTTGGCGTAGTCAGTTGCAGTCTTCTGGTTCATATCATCTCTAACTACTGGCAAACCCCGGCATACGTGACCATCAGCGTAAACTGCCGACACCGGTCGAGGGTTGTTGCAAGCTTCAGGTCGAAGACGAAGTTGTTGCATAGTGCTGCATGACGAAGATCTAGAGATAGAGAGAGAGACACCTCAAACAGAGGGAGCCGCAAACAGACTAAAGGACGTCGGGGCGCGCTCGCGCGCGGGCCCTTGACCGATTGCAAGCAAGACCTCAAACAGGTGAGAATCGGGGGAACACAAGACGTGTTATCCTAGCCGTGGTTTGTTACGTACACGTGTTGTCCTTGCCATGGTTTGTTACGTACTTGACATCTTCTTCTGAAAGCGCCTGTGGATGCATGTGTCATGCGAATATCGACAACCCCGGATACTTCATAGGCCGATACACTTTCCTCACTACATCCGGAGAACTCGATTTTCTTTTTTTACGCCCTACCGAAAGCCCCATATGAAATGGGGGGCCCATGTGGCAGGGGGGCTTAGGGCTTAGGACGCCTCCTATGCCCTGCAGAAGAACAGAGAGAGAGAGAGAGAGAGAGAGACGTAACCCCTACACCATAGCCCTGGCGAAAGAAAGAGAGAGAGACGTAGCCATTTTGGCTCAAGTGCCTGCACCCTTTGTCTTGGGGTTGTTCACCCCTTGGCATCGGGGGGGGAGACGCAGGGTTAACCTGAGCTGTCACCTCAGGGGAGCCTTTGCGTTTTTCCCAGCGGACGCTTGAGCAATCCGTCCGTTGCCATTTTGCTTAAAAGGCCCCTTTGCCTGCGCATCCTCCTGAACCTGACCGCGGCCCCTTTTTGAGGGTGGCCCGCCAGTAGGGGGACGGAGCATACTTTATCACTGCGGAACTCGGGGGGAACTTGCAGTCCTACCTCAACGTGCCCGACATCGAGTTCCTCGCGATCAAGCCGGAAGGGGGAAAGGCCCAGCTCCTAGGGCCATGACCACGTGCAGACTGTGTCGCTTTGGTGGGGGAGTGTGCCAGCCAGGGTTCAGAAAGGTGCACGTGCGAGGCGATCCTCAATGCCGCCTGCACGGGGTGACAGAACGCAGGAACGTCCGTGTGGGGGAAAGCAGCTATACCCCTCCACCGGAGCCCTTGGCTACTCCTGGAGAAAGCGAGCTGGAAGCCAAGACGGCCTTTCGAACGGAGGGGGGACTACACCTACTCTTTCCGCCCGACACCTTGGACCAGTGGGTGAACAAAACAGTGAAGGCCGACGACGAGGGGGAGCTCTTCTTTGCACCGTCGGGGGAGCCTCTGACGCCACAACAGGCGGGGGACTATGCCGCCTAATTATCAGGCGAGACTGGCCCACAGGATCCGCCTAGGCTACCAGGCCGACCGCCTTGTACGTATAGTCGACAAATGGCTGCCGCGTGTGGCGGCCGAAAACAGAGTTTTCACGATGAAGTTCCCAGAGAAGGTGCCGGAGCTCTTGGTCAAGGCCTGGGGGTTACGACGCAAGATGCAGATACGGAGGCGCAAAGCACGGAAGGCAAGGGGGGAACCAACAGGCCCCGCACCTTCAGTGCAACCTGCAGTGCCAATGGAAGCCAATGTGGGGGAACCGCGAGGCCATGTGAAAAGAGAGCCCAGTGACTCAGACACACCGCCGGACTGGGGGAGTACAGATGAGAGCCCAGCCAAGGAGACCGCCGCGGAATGGGAGAAAGGCGCAGACAACGACCCAGTGGACCGTGAAGGGGGAGATGAACAGTGGCCGTGGGGTCCTGAGGGCAGGCCGTCGGACAGAGCCAACGACCCACAGCGGCCCAGCGAACCCATGGGGGAGCCACCAGACCGACGACGACCAAGGGAACCCGCGGGGGAGCCCAAACGCCGCCGCCTTCTCGGAGAACGACCCAGCGAACCTGTGGAAAGGCCTCCAAGAAGGAGGGGACAGCCAGCAGAACGCCTTCACGAAGACCGACCTCGCGAAACGGGGGAGGATCGTCCAACAATGAGGGGACGACCGGTGGAGCTGGTGCCAAATATGCAATGGCAGATTCAGCAGGTTCAAGACCACATGGCACGGCAAAGACAGGCAACTGAGTGAGCGTGGCAATAGTGAGCGTGGCATTTTTCCTGACTTGCTAAGGCCCCAAACTAAAAGGCCGTTTTGTTTGCAGTACTTAAGTCAAGCCCGGAGCCAGAGGGGAGAGGAGAGTCGATGGTTTTGTTGGGGTGCCTGTTTCGGGTGTTTGGTGTTTCTGTTGCTGAGTCGAATGGCCCCTCCCCTTCTCCGTGACTTTTGTAAAGGTCGCACAAAACCCACTAAGTGGGGGATTTCTCCTTTTTCGCAAACCCAGCCGGGGGAATGCATGATGGCACGTTTTTCTCTGTAACATACCTGTCCAATTTGACTTTTCTGCAAAACTTCGCCATGATTTGGCGAATCCCTTCCGCCCTTTTACAATTCGCTGCGCTACCGTCATCTGACGAAGTCCGATCCGCCCCCCTACAAATAATTCGACATCCACCCTTGCTGTGTGAGAGCAAGGGGGGACCAAATTCATCCGGCTTTTTCATGCCCCCTCGAACCTACTAAGGGCTAAGGACCTTGCGCGGAGACGAGGCGGGGGTTGGTTTGGCGTTTAGTGTTCGGGGGGGCTCCTTTGCGCGAAAACCCTGAACAAACTGGGTGGTTCGCTGCCTAATCTGGAAAGACCCGTTTACCAGCCACTCCATAAACACAGGGTGTGGCTGGGCGGGCCGAAGGCCTGGGGGCGCTCGCGCGACCCTTAAGCCCTGCAGAAAGAAAGAGAGAGAGAGAGAGAGAGCCTCGCAAGCAAGCAAGCAAGAGAGAGAGAGAGAGCATGTCGCTCTTAAGAAAGTCTGAAGTCCCACCCTCAAACCTGCAGCTGTCGAGGTGGCATGGCGCGGTGTCGAGAAATACCCCAGTCTGATGCCAAGGATTGAGGATCACTCATTAAGCGAGACAATTGACTTCGCAGCTTGCATGGAGGAGGGGATGGGGTCGGACAGGCGATTGCAAAGTGATGGTGGAGCACTCATGCTATGGGGGACCGAAGCAGGCTGGCAGACAGGCTCACATACGGACTATGTCAACAGCACTTCTGAGGGTAATATCATTCGCACAACTCTCATTCTTATCAGGATAGCAGTGGTCCCGCCAATCCCGACAGTCCCTACAAACCCGTTCGTTTGCCCAGGTTAACATGGCTCTGGCTGGTGATGCTGTCTGGCAAGTGACTGAGAAGTTGCGAGTGTATCGTGCCAGAGGAAATCGCTGTCTTCCCGAAAACCCTAAAGCCCAACACATGTGATGATTTGCTTTCCCCGTGAGGTTCCGCAAGGAAGATGATCAAATTTGCGCAGGACCCGCAAATCAAAGCAACGCCCGAAGCGCTACACAGAGTTCACCGGTTTATTCATGCTGTGACGGCTTGCTACTTAGACTTAGCTGGCCATTGCTGTTGTCATTGCCCCGCAAGTCATCATTCTTCTTGTGGAGTTGTCGTTGTCGCTGTTGATGGCAAGACGACCATCGTGATAACTATCATTTCTGTACTCTTGTTCGGATAAAGGTGCCCCAAGGCAGCTCGGGAGGGTGCGTTCCCGGTTCCAGCAAACAGGCCCTACAGCCCTACAGCCGCAAGTCTCGGATCCTTTTCAACCCCTCTTGAATCATGGAGCCACTGCAGGACTGGGCACATCCGAACGAGACTCAGACGCGTCTCAGTGCCTTAGCACGAGAGACTTCACTCAAGAGGCAGGCAGTTCAGAGATTGAACACTAAGTGTTTCTCTTCGTGCCGGAAAGCATTCGCTGGTTAGCGATTGCTAGCTGAGGCTGTCGAACACGGAATGCCACAACGAAGGCCCCACGTAGGCCCTGGACCCCAGACTCCTTTAAGCACTTCCCGAACCTGTCCGACATCACCGAAATTCGTTTCAAAAGCCCGATCCTGAAACGCTTCAATGGAAGCTGCAGACGAAGCAAACTGAACAGGAGCTCTTGAATCTCCTCGAGCCGCCGGGTTCCGAGATGTCCTTTTGAAACATACCCGCACGTCCTCCTGCGGATTATGACAACAATGATTGTGTTGATCATGATTGTGAAGTTGCTGACCGTGACGGCGGCAACGATGATGATGATTATCATAGCGGTCGCGACGGTTGTGAGGGTTGTGATGACGGTGCAAACGAACATGTTGCCGACAACAAATCGTTCATCATGGTTGCGCTGCATATCGCGATTCAGCTACAAGCACACTTTTGTCGGGCCTAAAACTGTGGCTACTTGACTCAGTTGCCCAGCCACTGTCAGTGTTGCTACCTTGGCTGTGGCCGTGATAATGCGCTACGACACATTGCTTGGCAGTGTTGTGAAAGGTAAACTTGCTATTATTTTGTCATTTTGCTCTTCCTGGTCCAGACAACGTTGGACCATACCCCATATCTGACTTGAAGGAGGAAGTTGTCTCATGCCTTGTTTATTTGGTCTTCCTCAGAAGTTATTTCAACTTCGCTTGAAGCTAGAGCCATACTGTCGTCCTTCAGCAACAACAGCGACTATCATGTACCTTGAAGACTTAATTACCATAATATCGTCACTAATCAGGTTGCAGGAGATGCACGTCAGGGAGGGTTCTGGGTAGCCGGCTATGAACTTGAGACTTGGCGTTTTTGGAAGAGCACGGGTGCTGTGGAGCAGAGTGATCTACACTTGCGGAGCTATCCTGACTGAAGCAGGACAAGGATTGGCACCCGATACTGAAGCCAAAGCCTTGAACGCACACTCACGTGCAACATACCCTAAGACCCCGACTCCCGTACAACCGTCACTATATGCCGAGGCTCCTTGCCAGAATACCCGCCAACGCTTCGGGAAGGTCTGGCCCCCCTCCCAAGAGCACTCTCTGGAGAAGCAAACTCTGAAAACTGCTTATGCTAGCAATGCTGTCGATACTACTGTAGGAGACACCGCGCCGTTGTGGGAATAACAACAGTACAGCACCATCGCTGCTCCAATGGCACCACCACCACCACCACCACCGCGACAACAACAACAACTACCTAAGCTGTTGCTACTGCTACCCTGCTGCTGCTGCTGCTGCTGCTGCTGCTGCTGCTGCTGCTAGTCTTTGTTCTGGTTGGGAAGGCTTTGAAGCAGGACAAGAAATCTTGCAGATGGCTCAAACAAGGTCGGAGTGTGTATATGCGGGACCGGTAGAAATGGGTTTGAGGGGGGAGGCAGATTTTGAAATGTAGCGCTCCAGTCTATTGAGCAGAGACCTTCGAAGGGCGTAATTGATGGAGCCGTCACAGCATATTCGGCAGGAGGGATCCCGCTGTCGAAACGACCTGTGCATCTGAGTGCGGGAGGACAAGCTGGAGGGCCATCATCGGCAGTCTCGCGGTGACCCTGAGCACGCCCTGCACTCGGTCTTCAACGTTGCAAAAGCAGAATTACACGATGGGTCCTCAACCTAGACCTAGGACCTAGAACAACCAGGCCTTAATGCACACTCAACATGAACAGTGCCCACGTCTTCTTCGGTGCCAAGAGAAGATTCTTCTCAGGCAATGCTCCCTCCATACAAGCTACACTTTCCTGTTTCGATTGCGACAAACCTTGAATCTCGCATCCCCAAAGCCCGGCAACTCAACTGACAAATTCCAGAAGCCTTCAATTCCCGAAGGTGGACGCTGATGCTCTCCTGCCTTCGTATTTGCTGCCGGCAGTCACCCGTCTGTGGAGTCATTGCGGCTTCTGGGCAGCGGGATGCAGGGATTGACGTTGAGGGCTCAGGCTGCTGTGAGGCGTTGCGACCCTAACATCCTTGGCCACAGCTCGGAAGGACTGTCATGACACACCCCGACATGTTGTATTCTGATCCTTCGTCCAGGAGAGCAGGGAAAAGGCCTCTTGGCAGCATCACTGGAGTTTTTGACTTGGGCGGAGGGTTCTCGTGCAGTGCCGACTTGATGTGGCCGTGCGATGGCCGTTGTCTCAGGGCTCATAGCGTATTTGGGGAACTCGAGTGGCCTGGGTGAGGGGAATTGCGGTAGTAGTAGTAGTAGTCGTCGTCGTCGTCGTCGTCGTCGTAGTACTAGTAATCAGTAGTAGTGGAGGAGGAGGAGCAGCAGAGAGTATTGCCAGAGTGTTTTCAATAACTACTTATCACATGCATCTTGGCAACGGCAGGGTTGGCAGCATCAGCCAATTAACTAGCAGCATCAGGAGTGGCAGAAGAAGCAATATGAATTGCAGTGTTGTGTTCCGAACGATTCTGCTACTGCAATATCATGCATGATTAGGACCCTCATGAATCTTGCGGCTTCGTGTCTGAGGGCAAGGATCTCTTGCACCCTGCTCCATCGCTGGGTCAGAGACTGCGGAGATGCCCGGCCCTGAGCCCCGAACAACAGCTACCCTGAGGTAAATTTCTTCGATGATGTACGTAGAGATCATGCGGAGTCTGGGAACAGCAGTGGCGGTGGTGGTTGTCGTAGCTGTCGTCAGTGTGGCTCCCGGTCGTCGACAGAAGCAACACCAACACTAACCAATAGTTGTTAGCGAGGCAGTATAGGTCGACCGCCAGGCCTAGCTGCTGCTGGTGGTGGTGGTGGCGGCGGTGGTGGTGGTGGTGTTGTTCTTGTGGTCTTTGTTGTCGGTGTATCACTGTTGACATAGTTGTTGTTGATTGTTGTTACTGTTGTTACGGTTGCTCTGGTTGGGTATCTGCTGCTGCTGCTGTTGCTGCTGTTGTTGTTGTTGTTGTTGTGGTTGTTGTTGTTGTTGCTGTCGCTGTTGCCGTTGCCACTGTTGCTGTCGCTGTTGCCGTTGCTGCTGCTGCTGCTGCTGGTGTTGTTGTGGCTGTTGCTGTTGCTGTTGCTGTTGCTGTTGCTGTTGCTGTTGTTGTTGTTGTCGTCGTGGTCGTTTTTGTTGTTTCTGTCGATGTCATTGTTAGCTGTTGTGCTTGCTCTCGATCTTGTTGTTTTTCTTGTGTCGCATGTTACCGTGAATCTTAGCCAGTTGGTTTTCGGCTACCTTTCTGCTGCTGGCGTTGCTGTGTCGTTGTTGTTTTTCCGCCTGGTCATCCGCAAAACCTAAGACCTAAGCCCTCTAGAACACATGGATCGAGAGCAGGACCAGCAAACCAACTGGCGATTGTCCTTTTCGCATCCAGTCGATATGTTTCTTCGATTAGCTACCTTGGTACCCGTCGGAGGCGTCTAAAGCCGAGGCCTAGAATCTGGAGCATTGAGCCAGAACAGCATTTGTCATCCGCACTACCGTTGCCGTTGGTGTTGTTCTTCTTGCTGTTCTGGTGCCTGAGAGTACTGAGATGGTTACTGCTGCCGCTACCGCCACCATTGCATGCAACTCAAAGTTCATGAAAGGTCTTTTTCACCTTCCCACTCATGGGCGCGGCCCTTGGCTTTGTGGTCTCAGAGTCCCGGGTGGCCGGGGAAGTGGTACCTTCTTGTGGGTAGACTGGTGCCTTAGCGCTAAGAAGGGACGGAGATGAGGGAGCCGTGGCCCTAGGGAGCGCCAGCATATCTCCACGCTCGCCAGGAGAGCAAGACGTAAATGTGGAAGTTTGGGTCGCTGTGTCAGATCTGTCGACAGCTGTTCCCGAGATGGATTGTTTCGAAACGGGCTCTCATCAGTTGAAGGTGCATGTTCATGCGCTTTCGCATACTTCTCGGCACAGCACCAGCGCACTGTATGTACAGATCGAGTCGGAGATCGGCGAGTGTCATCAGAGTGCTTTGAGGTGTGAAGGTCGTTCTGGACAAGATGATCGTCCCGGCCCTACTGAGCTCCTGCGACATCTTGAAAAATGTCCTTCAGAACATTCTACAGTACTTCCTTTAGACTGGTCTCGTGTTTGTCTATGTTTGCATTTGGGCTATGGGGTTTCTGTGTGACCAGGCTTCTCCGAAACTTCTCTGGGAAGTCCATGCGATTGAAGTAGACATGCCGCTTTTTTAGTAAGGTCTCGCCGCTGACTGTGGCACAGGCGGCCTTGCTTAGACGGAGAGCTGCGCCGCCTCCCCGGGCCCGACGAGAGCTCTCTCTCTCTCTCTCTCTCTGTCTCTCTGTCTGTCTCTCTGTCTGTCTGTCTGTCTGTCTCTCTCTCTCTCTCTCTCTCGCTGGTTGGGGTTCTGGGGGCTTGTTACAGCTTGAAGGGCGTCCCGACTTCGGGCGCTTTAAGCTTGAAGATGTTTGGATTTGAGGCCTCTGCGACTGTTCTAAGCGGACAAGAAGATCTAATCCAGTCCCGAGATTTCCCCGATGAGACCACTAGGGAAGTCCCAAGCAAAAGCACCCGTTTCAGGCATTGTGTCGACAGATTTCTGCCGCTCCCCTTCTCCAAATCACGACCCAGGCAGACGCTGCGAATGCAGGACCAGCTGCTAGCAGAGGCAGACGTGTTTCGGTCTTGGTTGTAGGCTGCAATCGGTGTGGCCGCTGCTGTGGAAGGCCTTCTCGTTGTAATTGCAGAGCTTGCTCAGCGTCGAGCTTTCCGGAACAGTCATGTAGACCGAAACTTTCGATGTCCCCTTCAACCATCAGAAAGCGTGTGGCAATTGAGGGTGTGAAGCCCTGAAGTAGATGAGCATTGTCAGCACTACCTAGGATCGCCCTTCGACGGTGTTCGATCTGTGAGGTGTAGCAGTGTCCGTCGAAAACTTGTCGCAAGCATCAGAGGCCTAAGATAACCTAAGATCTCATGTTTTGGATTTACTTCAGGCCAAGCAACCAAACACATCTCAGGGTGGCAACACACCTGGCGCAGGCGCGTTCCGGGGTTGAAGGTTTCATGGATTTTGAGGGTTGGGTGTTGAGAGACGCCAGGGTGTATCGTAAGCATGTTGATGTTTTTTCGAGTCTGAGAAGAGCATTGACAAGTGTAGCAGTGATATCGAACATATGTTCTACCAGTTATGTAAGGCGTTACTCGCCAAAGTCATTAGTCTCAGAGCATGGGTCAGACCGGTACACTTACTTCTTCTTTGGTCTGTCTATGTGGTTTGGGGTCCAGGAAGTCTCGGAAGACATCGAAGTTCAGGCGGATGTTAGAGACTTTTTTGTGCCGCAAAGCGCAAGCCCTTGGCCAGGCCGCAAACGCGAGAGAGCCGCCACCAGCAGTGTCCCGACTTTTTTGGGGATTTCTATGATTTTCTATGGCAGGCGCGGCATGGCGCGGAATTTGTACTCACTGCAAGGGAGGGTTTGCCGGCAATTAGCAGATCATGTTTGGCTTGCTCCTGGTGCCTCAGCCCAAATCAAGCAAGGCCGAGAGTCGTAGCAACCGCCTTCTTGCCATACTTGTAGCTTTGAAAGCACCCGTCTGAGGCCTGCCACAGCGAATCAAGCGCAAGAGCACGGCACGAGAGAAGCCGAAGGCTCGCACCGCGGGTTGAGAAGCTTGCAGGCAAGGTCTGCCAGACTACGCTACATGCTGAGAATATATGCTTTGAGCCGTCTTGTCATAACCCTCCCATTCTCCGCATGTTCCAAGTCCTGGAGCAAGTGGCGGCAGCCTGTCGCCAGCTTTCCAGGAGCCCGCATCCAGGAGCTCCGCATTCACACGGCCAAGGCAGCTTGCTGGTAAAAGATCGGTAAGATGTGGGGCATCCAGATTCGCGGTCTCTGTCGCTGCTTCGCCAGAAATCAAAATAAAACCAACATGGTCGCGATTGGTGTGCGAAACGAAACGGAGCCAACATCATTCGTGAGCTTCCTCCAGAAACCCGGGGTCACGAAATTCCGAAGCCCTGGTCCTTGGAAGATTGGTGCCTGAAGACATTCCGGAACCGAGCTTGCCGCTGCTTTCGCCCGAGGAGGAGGCGTGGATTGGTGCATTTCAGAATGTGAGGATTCTTGCCACAGGCCCTATAGAACCAGGGATTCTGGAGCGGAGTGCTGGGATGAACAGCATGTAAACTTGGATTCGGGTCCTCCAGCTCTACGTATGTGCACGGAAACCCGACGTTGGGTCTGAATGCAAGAGACTCCAAATCACAGTTATCAACATACAAGGCAGCAATGAACAGCAACAAAGACACGATAGTCGTCATCCGAAGTGCATGGAGTACTCAGGTTCATAGCCACGTTCATGGCACAAGCCTTCTGTGCAGAGTTTGAGCTGTTCAGTATGGATGCTTGCTTCTCGGTTCTGCGAGTACCTGCGTTTCAGGAGCCAGCAGTGGATGAGTGGTGTCAAGTGCACCGACATAGTCATGGGCCCAGAACTTGGTGCTCGCAATGGTTTGGGGTCTGCATGAGGTGGGGTAGCAGAAGCAGACAAGGTCGATCCAGGTTGTCATCTTTCATACTGACAAACATTGGCTGAGGCTTTCGAGCAGCTGAGACAGCCTACAGCTAGCCGTTTCTTCAGGTCTGCAACCCCAGCCAGGGAAGCGTAGCACGGCCAGGCGAGCATCCGAAACGAGCGCTGCCCGCAGAGCGGTCGCGGCCAGCGGAATCGCACCTCCCCTGGAAATTCAGCTGTCGATGATGTGAGGCTCGGGTTTCAGGACTTAGGACGCCCGAAGGTTTTTCGATTCTTCGTCACGGTGTGCAACCGACTTGAGAGTCCAAGTGAGAACGTCTGGCTGCAGCGGCATCAGAATGAAGGGGCTATGGTCCTTGTGGGTACTTGGTGTCTGGTTGCAGCAAGTTTGGCTTCGAGGCGTCGCGTTTTGCCACACATCCCACTGCACATAGCTGCAGCGTGATCTTCACCTGCAGCTGCAGACTTCATGCCTGAATGAGCCCACAAAGGTCGCATAGGAGCCCCGCGAGGACGCAGCTTGAGAGGAGCACTAGAATGCGAGACAGATATTTACAACAGAACAGCAAGCCCTTCTATCGAAGCCCATTCTGTTCAGGCTGGAACAGCACGTCCGGGGCGTAAATCGTAAATCTCAGAAATGTCAGGTCGAAGCTCGCACGCGCCTGCAAAGCCGGAGAGAGCGCTCCGGCAAAATGCCAAGAACCCACCACCCGGAAGGCACCGCCCTCGGAAAAGTGCGCTCTGGGGAGTGCTTTCGCTTGCTTGGGAGTCGGGGCTTGCATCGACTTGCAGATTCCGAATCACCCTGCTCCTTCGGGAATCGTAGCCGTGAAGACTTTTATGGATGCTGCAGTGATGCAGATAATGACGACTCATGCCTCAGTTGACACAGCCCTAGGCCCAGCTCGCCCGACACGGACTATGAGTAAGACTACGAGAGTCCTCGTCGTCGTAGTAGTAGTAGTAGTGGTGTGCTTCTCCCACTCCTGCTACTACTACTACTCCTGCTATTACTATTACTACTACTATTATTACTATTACTACTACTACTACTACTACTACTACTACTACTACTACTACTACTACTACTACTACTACTACTACTACTACTACTACTACTACTACTACTACTACTACTACTACTATTACTACTACTACTACTACTACTACTACTACTACTACTACTACTACTACTACTACTACTACTACTACTACTACTGCTACTGCGGCGAACAATAATACATGCTAACAATGGTTCTAATAGTCACAGTTTTGGTATCCATATCTCAGGTCAGCGGTCATTGTACAGTGGACGAGCGCGACGACGGAGAGGGTTGGGGACTCAAGTTCTGTTTCCAATCGGTGGTCCGGGTCACTCGTCACTGCCAGTCCGTACTGTTGATGCAGTGCTTGGCAAGCCTGTCTGGCAGCTGGAGCAGTTGAGTTTGGTTGACTCTGCTAAGTGCTCAGAATCAGAAGAAACGAAAAGTATTGCATTGCTAACCCAATGTTGGAGCAAGGTGGCGAGCTGTTGGATGATGCACTTCAGGCCTGCTAAGCCAGGGCAGTTGAGCAGACAGTGTCGATGAGCAGCTGCAGCCCGAGCGAGCCTTTCTGCACTACGACAAGGAAGAGAAGTGACAACAGTCCGCATGTCTGCGATGGGCCATCGGACGGTTCAACACCCATTTTGCTGCTGAAGTGCCTTCAAGCTAGCGGCACAAAATTCGTTCGTACCGTGAGCGCAATACAGTCAGAGTGTCAGACACACTTGGTTTCGGCTGTTGCCTACGTTCCAAGTGCGGGAACTGTCTTGGAGTGCAAAAGACTTGGCCGGGGGTCTTCCTGCTCACACGCTCCGAAAGTGTGATCCTGTTGCAAAACATCCGAGAAGCCCTGCACCTTCTGTTTTACGTTAATGTCGTTCACAACCGAAGCCTCCTCCAGGTGGAAAGCAGCTCTTCGAAGCCAATAGCGACAGCAGCTGAAGTCGTTTCTCGCATCTTCTGGAAAGGCTTTGTGGCTTTGTGGCTGTTTGAGGGTGTCTAGAGTTTTGGCGGCTGTGGATTTGATTAGGACTCGGAGCCCACAAGGCACCTAAACACATAAGATGTTTTAAGGCATTGTCCCTGCAAGGGGCCGGTTACAGAATGATTTAAGTTATGTTCAGGTGCTTCTCTGGACCCTCCTTTGATGTTGTAATATGATAATGTGTGTAAGAAGGGCTGACAGACGAGGGTGCCGCTGGAACCGCGCAGCTGCGTGCTTTGGCCAACGCTGCCAGACATCGTGTGATTTTGGGCCATGCCCATCTCCTGAATACAGAGGGATGTAAGGAGGATGCCTTGCAGTGGCAAGGGATGAGATAAAACCACGGCCAAGCCATCATCCGAAAGAAGCTTTGCTAGAGCGCTGCAGCCAAGGCGATGAGCATGAAGCAGCCGAGTCCGAGGCCATGACAGGGTTCGGGGGATGCCTGAAACGTCACGTCAGGTCTGTGTCTGTGGCATGCTTTCGCATGCTTGCTGAAAAACGACAGCCAGGGCAGCTAGAGCTTGATGCTGTTGGTGCATTTTCACTTGAATCAGGCTGATACTGCACTGTAGGGGAATCCTCCCGCGAAAGCCTCCCCCAACGCACTTAACTGTGAACTGGACCCAATATACCCGGCAGAACCGACCTCACATCCTCTTGCAGAGGCTACGGCCAAAGAACTGAGCCCCAACCCGGACGAAAGCTCCCATGCCCCACACAAAACTGAGCAGAAAATAGAAAAGTGACAGCAGCAAAGTGGCGTCACAAGATCGGACAAATTACGAGCCTCAACCCTCAACTTAGATGTCAGTCGTAGGCCCATGTACGGATGCCGTAGCCCCTACGCCCAATAACAGCAGGCAGAGGACCTTTAAAAGTACTGAAATCAATCTTCGATGGTTCCAGGCCGTCTCCGTTGCCTGTCTCAGTCGAGATACCAAGGCATGGCGTGCAGTGGATTGGGATTCTGCAGATTCTTAAGGGCTTGGCGTTCTGTTTAGTCGTTGAAAGGTTTGGCATACAAGGGCTTCACGGCCGTCGGTTGAGAGTTTGCATTTGCATGGCGGTTGAGAGTGCAGCTGCGAAAGCCTTCCGTTCAAGTGATTGATTCTGAGGATGACTACTTGCAGTTTTAGAAGCTTCTGCAATACTCTGTTATGTTTGTTATGTGGATAGTTCATTGTACTTTGAAATTTTGGTGTGGTATGTATGGATACTGACAGTTCCGGCGCTGAAGCTCGTTCGGTCGAGTTGCGAATGCATGCTGAAGCGTCCCTGTCGACATTCGCATCTTCTCACAGCTATCCAGAATGTATTCTGTGCCAATAAGCTTCGAAGAAAACCTGACATGGCTTTGTACTCGTCACTCGTTCAATCTGCAGTTGAGTGGGCGGGCACGATGGCCAAGGTCATGATGCATTCGGTCGGGACCTACCTGTAAGCCTGTTTGCACGACCGTCGTCTCGATGGGCTTGGACTTGGGCTTAGGAGGAAAGGCTCAAATGACTGAAGGTGGCAGGTTTGGCGTCGAGGTTTCAAGGAGATTGTGGATGCCCACCCAGGTTGTTGGCCCGGCTCGCCTGCCGGTTGCTCAAGGAAACCGAATTATCCTAATCATTAATGGAGTTGCATGAACAATTACTATAGATAGTTACTCTACCTGAGAAATACTCCATTGGACTTCAACGCATGCAAGCTTGCCAAGCAGCAGTGCCAGGCAACCCCCGACAGTTCTGCGGATATCGCCTGCACCCGCCCCGCTTCCAGTGGCAGGCGAGTGGGGCTCTGAGGGGACGTGTAGAACATAGCAGTCAGGCGTGACCACCGCACCTGTGGCACGCTCAGAGATTTCGAATGTACTGATCCCATGCATCGGATGCATCGGAGTGGCCTAGTCTAGACTCCGGTCAAGCCAGAGCTCTCGTGTCAGCGTTCTCGTGGTCCATTCCATTCCTCGTCGATTCCAGCAGGCCGCGCGCCCAGCGCCAGCCCGAGGCCTCTCCGAGCGAACTGCATCTTGTTACAAAGGGTGCTCATAACGCCAAGGCGCTGGTTCCTCAGAGAGTGGGGTTGGCACTGATGTTCAGAGGTCTATATGTTCAGATTGATATTTGCGAGACGGATTCGAGGAGTTAGGCAGGTGCAGCTCTGCTGCTGCGAGCTCCCGATCTTGACTTCGGATACAGAATTCTACTTCTAGGACCTAGGACCCTTGCAGGCCGCTCGAAGACCCCTGCTCCGCTGCTTCCGGGAGCTCCCCTTGCTTTGGTGGTGCACCAAGTCCGGGGTTTATGGAGCCTTCTCTTTTCACTTCTTCCCCGCTTTCCCCTCGGTTTGTCGTATGTCGAGCAGCCAAGTGCAGCTAAGTGGGAGCGCCGCCGGACGCACCGCTGCCACCAACGCAGCGACCTGCCACAGAGCCTCGGGCAGATCGGGCGGAGCCTCGAGGTGACTCAGAGGACCTCCAGTCGGAGCTGCCGAGGGTCTTGGTCGTTCTTAGCCTCGAATTTGCAGGTCTGGAAACCTTCAAGCTCTTTGTCATGGCACGGTAAGACAGCTGCCAGGACGCAGAGATGCCTGTCATCCTGACGCCCCTGGCTCCACCACCCTCGCACCCTCCCAAGCGACTCGGCGATTATTGCCGCGAAATACTTGTGAGGCCGATAATCATCTGTGCGGTCAAAGCGATGCCCAGTTGCAATTGCCAACCTCAATACCTTGCAGCGAGGCTTTCCGGTGCGGCAGAGCCGAGTGCCGAAGTGCAATGCGAGGAAGCTCAAGACAAGGAGAGCGTGTTCAATTGTACTTCCTGCTGGGAGGTTGGAGGGATGCTGGAAGCCGGTGGTCAGGAGGAGCCCAGAAGGCCGCCTCCGCCCGACATGCCTCCACCGCCTTGCCCCGCAGGTGCCAGAATCAGATTTCGGGGCGCTTCCAGGAGATTTCGGCGCATGCATCCTGTACTCACGAGTTACCCGGCTCATGACCAAAATTGGACAAATGCAACTGTAGAGGGCGAGGTGTTCTCGTTACTTGGTGTTAAGTTTTGGGGCGGGGCTGGGCTGCACAGACGCCTGGCATGCAGACCAACTCGCAAGCTTCTCGTGGAGCTTCTCAAGAAGTGATTCAGCGCTTCCGAAGATATCGGACCTTAAGATAGTACCTTCAATAGTAGGATCCGTATTGTAAGGACTCCAAAAGTAAGGTGACGACCGAAGTCCTGATGCATCTAATCCAATAGGCAGGAAGGCACAGCGACGTGACAAATTTGGCAGTCACTTCCCTGAGCCTGACGACTCAGCGACCCTCTAGGGCGATTAGGCTCAGAGTGCCAGGCGTGACGAGCGAGACACGACTGCCACTACCGCCACCACTACCACTGCCACTGCCAATACAACTCCTACTCTGACTCCTACTCCACCTGACGACTGACTACTAGTACAACTAGTGCTTCTGCTACTACTACTACTACTACTACTACTACTACTACTACTACTCCTACTGCTACTGCTACTGCTACTGCTGCTACTACTACTACTACTACTACTACTACTACTACTACTACTACTACTACTACTACTACTACTACTACTACTACTACTGGAACTCTGTCGTCCTTATAGTTGCTGTTGCTGTAAAAGGATCAGCACCAGCAAGGTGATCGTCGATGTGATAGACCTGGGCGCCCCCGAACACTTGCGAATGAATGTTGTTTGCACTTGCATTCCAAGCTGGATCCCGGCCGAACCAATCCTCTGTGAAAGGAGGTATTCAGCCAGCACCTGTACATATTGGTCAGCTCCGAAACCCGTAATGGAGTTGGACATCGAACACCTTCCTGTCGCCAGGGCAAGAGATCTTGCGCTGGCTTCAGCAGCCCCCTAAAGGGTGTCGCCGGCTGGTTCTTGGAAATTGGTCGCCTCGGAGCCGTGGCATGGAGTCGATGCAGGTAAAGAGATGTGGTCTTTGCTCCTGACATGCTCGGGTTGTTGTTGGATCACACCTAGGTTCATCCCATATTCGAGTCCAAAGTGGAGTGCAAGTGACTGCCATCGGTTTACAGCAGGGTTGAGTTTCGGGTTTGTTTCAGCATGAATGCCCCCAAGGGATACAGCTGAGCGGGCAAAACAGTTAGCCAGTGTGTGACAGGTGTGTGTTGTGTGTGTCTGTTGTGCCTGTGTGTGTGTCGTGAAAGTGCAAGTCGAGTCAGGCCACGGATGATGATGCAGCTTCATGTAGCCAGTCAGCCGCAGAAGCTGACGGCTTGTATGGTTTAGTTGGGCAGTTGACAGTTTGACAGCGGTGAACTGACGGTTTAAAGCTTTCTAGCTAGGAATGACAAGTACCAAATTCAAAAGAACCTGCCAGGGAGACTGCCATGCCAGTCGTCGCTGATATGGGCTGCTTCTCCGGAGGCACTGCGAGGGGCTTTCCTCCAAGATCCAGGCTTAGCATCATCTTGCGGCGTAGCTCTAGTAACTGTAGTAGCTTGCCAGTGTGCGACGAGGGCTTTGGGGCTCTCAAGCTCTGATTTTGGCTCTCCCAGTTGCTGCCCAAATTGTGAGGAGGTTTGAAAGGGCCCCTATCAAAAACCTCTGGGCCTTGGTGGAGCTGAGATCACAAAAACTCAAACCCTGATGCCCAAAGCCCCTAAGCCCGAAGCTCTACTCAAACCGCGAGGCCAGCCGAAACCCCTTTCGCTGGCAGGTACCGGAGGCACCCCTGGTTGGGATGGAGAGATCATCCAAAGCTGCGATCAGGAGGCAGGTCCGATCTGCTGAAGAAATCTCAAAGTGCGCAAGAAGGGGCACGATCAAAACACATTATGAGTTATTGTACCCCTGTCCGTTTTGTCGGCATTGGACAGGCTGGGATTCGCTGTCGCCTTGTCTGCCCAGTTCGCAGTTTTTTAGGTGCAGGGAGCAGCGATTGCGTAGCTTGCAACAACCCTCCGGATCATCGAAGCCCCCAGCCGAAAGCCTTAAATTTGAAGTCTATGTAGAAGCCAGAAGCCCCACAATCATTTGTGGGCGCTTGAAATCTCTGGTCCTGCGGAGGGGTTGAAAAAAAGGTAAAAGCCTTTGAGACACTGCCAGGAAACGATCTACGATTCCCAGCCGCCTTGGAAGTCAGAGTGCTTTGGCGCGGAGTCAGACTCGTTTAGGCCTCTTTCTAAGGAGTCACTACATAAGGTGCTGCATTGTAAGAAACCAGCGAGTAAGAGATTAGGGGGACTGTCCTCTCGAGTCGGATTTCGATAGAATTACCAGGCTTCTGAGTCAGAACCTGTCGTGCCGTGGGGCTGGGGTAAGAGCAGTTCTTGGCATCCGCCTACAGACTAGAGCAAAAAGTGCCCCAACCCCAAACACCGTTTGCACAAGGTAAATCGCGATTACACTTGTCCCTCGTCAGGTTTCGGCTTCATTGGTTTGAGGAATTCGTCGTTTTTCCTCACTGTTCCCGAGCATGAAGTCATTCTGAGAATCCCTACTTGTCATCGCACTAAGGTGCCCAGGTCGGTTCACTGCCGAAGATGACGTCGCCCAGCAGCAAACATCAGGGGTGTCGGTGTAATCTTGGGTATAGGTGAGCTATGTATCTGATTACGCAAATCATTCACTCGGTGTCGAAGGTTATGACAGACTGTGCTACCAGTCTGCTGGAGAATGCCCTGCCTACGACACTTCAGCGCCGACAAGTTTCACATCTTGTTTCCCGGGGGCGTAAGCAACCGATCCATCACCCTCAAAAAGTACCACGCAGCTCTGGAAATGACCACATGGCTGAACCCCTCAAGTGTCAAGCGAGCCCAAATCAAAAGGGAGGACATCTCTGCATTCCCGGGTGCTTTGCTTAGACCATCTGGAGCCTCAGGCTCTGCCTGACAGCCCTTACGTCGGGGAATCATTTTCTAACCTGGAAACGAGATGACAGATTTGCTCACAGTCCAGTCGAGTCGCAGAGGTCGGCAAGAGACTGGAAGCCATGGTGGAGGTCCAGCGCCATTTGCGTTAATGTTGAAATCGAAGCCGTCAAAGGATGGGGACTATGACGGCCTGGATGATGCTCATGTTGATGACACTCATTGGTGGGTGCTGAAGCTGCTGCTGTTGCATCTGTTGCTTATCTCGATGGTGGTGGTGGTGGTGGTCTGTTGATGGTGTTGTTGATTATGCTGTGAGCTGCCTCTGCTGACAATATTTGTTATGGCCAGCTTCATGCGCCTGCTTTGTGTTGCAACGGCCCAGAATAGATCTATTCTTCTTGTTGCTGCTACTGTCGCTCTGCTATCTAGCGCTACGTAATCCTGTCACCGTCGTTCCTGGCTTTGCCCCTAGCTGTCCAGATCTGCTGTACTTGCTTCGGCACGTTTCACATCCATTAAGATGCTACTTGGTTGTGTTGGGGTTTCTGCCCACTTGCACATCCAGTCGTACTTTGTGTTGAAATTCCGTTGGCAATGCCTTCCAGTGTTGTGGGCCCGCACCATGGCAAACCGTTGCTCTAAACAGCTCCTCAGTCCGATCTCGAAACATTGCAGTGCCAGGAACTTGCAGGGCCCAGCTCCTTCGAACTCCTGGAAGATGCTTTCAGCAAAGTCGACGCTGCCAGGGCGCGGCTGGGCTGTGGGGGCGGGGGCGGGTTTTCTACATGAGGACCTGTTGTTCTCGGCAATTTGCAAAGACTTTGCATCGTAGCCCTAGATAGAACCTTCGAGCAGTGGTCCGCAGCTCCTCGCTGCTACTCGTGACTAATGAGTTTCATCCATCTCCGTTTTCTTCTCAGAAAGATCCCTATGCTCAGTCCTTTCTCACAGGTCGGTGTGTGTGTGTGTGTGTGTGTGCGTGTGTGTGCGTGTGTGTGTGTGTGCGTGTGTGTGTGTGTGTGTCGGTGTGTGTGTGTGTGTGTGTGTGAGAGCGAAGCATGAGCTTACGGACGTACAACGCGGCTGCCCAAGGGCCCTGGGAGTGTTGAAGGTCTTGTGATTTCTAAAGTCCTGAGTGCCTTGATTCCGCTTCACAGGGCTAGAAGAGAGTCAGCTCTGTGCCTGCTGCCGTCGGATCAGCGCTCGGCCAGTGTGGGATTGAAAGGTTGGATTGCAGAATTCCTTGATGCAGATGAGTTTCGACCTGATTTAGAGGTGACGTAGACCAGACGGCCTGCCGCACTCTCCGGGTTGTTGGGTTCGCTGGGTTTGCCTCGAACTGCCCGGAATGGCGACGCGAGACCTCTTTTCCTGGTGCCTCAGCTGCATCACTGAGCAATAATGTATAAGTATGTAGAACTGCAGGGTCTGCGAATTGCAGAAAGTCCATCCGACAGAAAATTGAGCCGATGTCCCAGTTCAATTCTGCTGGGGGTTGGCGGACGGTGCTATTGCGCTTTCTTGTTAGGGCAAGGGGATGGGGTTAAGATACACACGCAAAGCCAGCGTGTTGAATATGGTGGGGCTGAAGGCAAGCTTGCTCAACTTCGCTTGTGAATCTCAGTCGCTCCTACAGGGTTCCAACGACAGTCATCCCAGAAGGACTGAGAGGATTGAGGCGATAAGCCGTTTCCAGCTGCCTATTGTCAAGTTGTGGGTCCCGCGGATTACACACTGTGATATGCCCGGACCGGAAGTCTCCCTAAGACTGTCTTTAACACTGGCGGCTTCACTGCTGCCAGAGCTCGGCTACCCGAAAGCCACGCAACGATCGCGGCCTCAGGTTGGACGCCTCACTTCAGAGAGAGCGCGAGGAGTTGGCGATCCGCCACCATGAGATCCTCCAGGAGCTGCATCAGCTGCTGGCCCTGTCCAAGCTTAATCCCGAGACTCTTTGTCTCGCCGGACAAGATGCAACGGTCCATGTTGAAGTGCTGAAGCTGAAGATCCGCATTCGTTCTTGGGGCACAAGTTGGAGCTGGTAAGCAGCATCAAGTCTCCGCCGAAAGGCTCCCATCATTCGCTTGAGGGCGCGCAAGAATGTCACGTATTGGGCTATTTAACATACAGAGTCGCTGGCAGTTGGCCATCATGCTGTTGAACTTGGGGAAACGGGCCTGTCGTCTGAGCCATGAGCACAGTAACACAAGATGCCGAAGCACCGGCTGAGGCTCGTGCAGAGGAATGAGTTGTTGAAGAGTGAGGCGATCCTTGGCATTCGACAGCGCACTGCAGGTGACAGGGGCCTGAGGACTCGCAGCTCCGGAGCGATGCAGTAAGCTGCCACAGAGGGTGTCTCCACGAGCCAAGGACCAACCGATGGACTCCGGATGTGATGCTTGGCTGTCTGTTCCAAGCTATGGATGCCCCGTCTATTCATGCTTAAAGCATTAGGAGTTAGGTGTTTTACGTACAAAGATTCCGAACACATTCATAGTTCGTAAATCTCTGGGCGGAGTGCTCAACCTGCACAGCTCGGCCGACCTATTCATTCAGCATTCAGCGCATCCCGAACTTGCCGATGGCTATGACTATGCGGAGCATAGGGTGGATTCGGGGGAATGTGACATGGGATGGCTTCTCGAAAGACAAGGCATAGGTCATAGAAGCGGTGCTGGGCACCGGTTGGAGCAATCATTTGCCAGCCGTACCCTGTTGATTCGATGTAGATGCACTGCAAAGGGTCCAGGCTTTCGTCGATGCTCCGTTGTTTCAGAGCTGAGGACAGACAAGCTGCCAGCGGACAGCGTGGATGCAGTGTCACTCGCTTGCCGGACGGTGCTGAAGTGAACAGTGACACTAGTGAAGTCAACTCCCTCTTTAAGGGAAGGGGTGTTCGCTTCTTTTGAGGTAACGAGTGATATCAAGCAGCCAAATCTAGGCTAAACGGTCGGCGCTCACCAGAAGTTCCAGAGAGTGGATTCGAACCAAGGGGGTAGCCTTTGTTATGTCTGTTCGGGGCAAGCTGCAAAGGCAGACGTGATCAGCGAAATCGGGTGGGGAGGGGGTTGCGGTGGTGTTTGCTAGGCTACTCATGTCCTAGTCTCTGACACACCGTCCTTGGGACATTCGCATCGAGTGCAATAGACTTCATGCAGCCAAGGAAATTGACTGAGATGGATCTGGCACAGGCATACCCGACATGGGCACTTCGTGCCATCAAGTTATTGCACAACTTCGTGGCTTGCCTGGGCTCGTTTCTGCTGCATGCGGCACTTGACAGGGCGTATGTTGGGGCAGTAGTGATTCTTCTCGTGCTCGCCGCATCAGACTCAACGACTGCCTGCCGATTGAAAGGACAGTACATCCATGCCAAACGCATAATTCGTTGCCCAGCGAGGAATCGTGAGAACTTTGGAACATGTCTCGGTGCCCCCTAAGTCCCAAACTCCGCACACTAAGCTGTAACCCTCAGACGGGCCCCAAACCCTCGAGTGCCTAAGTCTACGCACCGAATCGCACCGAGCAAAAAAAGCATTGTACTGTCCATGGTCTCCCTTCTCATTGCTTCGGGCCGTTGTACATGACCATGAAATACTTTCAGGTTGCGTTCGCTTAGCATTTTCTTGTTCTCTCATTATCGTGAACCCATGTGCAGGTCCAGAGGACGAAGTCGGACGACGCTGGGTCGAATTATTGGAGCCGTGCATGCCTTCCTTGGCTGTAGAGGTACTGATGCTCCGAATAACGTCTTCTACTGTATGTACATGCCTAGAGGTATGCATATACGGAGAGTGTGTCTACAGACACGACCTGCTGCACTTGCAAGACACAAAGCCTTCCCGCTAGCAGGGGCTGAGTTTATACCTGCAGTGCAGAATTGGGAATATAAGTGCCTGGATCTGGTCAAAAGAGTCTGGCAATCAACATACGGTGTACACGCATGTACACGTATATCGCAGTGCTTAGCAACACAAGCCCTGTGACAGTAGCCAGCAGTGTTCGCTGAGCTAGCTGTGGTATACAGTGCTTGGAAACATATGGGTATGCTTATAGCTACGAGTGAGCGGTCGAAAGCCAAACTTTGGAGCTGGATGTCAGGTAGCACCTGGACTTAGGCTTAGGGCGTAAGATGTTTATGGGTATGGGCGCTCAGCCCATGCGACTTATCAGCTTGCTCTGCAGCGCGGTCATCCACGCATGAAGGTGTCATGATGTTGAGGAGATGCTTCTACGCGCTTTTTTCAGAGTGTATGCTTCCAGGAAGTCTTCCGCAAGTCTCAGGAGCCTTCTTCCGTTGGCCGCAAGATGGCAGAGTTTCACGTGATACGCGTGCAGGGCCAGACGAAGGTCGGCTTTCTTCCGCTCTTTGGGTCTACGGTTTGAGCAACGCTGGACTGTCCCGGAGTAGCATGGGCGTCATAAACTTGGTTTGAATCTTCGGATATTTTCGGACAGCGATCTGTGTGATGCATGTGCCAAACAGGGCCACGCCAAGCGCCAGCTCCATCACACGCACACACCCACAAACACACACACACACACACATTCCCGCAGTGCCTTCAGATACACATGTGGACGATTGCACAGAATGCACCTCGGCCACTCCGCTGCATCGACATGTTCATTGCTACATGTGCGTGTGCCTTACATACACATATGTATGTGTACCAGTACATAAATACAAAGATGTGTATGTATATATATATATATGCTATATATATATATACATGGAACTGTACGTAAGATAGCATGTGTGATATATATATATATATATATATATATATAATACAGTACAGTACATGTCATTGCATTACATTACATACATGCATGCATAGTACATACATACATACATCCACGACAACACGCAAACGCATCTGCGCATCTACATACCTATACATGCGTGTATATGTATATATATATATATATATGTACGCATGTATATACAGGTATACACATGTAGATGTGTATTTCTATAATTATTCTTACGTATTTGGCAATTCAATCTGCATTGATAAGCATGAAACCTTGCACACAGCAACTGGGCCTGTTGCTGATGCCGCGCTGTCCGGGCTTTACAACTGATGTAGGTGCCATAAAGCGATCAGTACTGAAGTACAGAATTCATGAGATTTCACAATGCTCCCACATAGTACGGGAAATTTTGGGGTCGATCTGATCATGAGGAGTACGACGACTGCTTTGGCAGTCGGCCGCTGGACTTCATAGCCTGCAATGTCTACACTCAATGTCAATAGGCTCGTATTTTCTGACCCCCTCAAGGTCCCGTCATTCCTCTATATTATATGCATTTGCACAGGTATGTGATATGTACTCATGTGTATGTGCAGATATGCATATGTTAATATATATGTATGCGTGCAGGCATGTATGTATGCATGCATGAATCAGTTTGAAGTGAGTGAGTGTGTATGTGAATCTGTTTGTATGTGTATGCATACGTGTATGAAAATATGTACTTCAATGCAACTGTATATGTATGTGCACTGGCGTGTTATGTGTTTTTTGTGCGGTGCGCGATTTTGTACATATAATATGTATATATGTATATGTATATATTGTACATATGATCCACTGTACCTTGCTATGGAAGTCTTGCAGAGTCTGATACATTTGCACAGCACAGACATGTGAACAGCGGCAGCCAGGTCCTGCGCGATCCGGTGTCCGTAGAAGATACCGATGTGAAGAGACGGGAGCACGCGACCCGGTGAAGAATTGAGCTAAGGCAATTGGCAACCGAGCTTGAATCGTGTCCGACGCAATGCGCCGTCGCATAATCCATACTGACTTTTTCCTGGACCTCAAGGGCTCCTGGTGTTCACTCCATCCCGATAAATTGGATGCTGCACTCTCAAAGCGGTGGTTTCGAGTTGAACGGGTTCAAAAGCCTGCAGAGTATTTAAGGCGAGCCGCTTCGAGCGGATGGGTTCGGCGAGCTCTGGTGTACTCAAGGAGCTCCTCTGGTGTTGCCTGAGGGTTCACCCACATTCGGGACAGAATCTGGAGCTTCGGCTTTGAGCCGTAGCTGATGGGGTATAGCTCGCGCGCACATCTAAGTGTAAACTCCACCATATATAAACTGTAAACACCCATAGGTATATGTATGCGTACACACATATCACATCCAATATCATGCATTGCGCCACGATGACGTAAGTAGTCTTGCCACGACAAATGGCGTTGAGTCATTGAGCCTACTAATTATTCGTAGTACGTACATCTACAGATATACAGGTATGAGGCCAGCAGGCGTGAATCATAAATTGTGCTTGCACCGCAGCGTCAGCCGGAACAGTGAGCTGCTTGGCAGGCGGAGGCGCCCAAAGGAATCTTTAAGTTCGTCTTTGATCCGATGCCCCCTGGTATGTCGAGTTCCATTCAAGGACTTCTCTTTCTGGGAGATGGAAACCGGCTGAGGTTTGAGACGGTCATCTGTGTTCTCATCGTGATCAACTCCATTGTGATGTCGTTCGAAGCGCAACACGCAACTGGGCTTTCGAACAGCTTGCTTTGTAGCTGCAAACCTCCAACCCCTAGACTACTGAACGCTGGGCCCTCGATGCCAAGCCCCAAACCCTTGGGAACTTTCAACACTGGCTCGCGTCCAGGACTGTTGCCGGAGTCTAGGGAATGCAAAATATCAAGACATATAGTAAGAGGTGGAGTTGTTTTTGATGATGACAGCAATGCTTGTGATGACGGTGATGTTGATGGCGCTGACGACGGACATGCCTGTTACATGATGGCGGTGACAACGACGGCGGCCATCATCATATGCATGGCAATTCCTGCAAAACGTCGGATGGGGACTTGCGGTGATGGTAAAGAGTACGAGGGTGATGATGATGATGATGATGACGATAAACGAGCCATGGTGTTGCTCACACAGCGATTTCTGAACAAGGATGGTGGTGGTGATGATGAGGGTTATGAACTCAATGATGACGGTGACGCGGGTGACGGGCCGGCCGGCCATCGCGATGCGGCTTCTGGTGAGATGACGAGCTGTGAACATAATGCTGGGCCCGACGACGCTGATGATGTTGATGCTGGTGATAACGGCAGCGATGGCCATTATTCCGGCGATCAATAGGATACAGGAACGTGTCAATGATCGATATCGTAACGTCGACCATGGTCCAAGGGATGTTGATGCTGCTGGTGATGACGATGATGATAATGACGATGATGTGGTCGGTGCTTCCATCATATATCGTTGGTGATGAAAGTTGCCTTATTTGTGATCGCTTTTGCAGCCAGAATGCTATTGTTGGGTAGAGGAGACGGTTGAGTGCCTCATGCAGACATGCCTGCTCTTCTAGGCGGGCCTCACGCTGGGCTATGACTTAGGCCAGCTGAGTTTCCTGTTCCTCCCATGCAGATGCATCTGTTCAGAGCGTTCTTGCACGCGCGTGTTATGCGCGTGTGCGGCAAGGGTATGTGCACATACAAACGCACCTACATCCCAACCTTATCCCTGTCTACATCATCCCAGTTTGACGAAGCATGTGTTCGTGTTGGTCGGCTCACGTCTGGCCAGAGGGCTCCGAACTTTTATTCAGCTTTTTGGTTGATGCAGCTGTGGACACACAGCATCGGCTCCTTGTGCAGGTGCGCTCTAATCGCCTTTTCGGGATAACACCTATAGTGTTTCGGATGAGGCATGGCACACTTGTCCAAGATCCAGACAACTTCGTAAACAAGGCTTATGGCTGCTGCTCCAATAGATGTTGCGGAAACTGGCGGTGAGACAGTCTTGGACAAAGCTTGCTCGTACATTTAGAGTGTTCGAGAGTACGAATACGCGCAGGGAAGGTGTGTGGCACTAGCACTGGCAATAGCAGCGACCATGATCACTCTCAGTCCTTCTCGTTGCCCTTATCGTGGTGGTGTAGTCGTCACGCCACCACTACTTCTGCTAGTACTACTGTTGCTACTGCTGCTGCTACTACTGCTGCTACTACTACTACTACGGCGACTACTACAACAACAACTACAACTACTGCTACTACTACTACTACTACTACTACTACTACTACTACCACTCCTGCTGCTGCTGCTGCTACCAGAAAGCACTAGCTGTTGCAATCGTGATACTTAGTAGTGGTAACATAAGTTGGGACTAAACAGGCAAACAGTACGCAGCAGCAGTGGCAGCAGCAGCAGTAGCAGCAGCAGTTTCCACAGAATAGCAGCACCAGAGAAACCGCACAGAACGCGATCGTGTCAGTTGCAAGAGTTCAACACAGCTAAAACCTGCAAACAACCTTAGAGTAGAAGCAAGCAGACATCGAACAGCCTCCACTCCTAAACCAGCGTCCCTGTCAGCCAATCATTATGGAGCTCTCAGCACTGACCAGTCAAGCAAGACTGACATGCCGCAACAACAGCAGCTTCGGCAGTAAAGTCTAGTAGCTTTTCAGCTTGTTTTTTCTTATGACCTTGGTCTGATTTTTAGTCAAGCACTGTCCTCATGCTTAATAGTATTGCCTTCTACTGACTCCATTGTCTTCCATTGTATGCCATCATTTGCCTTTGTGGTCTCCTTGTTGTCCTGGTATCATCCGCATTGCGCAAGTTGTTATGATTTCGCAACGCCCCGGAGGCATACGAACCTACAACGCTCCTGGGACCGAGCTGTGGCCGGGTGCAGCTGAAGTGTTCGTGGCTTCTGCCGCTCATACGCACGTCTGGGCTAATGGGAGCCCATGGTCCAGTCGAACTAAAAAGCGAGACCATCGGGACACTACCCTGCGAGGTAGGACCTGACCTCCTTCTTTGCGGTTTTGGGGGCTTTGGACCATGATCCCTTCAGGAAAATGTAATGCTGCAGTACAGTACATTTGTGCGGAATACCCATGGGTGTGCACGGGGGTCTTGCATCCGGTAACAGAGTGGATTTGAAAGCGCGAAAGGTTCGACATGGCGTCAGAGTTGCGGGCGTGTGCTTATGCCTCGCCAGTTTAAGACACAGCATCCTCGATTTCGTAGCTTAGGGCTTAGGTTGTTTCTAGAATCTCAGTCTCTGCCCTGGCTGGTTGATGCTCAAGCAGCATCGATATCAGCGGCAGAAAAAAGCGACATTGCCAAACTGTGGGTAAGTCCCTGAAGCTGTGTTGACTGGATGATGCTGGATGCCCAGTATGCAGTAGCGACCACACGCTCTGACAGATCATTCAGAATTGGTATGGACTTCAGGAGTGGTTTTTTGGACCGATATTCGCCGCGGAGCTGATCTTGAAAATCGTTTGGAGCTCAGCGCTTTTTCGGGTTGGAGGTGAGGCCGTGGCCAGACTGTTCCAAAGTTCCCGAATGGTCCTCGAATGTCGTGACGAGAGATTGATTGCTGCTGCTAGGGTCAATGGGTACCGATGAAGTCTGACTGAGGGGTTAGAATGAACACAAACATGTTAAGTGAAGGCAGCCTGCTTCTGACACCCGCCGCTCTTTGAGGGCAGAGACGGAAGCAGCGTCGTGGGAGAACGCGGACTGTCGGACACCGCATCCTGGGTCCGATAAGCCGTCAATCGTCCGAGTACTCGGGCTTGGCACAAGTTGTCATATCGCTCAGATCGGCATGAAGTGCGAGTTCCTGCGGGACTTCTGGAACTATTTCGACACCATCATGGCTCCTTGTCCAAGTCGTAGCCACTTCAATTCTTGGAGATTGGACAGATCAAGGGCACCGTTTCCTGAATGTTTCTGAATCCGCACAGCGTACGTCTTCAAAGGCTGCGTGACTATCGTGTTGCATCGATTTCAGGGGGCAGGGCTGAAAGAACGCAATGTTTTTCAGAAAAAAGCTATTGGGCAAACACCTGGGCAGTTCAATCAAGTGCACTAGCAACGAATGTGTGGGTTATGACGGATATGCAACAGTCACAAGCTTGTTTCGGATTCCTGAAGCCCACGCTGCAGGACAGAATGTAAGTTGGAAGGATCGCGGTAAGGAAAGACTCTGACTGAAACCAGAAAGCCCACCAATGCTTGAGGTTGTTGCATGGTTCGTCGACACCGTCTTCGCAGGCAGAACGCGGTGAAAATTCCGCATCGTGACAGTCAGTAACTTCAACAGAGAATCCCGTCATCAAGGCAACACGGCTCGGAAGCTCGGAACCCAAATTCTTCCTAGCCCCTGCCCCCATGATAAAGTCCTTAAAACTTGTTTGTTGGAGGACTTCTTCCTGTGGATCCTATGCTTTTGCGCCTTGCGCGCTTGGCCCGCCTCCTCCGCCTCATGCGCTTGGTGAGGAAGCTGAAGGGGTTCGACGCTGCTCGGAAGGTCACAGACTGCTTATACAAGAGTCCACGGTCGACTTCACCTGACAGACCGGCTGCTAAAGTTACAAGGGCAGTCATAACCGGCATCCACATCTTCACTGGCACACTCCCACGCAGTAGTTCCAACACGTAGCCGTAGGCACCTACAACTGCGGAACCTTATGCAAGAGGAGATGAAGCACTTGTGTGTCCATGAAGGGGCAGGACAAAGACGAGTAAAGACCATGTGTTTTCCACGATCGAAGATTCTGCGGCACATTCTGGCAAAACCGTCACGGTGGTTTACATGATCCAGATGCAGGTGTAAGTGTAAGCCCGTGCCGGTGCAAAGTATAGTGGTTCTCACAAGAATCCACCAGAAAATAGCCATTGCGAGCTAAAGCACCTCTTTATGTCGGCTTGCTACTACAGCATAGTACAGCAAGGTGCAGCGAAGAATGGTATACTGCCATGAAAAGTGGTAAGAAGCGTATATGGAATAGTGCATTCTTGATAGGGGACACTTGCTACAAGCACCACGGTAGCTTCAGCAGTATATGCCTCTAAGAAAATGCATTCTAGAGAATCCCAGCAGTGTGATTCCACATCAGATCTTGGCCACAGTATGCGGTGACGGCCTCAATCTGCTGAACTTTCCCAGTCACCGACGACGGACAACACGCAGGAAACTTGAACAGTCATGTTAACAGGGCCTTGCTTGTGATGCTTGTGTTTTACCTGCATCCTGAGCACCTCGCCGCGTTAGAGCTCATCGAAATGAAGGTTCAGGTCTCGATCCGATAGTCCTGCGATGTGATGCACATGCGGAAGCTGACCGGAATTAGTTCCCTGGAGTCTGAGGCTCTCTACATACTTACCACCGCTCTCCGTGGTAGCGTGACAGCTCCTCCAGTTGCACCTTCAGATCCGTCAAGCTACCATGGCGTACTTGCCTTCCATGATGCGTTTGCCGAGTAACCGTTCTCAAGATCGTTGTCAAGGTCAAGGCTACAATGGCACCTTTATCATCACCACCACCCTGATCGTCATTATCACTAGCATAATCGCATCATTGTTCGTCTTCGGCTGCATCAACATCGAGTTCGGCACCACCAGCATCACCACGATCCCCAAAATCGTTTCCATCATCGTCATGGCCATCAGGTTGACTTTCGTTGTCATGAATTGCCTCGGTGGTGGGTTCAGTGTTTCAGCTCTTAAGAACTTCCCGTCTTATCGATGAGCTTTTTGTTCAAAGTCTCCTTTGATCCTGTAAGTTCGACGTCAAGGCCTGCAGTCCCTAACCCGGTGTCCTGGCAGGCAGCCTCATCCGCTATGAACCAAGTGAGGCCTTTGAACACTACCACTCCAAGTCTTTTTGGCAAGTGCCGGACGCGCGCATGCAGCTCGCGAGCTCATTGCGAAACTGTGCTCCACAACCACCTTCCCCGTGCTCGCAGCACTTTGCTCAGGTTCTCCTATGGTCTTTCCTGATGCAACTTGGCAGCTCCGGATGCGGATGTGCTATCTAACGTAGATGTCCAGAAAGATAGCTGCCTGAACCACGCGGAAAGAGGTGCGCCGTGACTGTTTTCGATTGCGTGCTCGTTGCGAGAATCTGCTTCATCTCACGCCCATCCTTTCGACTGCCAACCCTGCCGTCGCGTCTCCGGTCGCTACAGTGAATTCAACCTCCGCGGCGAAAAGATGCAGGGCAGATCTACTGCCGGTCTTGTCGCCAGGATCTGTTGAGTGTTCACTACCGTTGTCCTTCCCCTTTCCGAGTCTTAGCACTGAGCAGCATCATAACCACCCTCTCCCCTGCTGCAAGCATGGCTCTGCGCTGTCGTACCACCCAGAATTCGACATTAGTCTTGCTGACCGGACTGTGTTCATGGTTGTTATTTGTTATCATAGTTGGACTACCTGCACGGCTACTGCAGTTGCTAGCACCGGGTCGCACTTCAGAAGAACATGACAGGGTTGCCCTGCACTCGCTCGTGTCGTTTCCTGACGAAGGCTGGTGTGATAACCACGCTGTGCAGGGTTAGGACCATGTCATGCTGCATACGCAACACCGCAGTGCCGCCTTTCCGGTGTATTCGGTCCATTGCTCAGTCGAGAGTAGATGACGTGTCGAGAAAGCCCGCCCCATGTCACTACTGCACGCAAGTGCATGTTGCACGGTCCATTTCTCATCCAAGGCTCTTCTTATTGCAGCTGATGTTTGCGCTCTTCCTGTGCCTTTGAGAATATCCAGGATGTCTGAGCACAAGCCTCATGTCGGTGGGGTCGATCTGCATGATTCAGTAGCCTGGTTCGGTCAAGGCCGTCCTGCTTGTTTAGCGAGAGATCATGGAAAATGGGCGCGATGATGATGGGACTGATGGGAAGAGTGCACATCTTTCCACCGCGCTCTCAGTATGATCGTCTGTGGTTCTGAGGCAGAGGGTCGTCTCGGACTCAATCGAGTCGAACATCGCGAGCCAAGTCATGGTTGCTGAGAGCAACGAGCTCTTCCTCTACTTTGGAACTTGCTCCAGGTGTTTGCTGACCATGTTCGATGCTCGTCCAAGACTAGGCGCTGGCATACAAAACATCCGGGAGAGCAGCTCACGGTGGAAGTAGCAGCTAGTAGGCCGAGGCCGGCTCTGTGGTTGAACTGGTCACTTCGACAGCTTTCGTGCTAGTATGACGGTGTGCGGTCGACTGTGCGCTGAGCGGCTGAGACAAGTGTGATGCCGTGGCCATGTAATTTGCTTATGTGAAGAATGTCAGTCAGATGGGACAGGAGAAGCATGCAAGTGACAGCAGCCATAAAGGTAGGCTTCGCAAGAGTGGGGAGCAGAGGGCTTCAGAATCTGGCACACGAGAGTTGGTCTTCTGGTTGACTTTCTGAAGACGCATCATGCAGGTTTTCCGGAATCCGGAATGTCAACTTGCACTGCACCACAAGCCTTGGAATTGCAGCGTCCAGCATTGACAAACCACAGCCAAGGAGATCACTCTTGGGAATTGGCCTCCAGTGGCACGGCATCCTGGCGGGATAACGGCTCACCATCGTCGCGGCACTCCAACACCTCGTCAACATCATCAGGGGAGCAGTCAACCATGAAATCCAAATGCTTTGCCAAATGCAGCCGTCGCTGATACTGTCTGTGTTCATTGGATGTGTTTTCAATTCGTGGCCTCGCCTTTCGTCTTTCTGTTCCGCGATTGAAGATGTCGAATGTTGCTATTCATATTGCATAGACTGTGTCTCAACAAGGGCTACTGCAGACAGGGATCTCCTAAGCGACGCGTACTTTTTTTGGGAAGGGGTGCGGGGGCTGAGCATGCAGAGCCTTGAATCTCAAAGCTTGGAGGCAAATGCCAACTCCAAATCTTGCGACCCCCGTGCCGAGGCTTCTGCAGGACCATGTGTCTGAAGCTTTCACCGCTTTCTCCATTATTCACAAGGCACCTTCGTGGGCGGGGGGGAAGTCTCAAGGTTCAAGGTCCTGCGACGACAGTGGCTACGATAAACCAGTGGCAGCAAAGGTTTCCTGCAGGTTTCCAGATGAGCGGGCGAGTACTGCTGCAAAGCCAGCAAATTTCAATGCTGCTAGGGGATAGAACCGCTGATGGCTGACGTGACAGTGATGTGTGTTACTTCATTGCCTCAGATCACCATCGGATATGCTCTGATTGCGGTGATCAACGGCGTATTCCTCAAGGAAACCTTCCAGGCAGCAGACAATGATGACAAGATCATGATGCGCAGCTTGACAACCGGAAAGCCTTAACGACAGAGCTGGATCATGCTGTACGCAATGGTTGTGTCTGCGCTCACGTGGGAACGGCCTGCAGTTGAAGTTTTCTATCCTCACTTAGTTCCCAAAGTACAAGTTCAGCTTCATAAATCTTTCCCTGTCACAAAGGTTTCAATTTAACTTAGTCCCGCCACACCTTCCATCCCCCAACCCCCTCAAGCACCGGTTCCAATGGTACTTGCACCTTGATGGCTATTCAGACATTCCGGCCAGCGCCATAGGCCTTTAGGCAAAGCAAAATGAACTGGGTGGTCGTCAAGGACATGCCGGCCAGTTGAAGCCAAGTGTGGTCCAACAGCTCAGCCCGGCCACCCCTACAGTCCCTACTGTGCTGTGCAGGTGTTGATCTCCATGATAGGTGGCTTGTTTTTTCTTCAAACTCAGAGTAATGCTTGTGTGTGCGGCCGGGTGCAGAAGCTTTGCCATTTTTTACGTGCAGGAGCTAAGGTGGGAGCTTTGACAGATCCAGTTCCCCACGACTCATGCCCGGCCTTCTCTCGGTCACTGTGTTCAAGCCAAGGAAACACGGAGAAGAAGCGACACCAGCACATCAAGAAGATGAAGTCGCTGTTTGAGGCTCAGCGCCGGGTGTCAATTCTGCACGTGGATCCTTGAGAGAAGCATGTTGGTGGAAACCCTTCACAATCCTCGATTTAATTAACATAAGCCTCCCGACAGTTCCCGGCAGGCAGCAGATGAGACAGGCGATGGCGTCTTGGATCGTGAGGAGTTCATCCAAGTGCTGCTTGGCTTGAAGGTCAGAGCAGAACGAAGGCGTGGACCCCATTCATCTCAGGGTCTCAATAACTCATCACCGGATTCCCAACGAGCATGAGGACACTTCGGAAACGATGCACCATCATCAGTCGACGAAGCTGAGAGCCCAGGGAGTTCCGCAAGGCTTACACAGACCTCGTGTGGAGAAGCGACAAACTCGACAGCTGCGAGGGCTTGAAGGCATCCCTTTCAGCAGCTCCCCAAACTTATTCAAGTCCTCCGAACTCTTCAAGTCGAATAGTTCCGCGAATAAGTTGACTTGTTTTGGAGTTGGACGCAAGGATGACCGATCCGGAGATCGTCAACTGGCTTGCGGCAATGGACCTCCACATCTCGGATCCTAACATGGTGTCTCCAGGCTCAAGAATATCGAAGAGCATTCTTTGCTCACTCTTCTCCCTCTGCGCCTTATCGTCTGGTAGTTAATGGCATGGCATGTTTTTGCTGGCATTCGTCATAACATGCAATAGAGTAGCTAGTCTGCTAGACTTCTACAAGGACGTCCAGAGGAAACCCTGCAATTAGGGATCAAGCCCTCGACGAGCACCTCTGAGAGAAGTCCAGCTGTCAGCTGTCGCGGAGTGGTGAGCCGGGAAAGGTTCGACATGGTGCAAGAAGATGGAGGCATCACAGCTGAGCAGCTTGTGAAAGGCGTCAGTCGGCTCAAAGGCTCTGCGAGGAGCTCCCGCTGTGCAAACAGGTTTTCGTGTCTGGGTCACAGTTCAGAAATTGGTAGGACGGCATGGGGGGGTTCCTGAGATTCCAGTGTCAACACAACAACTGGTGGCAACAAAAGGCTGACAGGAGTGCCCCACGCAGGGCACAGGCAACGGGTTGAACGATTCAACTGCTATATAGTAATACAGTCAGCTCTGCCATGTATGTCTTCCCAAACTCAGCAGCAGTAAGCTCTTCGTCTGCCAAGCCTCAAAGCCCACGGCAATGCGTCCTACAAACCTGAATCCGGGGACACCGGGGACACCGGCGCGGAAAGTAGTGCTCAGTACAAACAAGACTACAGGAGCACGGACCTGCATTTGCTGACGCTCGATGTGAAGAAGCTCTTTTTCCTGGTCCAGGATTTGTGTCTTGGCCCGTGCTGCATGATGACGCCATTTGAACTCTTTGGTTTGTGGTTGCTTGTCACTAGTCCACCATGACAACATTTCGGACGCATAGCAGCTTCTCATCGTTCGTTGATTTCAAGTACTTTACTGGCAAGACGATTCTGCAGCAACATCGCGGAATAGGAATATGATAAAGACTAAGACTCCTGGTCGTATGCGTAGGTTCACAAGCCGAGCAGTGACAGCAATAATGCTGGACCTTATCTTTCCCTGTTCCTGCTCTAACTGCTACCGCCACTATGATTCCGACGACGCATACTGGTACTACTTCTACCACTACTGCTGCCACCACAACTACTGCTACTACTGCCGCTGCTACTACTCCTAGTAGCTGAGTCACTGGCTGCTACGATAGTTGCACCAGTAGTAGTAGTTGTTGTTGTCGTAGTAGTAGTAGTAGCAGTAGTAGCAGCAGCCAGTAGCCAGTAGCCAGTAGCAGTAGCAGTAGCAGTAGCAGTAGCAGTAGTAGTAGTAGTAGTCGTCGTGGTGGTGGTGGTGGTAGTGGTAGTAGTAGTAGTAGTAGTAGTAGTAGTAGTAGTAGTAGTAGTAGTAGTAGTAGTAGTAGTAGTAGTAGTAGTAGTAGTATAGTAGTATAGTAAGTAGTAGTAGTAGTAGTAGTAGTAGTAGTAGTAGTAGTAGTAGTAGTAGTAGTAGTAGTAGTAGTAGTAGTAGTAGTAGTAGTAGTAGTATTTAGTAGTAGTAGTAGTAGTAGTAGTAGTAGTAGTAGTAGCAGTAGTAGTAGTAGTAGTAGTAATAATAATAAGTCATGCAATCAGTTGCATTGGCAGTAGTACCCGCAGCAGCTGCATCAGAAGTCGCAGAAACTCAGTAGCAGCAGTATCAGTTCTCGTGGTTGAGCTAGAAGTCACGATGCTTCAGTAAGTCAGTAAGTGGTTGCTGTCATGATGTTTGCGGGCCAGTGGGACTGGGACGCTACGGCAGTGCAAGCTGAAGAGAGAGTCATACTCACACTGAAACGGCTACACAGGGATACAGCCGGAAGAATTTACCACAGCATGCACAGGAAGCCTGAAAAGGATCCGGCACAGCACGGGCCGGGTGGAAGCCGTTAACGTCGCTGAATTCCCCATGTCAATGTAGGAAGCAACTGCTTCATACTGCTTCTAGGTAGCGTGCATCTTAACGTAGAAGAAGCTGGTACCAAGGCACTCCGGCGCGCCGCATGGCACGCAAGTTCAGACTCTCCAATTGTACACTGGGAGGTTCATGTCGGACCTTCGGGCTTAGACAGACTCGTTTCATGCAGTCCAACCTGCGAGCCGTTTTCTGGAATTAGTTGCAGCCAGCAGACTCCGGCGGCCTTAATGCTGCCGATGCCGCCGTCATCACGACAAAGCAAACGCAACCAACGCGCTGCCAAGCCAATTCAGGCCTCGAGGCGCACAGACACACACACACAAACACACAACCCACAAAACAGAGAGGCTTGAGGTGTGAGCGCAAACGCCCGAACCTCAAAACGGCGACCTGATTTTTTCACATTCCCATGAACACCAGACTGCAGACGGAAGATTCGCTCAGCACGTGCTCTACGCCGGATAGGGAGTCTCACCTTGTAGAGATCTACAATCACATGGCGGGACAAGTTCTTTTTCATGATTCAGAGAACATGTGGCAACTGTTTGCCTCCCTATTGGTCCAAAGCTACTGGCAGGACAAACCCTGAATGCGCTGAACCCGGAAACTCCCGAGTCCTAAACTCTCGCCCATTTTGAGGCGTCGAGGTTTCTCCGGTGCAGGATCCGAAGCTTTGGCCGAAGGGATTATGTCTTCTCATTCCCCTAGACCCCTCTCCGCCCTATCCGTAAAGCCGCAAAACGTTCACTGATCTTTCGAAGTTTCTGCTTGGGGATCTCCAATGAAACTTGAGAAGTTCAGCCTCTCAATAGTAGAAGAGTCTTGTTTCGCTGGCCTGGAAGCTTGAGGCTCAGATGAGGGACTGATGATCCACCTCTTGTAAAATAGGTCAATGTTGTATGCACAGAGTGAAATGTGAAGAACATTGCAGACTGCCGTTTCGACTTCCGTGGGACTTCCTCTCAAGTTGCTTTCCCCTTTGCCTTGGCCAAACCTATGCGCTTCATGAATCCAGGTCAGCTGTTGCTTTGATTGGCAAATCTCTTGCTCGTCTTTGTTTCAAGCATGGACGTCCTTGGCTAGACGTGCAGATGCACAACCTGTCATCACCGTCAGTGCTTGTGACTTCCAAGGATACGAGAGGCCCGAGGCCTGGTCCCAAGGCGGGTCGGCAAGATTTCCAAGACACCGTTTACTGAGGACAGATAGGAGGAGATGGCCAGCGATTTCAATATTATCATTCTTGTTACATGTTGCAAGTTTCTGCTGCATCTTCGGAGGGGCATTGCTCCTGCTCCTGACTGCTACTACTCCCGCGACGACTACAACGACGACTACTACTAGCACCACTATTGAAGTCACTATTGCTACGGCTGTAGCGACTACTGATGTAGTTGGCAATGCTGCTGTTATGCATGCTCACACTAAGAAGTATAAGTCTTGGTGTCCAGGCGTTTTGTCGTCCCGATCTTTTGATCGCAAGTCTTCTTGCCGTTGAATCATTGCTGTTGAAATCATCATCGCGGGTTTTGCGAAGCTCGTACCGCTTCGGCTGTGCAGCATGCCCATCTATTTAAGTAGCTTGTCAACCGGTCTTGGAAGCCAATATCACAGCATGCTATAGCGCCAAGAAAATACGAGATTTAAGGGCCGGATGCTTTTCACCAATGGGAATCGCATTCGAACACTAGCGGCCATAAGCGTTCGCGCTGCCTTGTTGCATGTTCCAGCATAGGCGCTGCCGTAACCAGGGAAGTTCAATGCTGCAAAAAGGCTGACATCGAGGCCGAGGCCGCATCTTTTGTCAATGCTCGTGAGGCCATGCCGATCCGCGCATCCACGATGGAGATCTGAGGCCCAGGGCCCAGGGCGTGCGTGAAACGCGTTTGCCCACCATTGTCGACGAACTTATGAAGCCAGGGCATTTGCTTTGGCAATTCAAGGTCCACTTTGGAGTGGCCAGCGGATTTGCACACTTTGCTTCACTGTGGATGGGTCCAGCCAAAGCAGGAGCATCCGCCTTTCTGAGAAAGGACGGATGCCCGACTTATGCCAGAAGCTTCTTCTTACTTCTTGTGCAGAATCTGTGCCGTCATTGTCCTAGCTAGGTCCTAGCTGTCCGAGACTACGAAGCAATAAGCCCGGTAGTCCATGCTTTGTGAGTCCAGAGCCGCATCAGCTTCTCATTCGCAGCGTGTGCTCACGGCGAATGCATTCCAGCTTCAGATCTCTACTGAACAACGCACGCAACGTTCGACGACACAGCTGCCAGACAGAACAGTCCCAGTTTTTTCTGGGGGGGTTCAGGCTCCAATAGGCATGGCCTCTGACTGCACGAAACATCTAATGAATCTACTGGGTTTCGGGCTTATATGGAGTGGCAGAGAGGGTTGCTCAAAAGGCAACGTAGGCTGGACCCTGCAGCCTTCCATCGAGGTCTTCTGAGTTCCGTTCAGCGAACTGCCGAAGGCAGTTGTATCAGCGCGTTCCTTCCACGGGAGGTCCGTCTAAGGGGATAGGCCTAACTGCACGATCCAGCCGGTAGCCATCTCTGCGCTCCTCACCGTCTTGTGGGGAGAAGTGATGATTGCAGACATCATGTGTGGAGACTATCCTGGGAGGAACGTCCACTTGCAACCTCTGCTTGCCTTGTCATGTTGGTGGTTGCATGAGTATTGTTGGGCTTCGAACCATTTCGAACCGTCCTGAGTCAATTGCAGACCGATCCAGGATCAGAAAAGTTGTTGTACAAACACATTATGCCATTATGCGTAAGTGCTCATGCTCAGAAACTTGCCGCTGCCTGGCCGGTGGCATCTTGTAGGTTCTAAACATCGCTTCCGCCACGCTTCGAGCAAAGCGAAGGAGGCTTCAGCACAGCAGCGGAAAGAGCGACAGCATAAAGTAGTGATAGTGTTCCGACAGGTGCCCCGGCCTCCCTGCCAGCGGAAGGTAGCCCCATCGCAAAGTTCATTACTGCTGATGGAACAGCTGCAAGGTGCTCTTCCAAGCCAGGCTTTCAAGCACGAAGCAGGAGCGTAGCGACGGACACACAATCGCATTCTCTATTCGAAAAGGGTATCTGCCTTGGGCTGGTAGCTAGTGGTAGGTACACAACATGTCAAGCACCTCCGCTCGAAGTAGCAGTAGTTTTGTTGGGGTGTTTCCGTGGGGTTGCCGTAAGTGGTGCAGCAGTGGGGTACAGTAGTAGCAGTTGTAGCAGAAGCAGTAGTCGTCGTCGTTGTCTTCGTCGTCATCACCGTATCTAGGCATTAGTACCTACTATTCTTAGCATGTTTATTGTTATTGTTGCAATTCTGACCGCTTTCTGCAGTGTAAGCATGTATAGTGTAAAGAGCTGTGATCTGCAGGGCCCTTGAGCTGCTCGAACATGCACATGCTGTGCAAAACATTCCGGAGCGGTGTGCAACTCGCTTCTGCAAGCCTGGAGATTCGCAAAGGCCCAGGCTCCACATATCTAGATTTCCGTGTGAACCCGGAAGATTGCATTGGTAGCGTTAGCTGCTGATCGCTCGATGTCGCAGCCCGGCGATGCGGAAGCTGCAGACGGAGAAGGTGATCCCGCTCGGATGAGCGACTTCCTCGCCGAGGAAGATGACGACGACTATGGACAGCACCCCTCGCATTTGGACGAAGGTGCTTCCGAGCATGACGACGACGATGAGGAGCTTCTACCTGAACCGGCTCCTGGAGGCTCTCGAGGTCGTGGGCGGCAAGGACCGAGGTCTTCCCCTTCTTCTACGGGTTCCGATGGAGCCAAGACGGGTTCCGATGGAGCCAAGAAGGACAAGATCGCGGAGCTGTCCGGGCCTGAGAAGGAGAAGAGCAAGGAACGAGCGCAACGGCGCCCGCGTGGCAATTTGCCACAGGCTCCAAGCTTCGACGGGGACCGCCGCAAGGACCCTAAGTGCTTCAGGAAGTACGCCACCAAGGTGGATTCCTACGTGGAGATCGCGAAGAATATCATCGACGACGCCGAGATCGGGCTGAGGCTCCATGCGGCGCTCGACGGTGAGGCGGCGGACTACCTGGAGGACGTCCCGGCGAAGGTCTTCGGCGTCGACAAGGGCTGGCAGGTACTGTTGAAGCTCTTGCGGGATAAGTTCGATGAGAAGCGTATGCATAAAGTAGGGTCGGCCATGAAAGGTTTCTTCAAGTTGAACCTCTCCGATAAGACCTATACGATGTCTGAGGTAGTGGACTTGATGGACCGAGCTGCCCGAAGGTGCCGCGAATCGAACTTAACGATCCCGGACGAGGTCATGGTGTTCTTCTTCTTCGAGCACACCGCCATGTCGACCGAGAGGCAGGCGAACTTGCTTTTGCGCACCGGCGGTGAGTACAGCTGGAAGAAGATGAAGCAGGCGGTCGAGCTGCTGTACCAGAATGTGACTGTCAGGTCTGGCCGTGACCGCGATCCTAATCCGGGCTTCCGCGGCCGACAAAGGGCTGCACACGAGGCGCATAACACTAACGAGTGGAATGCGGACCTTTGGAGAGTTCCCGAGCCTTACGCCTCGGAGGATCAGGTAGGCAACTGGCTGTTCGATCATGATCCTGTCGAGGCCCTTGCCGAGGTCGAGTTGACTGAGATCCCGGAGTCCATGGCCCGTGAGCTGCACGAGTGTTTCGCTTCCCACCGTGAGAACAGGCAGCGGCTTGCGCGTGCAGTACAGGCCCGCGGCTACTACGTTGGCGGCGGCAAGGGCAAGGGCAAATCCGGCGACAAGGGCAAGGGCAAGTCCGGCGAGAAGGGCAAAGGCAAGGCGCGGAAGGGCGGCAAGGCACGCGGTATGTCCTTGGAGGAGCTGAAAGCCCGCACGTCGTGCGGGGATTGCGGCCAGAAGGGACATTGGCGTGGCGATCCAGAGTGCCGTGGAGCTAAGAAAGCCAATGAGGCGGGCCGCGTGCCCGACGACGACCAGGAGGACGATGATGGGGCTGACGATTGGTACGGCCAGTATGATGATGCATCCTGGCAACAATGGGAGGCCCAACGTTGCGGCTACCCGGTGCGTCGTTCTACCTCTGAGGCAAGGTCTGCTGCGGCGACTACTACCACTTCGGCCTCTGCTGCTACTCCTACCACTTCGGCCTCTGCTGCTACTAACTCTTCCGACTTCCTCGCCCGCGAGTCCGAGGCGGTGGCCAGAGGGATTAACCGTGTGCGTCAGAAGGCCGGTGGCAGCCGAGATGTTGGGGCGACTGATGTTCGGAAGGCCCTGGCTCAGGATAGCGGCGCGCAGGTCACCGACCTTCAGAACAAGATGACCAGTCAGCATCGGGCCTCGATGCCAATGAGCCCGAGCACGGAAGCTGTGGCCCGGGCGTTCGAGCATTTCGGCTTGGATGTGGTGGCGCATTCCAGCAAGGGGGTGCTCGAGCTGTTGGAGGACCCGGACGAGGACCTCCCCGACATCGAGACCTTGAGGAAAGTGACGGCAGTGCGCCGGGTGCCCTGGACCAAAATGTCGAATCCGGACTCGGTGCCACGTGGAGTGCAGAACAACATGCGGCGCCCACCGACGGTGGCTGATGGACGTTGCTACTTGACTCTCGACGCTGCGTGCGAAAACAGTGTGTCGGGCACGACCATTCTTCAAACCATTTCAGCCCGGATGCAGCAGCAGTTCTCTGTGAAGCCGATCATAAGACCAGAGTCTGAGACCTACTGCTTCGGCCCAGGCGCACCCACGGTGTCACAGGAGCGCTGGATGGTGCCAGTCGGCATTCGAGGACGGCCGTGTGTGATTGCCACTTCCTCGATCCCCGACCAGAACGGTGCCAAGATCCCTTTCCTTGCGGGCCAGGACTGGATGCTGTTCATGAACGCGTGCCTCGATATCGGTCGCAGCCTCGCGATCTTTCGTGAAATCGGAGTCCAGGCCCCTCTGTCGACGAGATGCCTCCCGACGGGTGGCCCCAGGACTTGGTTGCTCGTAAGGACGGCTACCCCGGAGTGCTTTTCGAACAGTCGGGAAGGAATGCCAACGAAAACAATCGCAGTAAGAATGCTAAGATCACCTTTTCGCCGACGCACATCTATGAGCCCAATGACGCGAGTGAAGGCATACCTTGCACTGTGGCAGCAGATCACTGGGAATTTCAAGTAGACAAGCAGGTGTATGTGCGGCACCACTGCCGGCCTCGGACGACTTTGTTCGCTCCGGGCGATACGCTGGATGGGCCGGACCCTAAGGAGCTGCAGCCAGTGCGCATCACCATGAAAGCAGGGTCGGCAGAACCAGCATGTGACGAATGGGGCAGTGGGGTCGAGACGGTTTCGGGTCCTTGGTTCGGGGCTACTTACTTCTTGGGCAAGGGCGCCAGTACCTCTCATGTGCACTTCACGCCGTTGCCCGCATTTGTGACTGTGCAGTTTGACGATGGGACCACGAAACACGTTCAGCCGCATGAGTTGACCTGTCTACAGCACTTTGACCTTAAGACTTCCAAGCCCCCCGAAGCACCACAACCTCTTCGCAAAGGGCGATTCAGCATTCCGGCGGGTGAGTTCGGCTCTGAAGCTAGCAATTTACAGCCTCGCGGACCACCTTCCGATGCACAAGCCCACGGCCGCTCGTCGCAAGAGCCGCGTGGAGGCATGGGGTCGCATGGTCGAGGGCTTGACGGCGCTGATCGACCTGGTCAGCCGGCACGTCATGATGAACATGGTGATTCGCAACGTGAAGGACAAGATGCCCGCGCTCACCAGTTACACGGAAGCCCTCTATGCCAAGGAGATCCTCCCAGAGACGATGCCAGCGACGGGACCTCCAGCGACGACGAACCCTCGCGGCCAGGTCAAGAAGGCGGTGGCGGGACCGTATCCGAAGGAACCCGAACATTGCCGGCATCCACTGGAGTGTGCGAGGCGACATGGCAATGCGGCGGGCCGCTTCAAGGAGTGCCTTCAATGCGGGACCGTGTGGTCCGGGATCCTCTACCAGGTGCCCTACACGAAGGAGGAGATTCCGGTGTACCCGTACCTCCACGGGTATCGGCCCACTCCCGGCGCGACCATCAAGCTCTTTGGGCGGACGGCTCCGCAAGCGAGAGGTCCCCTCAAAAAGCTTGTCCGAATGCTATTCGTGCTCTCGCAACTCATCGGGGAAACCACCTTCGGCAGCCTCGAGAACGGCATCCAAACCAGTTTCGTCCGAGGTGTCTCGCCAGAGTCCGTCCCGGAGCAGCGAGAGTGGCAAGCCAACTTCCAGAGTTAGCCGAGATCCCCCGACGGACGAGGAGGAGGAGCCGATCAACCTGAAGGACCTGCCCCCTGCGGAGCGCGAGCGCATCAAAACACTGGCGGCCCAGCGCTTGGAGGACAAGCGTCAGGCAGCAGCCAGCAATCGCAGGCAGCAGGAGGCGGCGTACCACACGGGTCGCAACATGGAGGAGCCCATGAGGGTGGTCTTCGAAGCGGAGGCCGAGCAGGACTCCTGGGATGCGGTGACAGTGAGCTCCGAGGACGCGGAAATGCGTTGAAGGCCGGGCAGCGAAGGAGCGCGATCAAGCGCGCAGGGCCTTGGAAGCTTCCCGTGCGCACTCCGAGGCCGTTGATGCGAGGATCGATGCGAGCCGGTGGCCGCGAGTGAAATTCAACTTTGATATGGTCGAGATTTTCGGCGGCACTAGCCAGGTCTCGGTTCGTGCGGTCCACCACTGGAACTTGAAGGTGCTGCAGCCCATTGACAATCGGTATATGGCATCGACCTTCGACGGCAAGACCAACGGCGATGGCTGCGCAACGCCCTCGAGGAGCATCGGCCGCGGCTTGTTGTGATTGGGTTCCCCTGTGTGTCTTGGCAAAGCCTACAAGCAGCTTCTCACGGGCATTGGGACGCTCTTCGGCGAGCACAAGACGATGATCACAGGATCTTCCAGGAGCTCATAATCGACGTCTTTAAGGACCAGCGCGGCCGAGGAGGACACGTGATTGCGGAATGCCCTGTGAACTATCAGGGCGCGGTCGCCCTCAACCTTGAAGGCGGCAGCTGCATCACCTCCGAGAACCTCCGGATGCCGAACCACGTAAAGTACAACAAGCACGACGGCGACCGTACATCCCGCTTCATCGCCACGCACCCGACCTTACTCGAGAACTTGCTGGATCGGTGCCAGTGTGACGGCAAAGGCTTGATCCACCCGCCGAGCTTGGGTGATGCTGTGTGCCGGGCCTACCTCGACTTAATTGCGGCCGAGGACTTTGGCTTCGCGAGCACATGGTCTCCGACCTCCAGCAAAGCCGTGCGCTACGTAGACGTGAAGCGGGAGGAGGAGGCTTGGAGGCCTCTTCTACAACAGGCTGAGGAACTGCTGGGTCGCAAGGTGCAGGCGAGTTTGCTGGTGCACCCGGACACCGACCTCTACAAGAAGGTGCAGGAGCTTGTGCCGTGGCAGTTGGCGTTGGTGCAGGTGGCCCACCTTCCAAAGGCAAAGCGTGTGAAGGCCGGGCTGGAGGAGTGTCATCGTGCATCGGTGTTGCTTTTGAACGACGACACCATTGTGATCGAGACTGAGTACCTCAAGGAAGCGCAAGCCCCGCGGGAGCGCTTCGTCACCCCAGTCCGTTACGCCATCTTCGTGCTTGGCTATGCTCCCGGCGAACCAAAAGGCCCTTCTCCTGTACAACCTCCTCCTGCTCAGATCCTTCCGGGCGACGAGCTGGTTCGCGATGAGGTGCAGGACGGGCTTGTTCAAGAAGGACTAGTGCGCCAAGATTTCGCCGGGGAATGTTGGTTCATCGGAGGTCCTCTGCGGGAAAAAGAGAAGGCCATGGCAAGGGCCTTGGTGAGAATGCACCGCAATCTTGGGCACCCTCGTATGGAGGACATGGTTCGAGCCTTGGCACAGAACGGCAAGGTTGATCCTGATGCGGTCGCTCTGTGTCGTCGTCTTCGGTGTGCCACCTGTGAGAGAACCAGGCGCCCGCTGCCGGCTCGACCCACCTCTTTGAAAGTTATGGGACAGTTCAATTCCAAGGTGTGTTTGGACTTCGTTCACATTTCGGACGCGGAGAAGGTGACCCACCGTTTCCTCCATGTGTTGGAACCGAATGGCTCGTTCAACCTCTACTACCCCAGCAAGACGCGACAGCCCGAGGACGTGTTCAACATTTTCTGTGATGTATGGTCCTCCTGGGCTGGGTTTCCAGACTACCTTCATTGCGACCGTGATGGGGCTTTTGAGGGTTTCTTCCTGGATAAGATGCGACACCTGGGTGTCGAGGTGGAGTTTGTGCCCGCGGAGGCGCATTGGCAAGCGGGCCAGATCGAAGCATATAATCGAGCCTTCCGGTACGCTGCGGAAAAGCTGGTCGATGAGCACCAGCTGGTCGGCGAGGTCGACATGAAGATCCTCGGCGCCACCGTGAGTGCCAGTCTGAATGAAAAGGTGAAGACGTGCGGCTGCTCGGCCAACCAGTGGGTGTTTGGAAAGGACCCCAAGGCCCCCTGGGATCTACTGAGCCCTGACGGGCGGATTGAGGCGCTACAGGGGCTTGACGCGGATTACGAGCTACGCCGACGTCAACAAGTGCGCTCGGCCTCTGACCAGAAGATTGCTGAGTTCACTGTGAACGATTCATTGCGTCGGGCTGTGCTCCGTCAGGGACGACCGACGAGGCAGAACTACGAGCCCGGCGAGCTGGTGGCTTTCTGGAGAGAGGCCAAGATGAAGAAGGACCCGCGGACTAAGAAGGCCCGTCGGGTTCCCGGCGGATGGTATCGCGCCACCGTCATTGGACCTCACCGCGGCGACGAAGGACAAAGCAACTACTGGCTCTCCTCGGGCGGACGCTGCATTCTGGCAGCGAAGGAACAGCTTAGGCCCGCTTTTGGGATCGAGCTGTGGCGGATCCAAGAAGACGCTCTGCGCGATCTCCTCGACAATCCACCGGAGGAGTACCATTGATGAGCGTGGAGCCGGACCCGGAGAAGGCGCATCTGACGCTCCGGGAGAAGTGATACCCGCCTACGGCGACGGACCGGAAGAGGAAAATGCGATCGACGAGGACGACGAGCGGGGCGAACTTCCACTACGTGACCAAGTTGGAGAACCTCGTGACGATCCGGGAGAACTACCACCAGAACCTTCCGGAGAACCTCGGGATGATCCCGGAGAACTACCAGCAGAACCTTCCGGAGAACCTCGGGTCCGTCTAGAGCTAGAACCACTACAGTCTGGAGCAGGCAGGGTTCCGTCGCAGGACGAACGTGAACGTAGTCCCAGGCGGGGTCATGTCGGTCAGCCTCCATCTGACGCTTCTGACGCGACACAGCCGTCACCTACTTCTCCGCTGAGACGACAGCCTTACGGCGGGGGACCGGTTGAGCCAGAGCCCAAAAGAGTCAAAACCGAGGCGGCAGTGGACGCAGTTGGGGCTGAAGCAAGCGAGAGTCACAACACGTACCTGACCAACCGCTACATCCCGGTTACGGTTACTGCTCAGGAACTCTTCGCGAAGCCTACAGGGAACTTCCAAAACGCCGTGCTAGCCACGCTGACCGAGCGGGGTGCCTACCAGACCAGGAAGGACCAGAAGGCCTTGGAGAAGGAAATCCCCTACTCCATGATCGAGGAGCAGGACAAGCCGGCGTATCACGAAGCGTTGGTCAAAGAGTGGGACACATGGCAGAAGTATGAAGCCGTGGCACCCCTGAGCGTTGAGGCGAGCCGCGCTGTGGAAGCTCAGTTTCCTCCGGAGCGCATTCTGCCAAGCCGGGTGTGTTACCGGAACAAGAACGCGGCCTTCAAGTGGCTCCCCTTGAAAGCCAAAGCTCGGCTGGTGTGCCGGGGCGACAAAGACCCAGACTTGCTGGAACTTCGTCGAGACGCTCCCACCATGACACGGATGTCACCGATGGTGTTGATGCAGCTTGCGGCCAGTTTTCGGGATTGGTTCTTGTTCACGGCGGACGTGACAGGAGCTTTCTTGCAAGGCGACCAAGGGCTCGCATCCCGACAGCTGCCCCTTTTCATCAGGCAGCCGCGTGAGGGACTTCCAGGTTTGCTGGCGGGCCAGTTGCTACTGGTCGTACGAGGAATTTTCGGATTGGCGAACAGTCCGAGGCTGTTTTGGAGACACTTGCGCGACACCCTCAAGAAACTTGGCTTCGTGCAGTCCACTCTCGACAAGGCCCTCTTCTTCTACTACAAGGCAGGACGTTTAATCCTCGCTTTGGGGACGCACGTCGACGACTTGCTCGGAGCCGGGAAACCAGGCGAAGCCGACGAAGTACTTAAGAGAGTCAAGGACGCTTTCGACTTCGGCGCTTGGTCAGACAGCCGTGAGGAAGCGGTGCTTGAGTACGGCGGCAAGCAGCTGGCGAAGCTCCCCGACGGCACGGTCACCCTCAGCCAGGCCAAGTTCATCCAGGCGATCGACATTAGCCCAGTGCCGAGATGGAGGACGATTACGCCGAGCGCTTCACTGTCGGCGACTGAGGCAACAGAACTTCGCTCAGGAGGCGGTTGCCTTCACTGGCTGATTGGCCAGACGCGCCCGGATTTGGCTGCCGGGACGAGCCTCTACATGAGCGGACAGCCGACAGTGCAGAACCTGGTGGAGGTGAACAAGTTGTTGAAGGAGGCCAAGGCTTCGCAGGACTGGTGCCTACGTTTCGTGCCGATTGACTTCGAGTCGGCCAAGATCGTGGTGTTCACCGACGCCTCGTGGGCAAACGCGCCCGGGTTGAAGTCACAGGCTGGCTACCTGACCTTTCTGACAGGGCCGGAGGTGTTCACACCTGAAGGGGACTCGGCATCTCTGTTGGATTGGCGATCGCACAGGATCCAACGCCAGTGTCGTAGTACTCTGGCGGCCGAGACGATGTCCCTGGACTGCGGGTTCGACAGTGGCATCTTCGTGCGGGAGCTCCTGGCCGAGGCGCTCGTGATGAGCTACTCCCCGGTGCAGAGTGGCCAATTGCCGCCACGTTTCTTGGAGGTGCATCCGATAACCGACTGTCGGAGCCTCTACGACCTGTTGACAAAGGACGGTCCTGTTTCGTCGACTCAGGAGAAGAGATTGACGATAGACGTAGAAGCGATCAAGCAAAGTGCGGCTGAGTTTGATGTTGACAGCGAGGAACTTCGTGGCACTTTCAAGTGGGTTGACACGACTAGACAGCTAGCGGATCATCTCACTAAAGTCAAACCACCGCATCTGCTTCGCGATCAGCTTTGCGCTTCAGGAGCTGGCTAAGACCTAAACCGGCTCTTGGCCAACAAAAGACTTTGGTCAGTGCAATTCTGACCGCTTTCTGCAGTGTAAGCATGTATAGTGTAAAGAGCTGTGATCTGCAGGGCCCTTGAGCTGCTCGAACATGCACATGCTGTGCAAAACATTCCGGAGCGGTGTGCAACTCGCTTCTGCAAGCCTGGAGATTCGCAAAGGCCCAGGCTCCACATATCTAGATTTCCGTGTGAACCCGGAAGATTGCAATTGTTAGTAGCAGTAGTAGTCATCGTCATCATCGCAGTAGAAGTAATAGTAGTCGTCGTCGTAGTAGTAGTAGTACTGGGTTCAGCAGCTGTAGCAGCAGCAGCAGCAGCAGCAGCTGTTAAGAGCAGCCTCACGCCAAAGGATTGGCACTCCTACAACCATGCATGTATGATTATACATGCATGTATGTATGTATGCATGCTTGTGCGTAGGTATGTAGGTGGGTTTGCAATTAGGTCGGTAGGCTGGTAGGTAATTAGGTATGTAAGGAGTGTAATGCATGCTAAGTATGATCGTATGCGTGCATGCCAGCGTATGTAGGTAGGATGGTGGGTATGTAGGTAGCTAGACATGCATGCACGTATGTGTGCGCATGTATGTATTTATGTATGCACATGTCTGTGTATGCATGCATGCATGCATGCGTGCATGCAAGTATGTGTGTGTACAGTATGTCAGGTATGTAATGTATTGCAATCCACTGTAGGCATGTACGTATGTATGTACGTATGTCTGCATGCATGTATACAGGTCTGCAAGGTATGTCAGCAGGTGTGTATGTATGTATGCATGCATGCATGTATGTACCACTATATGTCATGCATGTACCACGACTTTTCATGGAAGCAGAAGCTCGTTGCAGGTTGTGTTGAACATTTGCGCGAATTTATGCGCTATGTTTGGTGCGAATGGCTCGTACGTCCGTGCGTTCTGCCATGTATGGTTGAGCCCGCCGTCCCCGTCCCCGTTCCTCCGCCCAGTTGTATCCCCCCGTTTGGTAATGCCCATCGCCCTCTGTGGAAGTGATCATCCCCCCTGCCCCCCTGTGGAACGGCTGGGGTCTGCTGCGGAGTTTAGTCGTCCCGACCCTCCTGCTCTTTCTGTGGCGCAGGGGCCTTCCGCCCAGGTGCCTAAGGCTGCTGGCCCGTGTACTTGGTGGGTGTATACCATTCCAGGGAGGAGGGGAGGGGCGGGCGCACAGGTCTTTGCGGGCGGGTAGGTCAGGTAGGTGGGCAACCGGGCTGGCAGGTGGCAGATAGGTTGCGGTGTACTGTAGATAAACCGATGGTCGGTTTTGTAAGTCGGGTTGTGGAAGTAGAACTAAACCAGCCTGCGGAGACTTGCAGTTGTGCGGCTGAGCAAACGAGACTGTCACAAGGGCATTGCTGCGCAGAAGTGCCCGTGGCAGCCATCATTCTTCCACGGAATGCTGGTTCGTTCTTCATGCACGACCCCTCGCACTGGGTTGAATACAATTTCGCACGTAGCAAAGAAGTGACCTTGCTGGAGGACTTCATGTATGGTCGCGTGTGAAGTACGAGAGCAGATTTAATGTAGCGTGGCTGCTAGTACCCTCGGCTCTGGCAGAATGTTTTTGTCAGTAATTGTGCAGAGATGCAAAGGTTAGGCAAAAGTGGCAACTTGTCATTCCTGAACGGCAAGCTGCTGCGCTGGTGCTTTGAGTCTTTGCTCAAGCACTTGATGCCACGAAGCAGCCGAGAGAACGGCCATGAAGAGCATGGGGTCTCGAAGATTTAGCTTTTGCGTAGAGTCCCGTTTTGTCGAAGATAGCATGCAGACAGATAGGAAGCTGCAGGATGTGCGAGGCCAAGTTCGAAGGAAGATTCTAAAAGATCCATGCCTTGGAACGGTCAGAATCCGAATCTCTGCAAATTTTGTCTAAGAGACCGAGAGGCCCAACGGCTTCGGGTTGCGCTTTAGATTGATTTTTCAGGATTCAGGGTTCTGTTGCCGGTTGCTTTGAATTTGTTTGCGGCGTCAAGGCACAGAAGTTTCTGCAAGGCGTGGTGGGGCCTATACATGTTAGGGAACTGAGAATGTAGAATGTAGAAAGCAAAAACTCGTGCACGGGCGGAATCCAGTCTAAAGCTTCGAGCTCCATCTTTACTCAGCTCAGACCTTTATCGCATCTGACAGGATGCGAAAATTGTGTGGTTGCTTGGTGCACAAAATGGAGAGCGAGCCTACCTGAGGATTGAGAGGACGACATAATCCGCCTTGGCTTTCTTGCAGCAAAATCCCAAGCGCCGAGCCGCTTTGAAGCCACGCAAGATCATGCAATGAAGATAAACAACATTGCGTCGCTCAGCGTGTGGTTGGAGCCTTTGGGTTCCAGGCTCGGGTTGAGGCTGGGGTGCTTTTACACTGTACGAATTGGGGGTTGAGGGGTGGTGTTAGGCTTGCGCGTGTTGAAGCCACCGGCGCCGCCCAAGTCTTAAACTCTCAGCTGGCGGCGCTTTGGAGCTTAGAAAACTCAGCCTTCGGCCCAGGCCTAGGCAAGCCCTAGACCCCAAGCCTGAACGTAGCTCGTAAAGACACACCACGTCGAATGGACAGGAGGCTTTGAGCAAAGTCGTCTCCGAGCCGGGTCTACACCATGCCGCCAGACACCAGGGGACATGATTGCCATTTGCCAGTGCTTTCAAAATGTTGTGCGATGTCGATTGCGCACGATGCTTCCGAGAAGCCGTGTTGAAATCATAGCACCGAACACAAAGTCGGGCTCGGATGCGAAGGCCCCGGTCTTCATACCAGGGCAGCTGTGGCCAGGTGCCAGGGTCTTCGGTTTATAGAGATTGAGATTGGAGAGCTTAGTTGATTCGAAGATTCTGTGATTGGCAGCTGTTCCTTGCAGACGCAGCTGAGCAGAGCCAACCCTGTCTTGACTAACCAGAAAGTAGCACCTTCGACCTAGCCTTCAAAACTCAGATGTGAACCAGGTCTTCAGCCTGTTTCCGGAAGCTCTTGAATTGCGTCGGTGCCCACAGCGATCTAACTCGAGCTCTTTGGCTTCTTGTCATCCTGGCGCATGAAGCCTTCAATACTCTGTGCGGCCCACGCCACCTCACCCCCCTCCGTTCCAGTCCGCTCCTCAACATCGCATTGATGTCTCGGATCTTCTGTTCTCGTGCAAGGCAGCCGGCGCATGGTCAATTGAGACGAGAACCCTGGCCACAGCGACGGTTCCTCAGATTTTGTGGTTCTGGGTGCACTTTCGGTGGCTTGATGTCTGAGTATCGTGTTTCAGATTGCTCCGACATAGGCGACTCAGGGAGGGAAGTGGGAACCATGCCCGTGCCATGAACTAGCTAACAATTGAAACTCGAACGAAGCAGCAGTTGACCCCTTGAGCACCTTCGACCCTTGTGAAAGAAGGGTCTGTTTAGGGCAAGATGCTGCCTGACCTGTGCCTTAGGCACCAGCAGATGCATGTTTGATGGGAGGAGCCAGTGCCTGAAGGTGTGTTCGTCTCACGCTTAGCTGGTCTTCCCTAGTCACATTTCAGTCTCCGCAGGAGTTGTGACGAATCCTACATCTAAGCCGAGACAGCAGATCCTGCATTTATGTATGTGGACCACACCCTGCACTCCGAACTTTTTGCCATATCCGGAAAAGCTACCAGAATGACTCATCTCGGAGACTGGACTGTGCAAATGAGCTCTTTTAAGCGCATGGCCCTGTTTGTGCCCACTTGCCGCCCAAGCTTGAGATACCTCCCGAAGACTCGTTGAGTCCAGAGCTTTCTTGTAGCGGGGATGATGGCAGCAATGACTGATGGATGCTCGTTGAGGCTTACAGTCACTGGTATTCCATCCGACCTCCGATCTTCTCCGTGTCTACTAGGCCTACTGGGTACCACCGAGTCCGAGCACAAAACTTCGTAGACCGTCCTACGGCCCCTGCATATGAACATGGGCAGCAAGGCGGCAACAGAGCGGTATCAGGTACAATATCGAGCTGCAAACTCGTCCAACCGCCCGCGCGGTGGGTCACCATTCTACTTCCCCCAGGCCGCAGCGTGAGCCTGTGCGACTGCCGTCTTGGCAGTCTACGAAGTCTCCCTGATGCAGCTCACCCTCTTAAGAGACGTATTTTCGCTTGGTACAGGAGCTTTCACAGCCTGTGCATGCACAAGACGACACTGTTTGCAGCTCTGTGCGCGGGCAGCCATTCGAAGTGCAATGCATGTATATATTCAACAGAACTACCTTGCTGGTGCTGGATGTCTGTTTAAAGAAAAATCGAGTGCCCGGGGTTGATTTCTTCTGTGCGCATTGGTCAGTTTACACGGTTGCAGTTTTGCTCAGCCGGTCAGCCTTTTGTCGGTGGACCCTGATCTTTGCAACACCGGATTGACATCCGAAGTACCAGGCCAGTTTGAAAACCCCAAGCCCACACTCTGACGATCCCAGAAACCTCCCAAATTTCGTGCAACCCGTATTCGTCGCAGCTGGGCTCCAGATTTCTTCTCAAGCCTCGCTACCGAGCCCGGCGGGGCTCATGTCAAGATGGCAGTCTTGGGCAGTGCAACAGCCTAAGAATTCAGAAGGTGTTGGAGATGCCGTTTGATGAGGCGAACGCCTTACGCGTGCGTGAGCAAGAGATCAGCAAGACCCTGTCAATGCAGGTAGCTCCAGACTTGCTTCAGGGTGTTCCACTGAGTCTTTGCCTCAGTGGATGGGGCAAACATTGGACAATGAGAGGCCAGGCTCCAGTGGGAAAGAGCCGCAGAGTAGACGGATACCAAGACTTCATTAGCCATGACTGGGGTACGTCCAGGTGGTTAAAGCTCGTAGCACTGCTTGTTATCTTCAACAGTCATGCAGCGGCAGCGGCTTGCTTCCTCGTGAGCCTGCTCGTCGGTGTGCTTCGCATCAGTGGCGCTGTGCCAGACCACTTTTCGACTGCTTTTGCCGGACACGTAGCTTTTTACGCAGTCCTTTGCTTCTGGCAGCGGCTGCGTGAACTGGTCCTGAAGCCTCGGATCGTCTTTCTCGACAAGCTGTGCATCTCTCAAGAAGACGAAGAGCTGAAGGAGAGAGGCATTCTGAGCCTCCCAGGATTTCTGGACCGGTCGGAGGAGTTGACCATTCTTTGGTCCCGGAAGTACTTCACTCGTTTGTGGTGTACATGTGAGCTTATTACATTCCTCAGAGACCACCGGAAACGCAAGTTCGTGCAAGTGGTGCCCGTGAAACTCTGTTTGCTGATGCTTCTCATGTCCGTCTCGTGGCAGTGCCTGGCGGCAGGATATTACATTGCATACCGTGAAGTTGACTCCGGCTTCCGAGTCACATCGATCACTGCCAGGATCATTTTCCAATCAATGGCTGTGCTGATCCTCCCGTTTCAGAACTACATCGCCTTGGAGCTCATGACCGAGATCGAGGATTTACCCAGGCAGATGAAGAGCTTCAGCATTCGCGCCACTCGGCCAGCCAATCTGTCACTGGCAACCTGCGGTGAGGCCAAAACTCATTCTTTAGTTGGTGGCACTTCAGCCGTCAGCCAATGTGCAAGCCCCAAGCACTTTCAGAGGTTGGTAGGCTGCCCGGGTTGTGGGCAGGGGCAGTTGAAGCATCAGAGTTCCATCTCTCAGGCTGCTGATTGCGCGTGCTGCTCCTCCAGCCACCTCACGGAGACTGGCAAAAGCATCCTGCCATCACTCGTGTAAGAGGAGTATATCCAGTTCAAAACGTGTATCGGGGAAGACGGTAGGCTCCTGAAGGCTGCTTTCATCCGACCCTGAAAGGCAGCATCTTCTTTGAGGAAGATAGGTAGGGTCGGGCAATGAGCAGTTCCTGGCCTAAAGAGGGCTATCCCTGTGGTGATGCCAAGGCATTCCTTGCGACCGGAAGCTTGTCTTCGAAGCGTTGGAGCTGTGGTACGGGAAAGCTGAGGCAACTGAAGACGAATACCTCACCCACTTCGATTCCTTAGTTCAAACACAGGAAGTCACCGGCAAGGTGTTGAGTGGTTTAAGAGGCTCTTTGATACCGTTGCACTACTCCGTGTCCATGATCGCAATTGCAAACGTTCCTTTCCTGTCCGACTACATGGCTAGCATTGCTGCTGGTCCTGCAGAACCTCTTTCTGGGCAGGATCTGTTGGGTTGGGGCATGCGGATGTTCCTGGACTGGCTGAATTTCTTCCTTGTGATCGTGCTTGCCGTGCAGCTGAGCTTGTTGATTTGGAGAGGCGCCAGTTGTTGCCGGAAACTTTCCCGACCACTTGTGGCTTGTCTTCTGGTACCTCCTATGTTGATTTCTGTTATGACCTGGGAACCGTACCGCAGCACCATGGCGCGCTCCCCGTCGAACAGCATGCTGCCTTTAATTCCGTTTGCAGGCCTCCTCGTCCTGAACCTCGGATTTCTGATTCCACAGAAGGAGTTCAGGTGCTGCCTGAGCAGATCTCCACCTGCAGAGCCGGGGCTGGCCGAGCATGGCAACGAGTTGCCCGCTGTGGACGAAGATAGTTTTGTGTCAGTGTAAAATGTCTTCATCGGAGGCAAGAAATGGAATAGAATGAGTTTCAGCCCTTTTCGTTGCGAAGCAATCGACTTTCCACCATGCTGATAC